AAACATGTTTATTTTAATTAATTAAAAGACGTTGCTGACATACACACGCAGACGCACCTGACTCCCGTTCTTTATTTCATTCTCACAATCTCCGCAAGTATTGAAAATTACTAATCGTTAGAATTCAGAACACAAAGTCGTTTTAATAAGTTATTTACAACTACACTAAACGCAAAGAAGTGCGTATAAATATTCGGACATGAGAAACTGCGTATTTAATTTGACGTTATCAGCGAACTTTACCCCCGCTATTGAGTGTATTGATTCCTTGGGCTCCTCTTTCACCGTACATTCATAACTTCCTCCATTTTTATTTTTTATGCGCACAGCTCCATCGTTTTGTACGATGCACCGGCGTAATCTGTGGGCTCATTTTGACGCATTACTAACATTATTGTTCAATTTCATTCAAATTAAATTATTCGCTCATCACTTGAATCGTGTTAGGCAATAATTAATTTTATGTCGTTCGTCGGTGATCCATCAATCAGAGATAATCACGTGCAATCATCATCCAATCAGCTGAGCGAACAATCGTCCAATCGTTTAATGAACATTCTATCAACCTTTCAATCAAACCTCTAATCGCAAGATAATTCGGCAATTTCAGCAACGTGTGCAGCTGTTAACGTTCATTACAGGGCAAATTGACAATATCTCCAATTGAGTTGCACCGACTGCCCACGGGACCAACCAGCCAACCAGGCAACTAACCGACCAGCCAGCCTTCCAATGCACTGAGGACGATGCAGGCTGATTCACCAAATAAACTTCATTCACTTTTTTATCTTCATCGATTTATTATTCGTAAGCCAAGTTTTTAGCAATTCAATTCACTATACACCTCTCCTTTTTTATGCTCACACACATTCCAAATAGGATTTTTAAATGGTGAAAATTCCGGAAAAATAATATACATATTTATATATATATATATATGTTTATTTATTTACTTATACATATTATATATATATATATATATGTATGTATGTATGTATGTATATGTATAATAACATTGAACAAATAGCAAACCTCTCTTCCGCGTCCTCACTCAGAGATATTACCATGGAGCCCAAGTTATCGTAAACACACCTGATATTAATATATCGGACAATTTTTTTCTCATGATAAAGAACTCGATGGCAGACAGATAAAAATTTGTGCTTTACATTTAAGCTATTCTGCCTTCAAACATAAAAGTTGGCGCACATATCAACACACATATTACTAAATTTATTTATTAATAAAACTCAGATTCTTTGAAAAATGTTTACTGTAATCACCAAACTATTATACTCATTATAAATACTTCTAATGTTTTTAACATTATTATTTTTATTCAATGATGTTAAATTTTATGTGAAGCAAAAATGAAAGAAAACACTGAATAGAGTAATTTGAAGAGGCGGGAGAAATTGACTTGCCAATAAAGTTGGTATGTATTGAACCTATAAAATGAAGATGTTGGCGATTGCTCAATACAAAGTTTATCGGGCGAAAGCAAATTTTTCTACTGACCTAGTGTCATGGCGTCACTTCTCCACTGCTTCAAAACTTTTTTTTTGCCACGGAGACACATCAATATGTTGAAACTAATTATTGGGAAGTTTTTGGAAAAATTAGAGACAACATGAAAATCGAACCAGCATCTCAGCAACAAAAAAGCAAGTTCACGTTGGATTGTTGTTGATGTACGCATATGTTCAATTGTTGTGTCAAATACACACGTTTTGAATTGTTGTTAAAAGTAGATTTCTGTTTGATTGTTGTCCAAGTGCAACCCATATAATGCTGCTTAATATAAAAACCAACTGAAAAACTACAACAAAACCTGTAAGAATGCAGATGATCCCTCAATAAACAACTGTACTTCAACAAAAAACTAAACACACGTGATTTAAATTCCAGAGAAAGAGGCAGGAATAACATAAAAAAGCCGTCGCAATCAGTTAGAACATAAACAAGAGAGAAAGCAGTAGATCTAGGCGACGTATGCCAAACAATGAGGCAATGAGAGTTTATGAAAGCGCTGAAACAATAAAAAAAAAGAGCAAAACAAGAGGCACGCAAGTTATGTGGGCAGACGATTAACAAACAATAATGAGATTGTTCAGTCGACATTTTAAAACAGCGTTATGAATTTGTTCATGCCACTCTGCGAAAAATGTGCACATGAATTATTCCAATGAAGGAAGATTTTCTATGCCCTCTGTTTGTTTGCCTTTGTGTCTCTTGTCTTCTGCTGCCATTTTTTAAATCAATAGTTTTGTGTGTGGAAGATTTTTTCATATTCTTATTAGATTGATTTTCAACGTTTTTAAAATTTTTGTTTCAAATTTATGCCATATATAATAATAAGATTATCATCGTGTTTGTCCGCCTTGGTGCGTTACGCTGTGTCTTTGAATCGTGCAATGCGTTATTTATGTGAATCGTGGGTTACGTTCTTTAAGTACATGAGAGTAGATGCGCAGATTGGATGTATCCATACTTTAACATGCTGACAGTCACATGAATGTAATCAATTATATCTCAATAGCAAAATGTTTAGGATATTACAAAATATTTCATTTCAATACTTCCACAGGTATTAAAATAAATAAATGATTAAAAAATACAGAAAAATAACGATTCTCTACTTTGAAAAAGATCAAAATTTAAAACATAATAAAATACTTGTACATATTCTATTTCATGTTTTAAAACATTTATTGGCGCATAAGAAACAAATTGTAACGAATCTATGTTAAAAAACTATTTCTTTAAATGATTAATTTTTGTTCTTTTAGCTACACATTATATTTGTTCGCGTTCATTTGCATTCAAATTTGTGCTAGTTGTTGAGGATTGTTCATTTGATGGAATCATAATATAATGACTAAAGTTTTTTTGTAACCGGGAAAAAATATCCCACTCTGACTCCAACTCCGCCGAAATCTCCGACTACGGCAATATGAACTCTAATTATTATTATTATTATTAATTTACTTTTTTCTTTTTTTTCTTTTTCTTCTTTTTATTATTATTTTTATCATTATCATTGTTTTATTATTCTTACTTTTATTACATTGGTGATGATTGTAGTAGTAGTAGCAGCAGCAGGTAGTAGTAGTAGTAGTAGTAAGTAAGTAGTAGTAGTAGTAGAAACAGCAGCAGCAGTAAAAGTAGTATCGTTATACTTGAGGAAAAAATTTGTGATGATAATGAAGACAATGGAATGGATGATGAAGACGACGATGGCGTCATTGATGACGATGACAACAACGAATATGATGTTGATGAAGACGACGACGATAAGACAGATGATAACGACGACAAAGATGATGTGGACGATGATGATGATTACGACAAATGATAACCATTGAAACTAAAGATGAGACGATGATGATGATGATAATGACAGCAACTGCAAACTTTGCTACAATGGCGATGATGTACATAGTGTACAATGGTCATGGCAGTACACATATCGATAAACTTATTTTAAACGACTCAAATTATTCAAACTATTTTATTTTAAAATTAAACGTTAAAGTAAAAAGTGAACAAAAAACATTAAAACAGACACCACCCACGCATACATTCGTGGACCATCACGGAAATTTGCAACTGGCGATTTTGACTCTTCTACAGCATTCTTAGCTGAGAGATACACACACAACACATAACGCCTTTTAAAAGTGTAACGCCGCAATCACGTTTGTTTCATTTTTCTATTTTAATGTCCCCCATTTGCTAGCGAGTGGAAGCATCAATAAGCAGAAGTAAGTAGTGCAAAAATTGTACAACAATGTAAAAAGGATACAAAAACTATAGGAAACTGAATAAAAACAAAACAACTTTCCATTAATTAATACTCAAGATCGATTGAATAGTAAAAATAACAAGGAAGAGTTGATAACAATTAGAAAAGAGAAACATTGAATAACGATGAATGTTCATAAATAGGAGCCAGAAAATCCATCAGAGAGGCAAGCAGAATAATTTTGATTTAACACGGGAAGGTCTGCATTGTTTTTTACATGAGCCCACTCAATCAGTTTTATGACCTTCAAACGCCATCGTCAGCTTCCTTGCTATGTCGTTTACTGTTTTTTACGCAGCAGTTCCGCTCCTTCTTGCTCGATGATACTTGCTCGTGCTGCAGCTTCTTTCTGCTGGTGGATGATACTTGTTTGTGCTGTAGATCCATTTTGTTAGATGAGACTTGCTAGTACTGCAGTTTCTTCTTGCTAAATGATACTTGATCTTACTGCAGCTCTCTATTTTTGCAGTAGTTATTTCAGTTTCTACTTCTTCAATTTACCAATCATTTTAGCTTGCTAAAACATTTTGTGGCGTGATCAACATTATTGTCCAGTCTCCAGCATTAAAACTGTCAATAGGTGTATGAACGAGGCTGGAAACTTTAAAGTAAAAGTTGCCTTGAAATTGTTTAAATTTACGGGCCAAAAACCGCGCATAAATTTTAAAAAATCCTCAGGCAAGGTGAAATATTTCTTCAAATTTTTTGTGAAAAAATTGCAGCTTCAAGAACAAACAAATTAACCATTTTACAGTATTTGAAAAATTCAATAAATTCACTCATATCAAAGTTGTTAAAGTTTAAAGATAGTCATAGTTAACTAATGGGTTCTAACATGTAACACATCATAAAATATTTTTAAAATGACGGTGACAATTTTTAAAGCTTACAAATAATATAGTGATAATGATATAAATCGAAATTTAACAAAACTGTAAAAACTTATCAGTTATTTTTTGTTTCATCATAAGGAACGTAAGTTTTTAAATGTTAAACAAAACCAGAACCTAAAAACATTAAATTAGCATAAAACAATGTTTTATCATAAATGATGATGAAACCAATATTTTGAAAAATTATATTAATACTAAAAATAATTTTTATGGTTTAAATTAGAAAAAAATGAACAATTAAAAAAATCTTACTTGGGCCAGCAACCAGTCAAAAACACAAATGTAAAACTTTGAAAGGATACTTTCCCGTAACGAGAACCAAGCACCAGCTTCTCGGCTTGGTCGTCTGATCCAAGCAGAAGAGGGCCCTCGGAATGAATGAAGGGTAGAGTAAATTCTCTCGTGTGAGGTCGGCGTTGATGTCATCGTCTGTTTCGTTTTCTCCGCCGACCGCCGTGTGACCAGCCAGACGCAAAACTGGGTTTGTTTTCAAGGATTTGACGTGACGAAGAAGAGCTTTTCGAGCAAAAGAGTGCTGAGGATTTTGTTTTTGTTGAATTGTGGGGAATGATTTTTTGGAGTTATCCGACATTTTTGCTTATATGAAGCTAATTTTACAATTTTTTACAAATATTTAAGTAACTATTTTCACTTCATTGTTTGATATTTATTAATTGATAAAATAAAATTGATGCAAATTGATATCAGTTTCATGGTAGAAAAGGTGTTTCAATACTCTATATTCATGTAAAATTCAATGGAAGTACTCCCAGTTCCGAATTCATCACCTCCGTAATGATGCGTTTAGTCACGTGAGATCATAGTCCATCGCTCGAAATAATTAATATTTTTTATGCCATCATCTATCTACGAGACTATAAAAAATGAACGTTCGTTACGTTGTGGAAGAGACCATTTGATGCCAGGAGATCAAATCACGGAGAGTCAGCCTGCCTGCCTGCCTGCTTATCGTTGATGCTGCTACTGCTGCTGCAACTTCTACATCTCCATGTGTTATCTACTTATTTTCATCGTCCGGTGCTTCTTACATCAGGTTGTTGTTGTTGTTGTTAACGTCGTTGATATCTTGTTTCTTGTTCATTCTCGTCCTCTGCATAGTTCATTTCCTTTTTCTGCTTGATCACTCCTCTGGCACTTTTAATTCAGTCCGTAAAATTTCAATATTTCGTTTGCCATTTTTAATCCAAGTTATTATATATATATATATATATATATATATATATATATATATAATTTTATTAAGTTGTTTGTTCCATTTGGTTATTTAATAAATTAAATGATAATGAAGTAAATGCTTTGCGTCATTTTAAGCGTTTAGTGTTGACAAGCCGGCGGGGCATAATAAATTGTAATCGTATGATGAAAAAGGATTGTTAATGCTGAACATTTGATGTGATGTTGAAAATTAGCAAGCAAGTTTGCAGAGCTATCTATCAAGTGCGTGTGAGTATGCAGCAGTTCATCAATCAGGATTCATGCTTAATCCAATTTAAACTTTTTTCCCAAAGCCGGTCCAGCGAATCGTTTTTTGGATTGGTGATCCGTTGAATGCTTCAAATTTATTTTTTTTCAAACATTTTCACAAAACTTCATCAAAATTTAGTTAAACGTTTACCAACATTTAAAAACTACTCAACGACATGCATATATACCTATATATATAATTCATGTTGAACGGTTAACAATTCAATAAAAGTATATAATTCTATATATTCATTCTAATAAAACTTCTATTTTTTTATATATATATACCTTATTATTTTATTTAATAGATAAAAATCAAAATAAAATTTTTTATATTGATCATTTTACGCATGTAGTTGTTTAAGAGAATTTTCAAGAAAAAATATTAGCGAAGAACAACGCTGGAGGTGTTAGGGGAATAGTTTCCGTAAGGGTAGCAGCTACCACGCGTGCGTACGTTCTTATGTTGTGCATGTATCTCGTGCATGTATCTTTTGCGTGTATCTCATGCATGTATCTCGTGCATGTATCTTGTGCGTGTATCTCATGTATGTATCTCGTGCATGTATCTTGTGCATGTATCTTTTGCGTGTATCTCATCAATGTATCTCGTGCATGTATCTTGTGCGTGCATCTCATGCATGTATCTCGTGCATGTATCTTGTGCATGTATCTTGTGCGTGTATCTCGTGCATGTATCTTGTGCGTGTATCTCATGCATGTATCTTGTGCGTGTATCTCATGCACGTATCTCGTGCATGTATCTTGTGCGTGTATCTTGTGCATGTATCTTGTGCATGTATCTCATGCGTGCATGATTGCCTGCAAACGTCTGTTATTTACAACCGATCAATTTTATTATGTTTTACCTTGAACCGTAGATTAGATTATAGGATGTCAATATATTTATTGCATTAACTTCACTAATGAATGTGTCAATTTTTTTATATTTTCGTTTGTGTTGTCGTTAATTGAAACATATTTTTTTGTTAAATTGACAAGCCTAATTCATTATTCAACGTTAGCTATTCGCTTGTGAAAAGTCCGTCAATATGGCGAAACAAAAATGTCCTCCTCAATAACCCGAAAGCAATGAAATCATTCTTGTCAAGTTTAAATATGGCGAAACGTTTGGTGAGCTTTTAAAGACAGTTGAATAATTTATGAAGGGCATCTGATTTTTCTCTTCTACAGATCGCCTTCGGACCTAATAAAGTTAACGATAGGTCTTCAAACTGGGATTGTAATGTTTATGAATTGTATTTAAAATAGCGATATACGCAGCTCCCTTTTGCGAAAAATAATAAAATTTGTGAGTAGAACATTTAAATAAGGCTTATTTTAAAAAATCTAGGACATTTCTAATTGTTATTTTGATTTATAGGCCATCCGATCAAACTCTTTCAAGTAGATTGCCCTTAAATAAATAGGAATATGAGGACCTCTGCTCCAGCTCCGAGCCAAACAATAAATGTATGAGACCTACTTGATTTGCAAAAATAAAAATACCCTTTGATACTTAGAAAATATTCGTTAACATGTAGGGAACAAAAAATATTTAGTTCAAATTTCCAAAACTACATGAGATAAAAAAGTTCGAAGTTTTTATTTAAGATTAGAACAATGATGATAGTAAAGTAATTAATAGCACATTTATTAACATTTTTTTAACGCTTGTAGCTTTATATGATATAGAATTATCTTTTTTTTCATTCAAAAAGTACCTAGATTTTTGTTGAAACCGAAGCTCTTGAAATTTGTAATGTTGCAAAAAAAATTTAAACACAAAAATCTCTGGGCAAAAAATATCTCAGACTTTGTTCAGAGTGTTCTTTTCCAAACTCATTTATTCATTTGTTTTTAACTGTTACAAAGTTTTTAACTTGCTCCTAATTCTGTAAAGTAATACTCTTATTAAAATCTGGTGGCAAGCCTTTGATGAACAACTTTAATCAAACACCATTTTTCTCGAGTGTTTCCAAAATCATTGTAAAAGGTGTGCAAGTTCGTTTATTTAATTTTTTAATTGCTGTGATGTTCTAATTCATTATCAATACAATTTCAAAACAAATTTTTCATCTGTTTATTTGAGGAATTTTGAACTTTGGATCCAAAATTTAAACAAAGACTCAAAAATGTCAATATTTTTGAATTTTGGATTATACTATGATATTTTGTTGCACAAACTAGATCATTAAGTTATTTAATTGTTTAATTTATTGCTGTATAGATCAATTGAATGCATTTTATACAAACCTCCAAATAAATTTCACAATGCCATCTTACTGTTTTTAAATATGTGAGTATGAATTTCATTTAAACAAAAAATATATGTATCGTTAAGGTAGTCAGATTTGTTTGTGGATGAATTTTATGAAAAACACGATGAGCCATCCTAACATCAGAGCTTTTGTATGGGAGCTCTGGTGATCGAAAAATATTTTATAGACAACTAAATATTCCCTTTCTATTATAAAATACACTAAATCAATTGAATAAATTTAACATTTCAATTTGTAAAAAAATAATTTGTCTGTATGAAAAATAACTAACATTGCGTGCTATGTTCCATCTTTGAACTTTTTCACTTACATGCATCTCAGATAGAATGTACGAGCGAGGTCTGCAAACTTGCTTGAAACATAACTGTTTCCAATACAAAAATGAAATGTCTTACTTTTGTTTGAACGTTCGTTATTGTTTTAAATCAACTTAGCTTAATTTAAATCACATGATCAAATTACATTTTTATAAAATGAAACAGTGTATATGAATCAAATACTTGACCATGTTGTGACCACATGCAGCTCCATCCGGAACCAACCCTGGACTTGTTTGAGTTTTTCCATAGTGGTAGTCAACAGCAACACAAAACGTTGCGTTTTTTAATTGGTTGTTCAGTTGAGAGGAACTTTGAAAATGTACAGATGATTCCATTTTGTTACTGAACCTTCTGTAAGTGGCAAGTGCTTGGCACCAGAGTCTGCCGCACAGGTATGATCTTGTCAAAAATAATTGTTTCTAAACTAACGACTAAATTTTTAAAAAATATAGACTAGAAATATTTGCATCATTGATTCTAATTTTTAATAATTATCTTTTTAATAATGAAAATGCTGCATTCGGTGTTATCATAAACGATATTTCGTTCTATTGAGTTTTACTTTTGACTGTTTTATAAAGTGAAGACAATAAACAATCAACGTGTCAACACCGACCCGCTTAAACACTTTCTGTAGTGAAGTCCGGTACGATCCATGTAGACCCCACAGTGGCCAGCAGAGTTTGCCTTCTCATTAACTTTGTAACACCATTCCGATGACTCCTTCACTCCTGCTCCCCATAGCAACGCGCAGGTTTTTGTTTTATCACCGCATTTACCACTTATGCAGTAATTATTCCTCTGTTGAGAAAACAATTTTTTTTACAAAAGAAAAATAACGTATCAACAGCGCAATCCTCGTTTTGAGGTTTTAACCATGTGACAAAAAAAAACCAACCAAACATTTTGTTCCATCATGCACATGCTGATCAGGTGGACACTTTGGCGAAATGCCATCACATGATTCCGTGACGTCACAATCGGATTTCTTATATCTGCACGTGGTCCCTTTTGTTTTGATCTAACCAGAGTTGATTTTTTAATACATTATTTTTTCAGCCCAATTGCGTTCATCTAAGAATGTTGTAGTTTGAATGAAATTGAAAAGTTAAACATGATTTGAACCTGGCAGGTGTTTAAATCACAGCAGAGTCCCGAGGCACAGGAGTTTCCGTCATAAAGTTTGCAGTGCGCATCGTAACAAGAAGTATTGCAAAACTTGAAAGATAGAAAGATACCTAACAAATAATAACATAATAACAAAACAAATGAACTTACTTGAAGATGTTTTCCTAAGCAGTCGTAGTCCTCTTCTTCTTCAACAATTCCATTACCACAAACAGGTTCTTCGTGAGAAGGGAGAGTTGGCAGTTGTGAGGGTTCTACGAGGTAGCGCTGTTCCAAGCAGGGAGCCAGTCCTGCAAATGGTTTGAAAGCATCATCGACTATCACTATTCAGGCTGTTTTAATAGTTCAACGTTGGAAAACGTTAGAAAAATATTTCAATAATTATAAAAAAATTGTTTAAAATCAAACCCCTTTGAATTACTTTACGAAAATGTTTTCTTGAACAAGTTGAGAAACCGTAGGATGGAACAATTTTTTTTCTTAAAAACATTTTTTAAATTTTAAAAAATAAATAATTATTTTAATTTTAAATATATTTGAAGTTGAATTTTGTGAAGTGGGTGAACTTTAGTCCGGAGTTCATGATGCAGTGGTGGTATGGACATGGGCAGTTATAAATTGCATCGTCGTGATCCACTCCGAACAAATGGGCAATCTCATGCACGAGAGTCAGACTCGCTTGTCTCACATCGTTTAGATCCTACAATTGAAGTTTTTTCAACAAATTATGATTGAATTAGACATGTAAAATCAAATAACCAAATTATCACTACGTAACAGGCCGTATTATTTTTATTTTCATAAGTGATAATGCTGAGACCATCTAAATTATTAATCATTAAATCATGATGTTAACCGCTATAAAACCACCAGAATCTCTGAAGCGACAGATAGCATCAGATTCAGCCGACCCAAGGACGACTTCTCCTTCAAAGAGTTGATTTCTACGCCAGAAGATAAACAAAATTAAATTGATTTTTTGAACTTTGTTTAATTTCGTACAAATCTAAAAATTTAATTTAATTAAACAGTTTTGTCTAAAAAATATACTCCAGCTACATAGCTACTAACATGATAATGAAGAAGGCATCGACATCGAAGAAATAATTAGCAGCTCTGTAGCTGTACCACTGCTCTATAAATGCTTGGCCGTCACCAGTTTTATTCATCGCTATCATTGGAATGGTCCAGGTTTCTATACTAACCAGCACTATTCGCACGTGCATCGAGTGGAAAAGCTGTTAGAGGTAATGGTAAACTGTGAGTGAAAAACTATCTGATTTGTAAAAAGATTTTCACTAGAGTGAGCGAAAAACTATCTGATTTGTAAAAAGATTTTCACTAGAGTTTTGATTTTTTTTGTTTATCGGTCAAATTCGTTTCCTAGTAAACCTCGGGTTAAATGAATAAAAAAAAAGTAATATATATTTTGCGTTTTTCTGCTTTTAATGCGCTAGATTTTAATTTTTAATTTAACATTTCAGTTTGATTTATTAATTGTGTGGTAAATTTGTCATTTCAATATTTGTATAAACATTTGAAAAAAAATGAAATGGTCAGTTTTTTAGTACTTTGTTAGTATTAGAATCTTTATTATAGATTTTCACAAATTTAGATACACATTTTTTAAAAACATAAAACTTTTTAATCTTGAATTAAAGATTTTTTAACGAGGGTTATGTTTACCACGTTAGCGGCCTGTACGATACTCATGGCTCTTCTGACAGTTTTCTGAACGTCAAAGTTGTTTGTGGCGTACTGTACAAAAATATATCCGAATTTTTTAATAGTTGTTTTTTCTTCAGATAAACGAGCAATAGTCACAGAGTAGGCTGAGTCGGCATGGTTCGAATACTGTCTGTCTGTCTGTCCGAAAATCAAAGACCATCAAACTCGTATGATGAGGTGCTTGTGCGTGCGTGCGAACGTAATGTGCACGTGCATCGTAGGGTCTGGAATACGTACAGCTGATGTGGCATGAAAGTTTAATTACAAGTATATAATGAAGTAAGTAGCTCCGTGTTTGACACCATAAAAAATGAAAAATGATTTGTGCACTGAACTTTAGAACTTACAAATAAGCTTCGAGCATAAAAAAAATTGTAAAACCTGTGAGAAATCGTTAACAAGGAACAACTCCAAGAGGCTAACAGCGTGGTCATCTGCATTATCGTCAGCATCCTCCTGGAATAACATTTTTCATAACATTAAAAGTTTTGCGTATTTTGTTCGGGATGTATTTAGCGAATAAACGCAAAAACTGAGCAGTATAACCTATTTATTGGGCCTCATTAGGCAAATAAATAAAAATGTATAAACAATCTCACAGCTTCTGTAACTAATATTATTGTTCCTTTCAGTCACCCCACACAGAATGCAGACAAGCAGACATTCAAAAGATTTGATAACTTTTTAAATTTAGATAATAATTTATTTACAATATCTGCCATAAGACAGTAATATATGTAAAAAAAATTGTTAGTTGCATCAAGAAAAAAGTAACTCACACGAAGAACATGCTTGCGCTGAAGAGACCAATGCCGTTTAGTTTTCTTAAATTTGACTCGATCAACAGTTAAAACGCCATTGCTGGTTTGCACCTTTTTCAGAAAAATAGCTTCCAATGGTTCAGATGTTTTGTTTCCCTCAAATTCGTAACTATCCTTCCCTATGTTCACTGAACCACTGAACACAAAGTAGAAAGGAATTAAATAATTGAAACAAATGAAATTTTGCTATAATTAATTAGCCCGTTGCGATTAAAACCTTAAATCATTGTCATGAAGCTCAAACAGTATTGAAACTATTCATCTTTATACCTGATGCCGTCACAAAAGTTTAATAACATCAAATTTGAAAGAGGTTCTGTCAGTGGTGTCGTAGTGTTTTTCGATGTCGTTGTGTTTGCCACATAGCCATAGTAAAGACAGGTCTTTCTCTGCATTCAAAAACATTTTGAAATTATCTTAAAAGTGAAAATTATCATTCTGTTTATATTACATTTGTGTTGGTGAACTCTTCTTTACCACTTCTATGAACAACTATTTCTTTAAAGAACCTCGAAAAAATGTTTCTGCAATAGATTTGGGCAACTTGACAATAATTTATTCATGTGCATAAATTCAGACTAAAAACTAACTCTCTATTGAGATGACAGTCGTAAGCATTATTATTAAATGAAAGCCTCATGAACACGGATGCTACTGTAGTTTTCTTGTTTGAAAATGAAAATAGTAATTTTTATTTTAATGAAATATTTGTTATACAAGTGTGGCAACGTTGAAACTCACATCTACGTGAAAACAGTCCAACTGAACACGATGCTCGTTGTAGCATTGTATCGAGGCAAGTTCTTGTGCCAGAAGTCTCCAGGCTTGTTGTATATTTAGATTTATTTATCAAAAGCTTTTTTTTAATTTTAAAATATTCTTACCTTGATGCAAATAAATTAACATTTTGAGAAAATACATTTTGATTAAAACTGGTTTGTTCAATGTTCTGTTGATCCTGTAAAAAATGTTTTTATCACGATAACTTGATATGATTCAAAGGTGTAGAATTAGCACAAAATAAATTTGTTTACAATGGTACTGTTTGCTTACATTTTTCATTTGTTGAATGTTTCCCACGAGAACAATAACAAATTTCAATTTTTTGGTTTTTGTGCGTAATGTTTAACAACAAATAAAAAACAAAACAAACGCAGTGTGATTTAACATCGACATTTTTAGCGGGAGTCACAAAGTTTAGCAGTATGTTCGATTGCGTGACAGAAAAAGCTTTTGTTCTACTTTTTATCACTGGTCTATTTTTTTCCAACTTGTTTGTTGTTGAAACAATTTTTACTTTAAATTTGAACGCCTGTATTAAACAACGCCTATATTACAACGCTTTCAATAACTTCATTGTAGCAACAGTTTAATTCAAAAGAAAGACAAGCAATCTTAAATTTTATATATAATTATTAGCTGTGAAATAAAATTGACCAAATTTTCATGTCTTCAAAATTTGAAAATAGAAAAATTTTTGATGAAATATATTTAAAACAAATTTAAATAAATGGCAAAGTAGCCTACATATTGTTCATTTCGTCAGATAATTTTTTCCTACAACTAGCTCAACTCTAACTGATTGTGTAAATAAATGAAATCGAACAAACAAACGTTTAGAAATATAAAACTATTAAACAAACTTTTTCTGAATAAAATTAAAAACAATCAAACAAAAAAAACTAAATGAATTCATAATTATTCCAGCAGAAACTATCTCAGCTAAGGAACTTCCAACCTTACCAAAAGTCAGTCTTAATCACGAATACTTTGAAACTAAACGTTTACGAACTAAATGCTCTTAACTTTATCAAATAATTTATTTGCTAAATTAAAAATCAATTACAAAGAGGAAAGTTATCTCCATAGAGACCATCTTCGTTGTAGATTACATTTTGGTAAGTGTTAAGAATTTGTTGGTAATGATTTTCAATAATTTTGTAAATAAAATTAAATGATTAGTATCGGGACATGTTTGTATACGGATCTGGAAAGGCAGTTAAACTGATAAAAGATTTTGTACAAGCAGCTAATTACGTTAGTATTAATTTCTTATATATCTTGATCAACATAAAGTTAAACGACTTCGTTATTAGGCGTTTTATAATTTTTCACTGGTTTGTTTATTTACCGATCCATTGTACATTGTCATTTTTCAGAGGTTATTTTTTTTTATTTTTTCAGTTCCTTCTGTCCATGCATATGAACGTTGTTATCGTAAACGTAGAAATCGCCGAGCCACTGAAGATGCAAATTGAAGATTACTCAATTGCAATAACATACCCCGAAAATTTTTGCAACAACCACATGGAATATTGCGAAATGACTCATGATCTTTTACTTTACCTCTGGTCTGCTAAACACTTTTGAATAAAATGGCGACATTTGAAAATAAATTTTTTTCAATTTGTGTAGTACATTGTCAAAGTTATACAATTCGTATCATATTTGATATTGTGGAGAAGTTATATTGAACATTAATTTTTTTAATTTTTTAGTTAGGTTAATTATAAATTTATAAATCTAGGCCAGAAAAATATTCTGAAAACTGTCAAAACCCCAGTATAATGCCATTTGAGGCGGAAAGAAAGATATACTTTGTCAAAGTTTGTTGTGGCGCTTCTTATATCGCTTATCACTTACATCCACACTAGCCCGGCAAACATATTTGATATATACATCTGAATAAACTTCGTTTGATCATATTATTAATAAATAATTTACAACATTTTGTTAAAACGATGATTTTTCAACGAAAGATTCCTCATACCAGCCCCACTAAAATTGGAAAACATTTTGCTCACCAAATACTGCATTGCTTTGGTCTTGCCGAGAGCAAATCTGCTGATTTCATGAACTATAATAATTTGTTCATCAAATTTTTATCATAAAATCGCTATAACAAAATTCTATGGAGATTCAAATTAAAATAATTTAAAATTAGCAACAATGTTGGTGAGCTTACGAGTATCAGTCAATGTGAGGCAGATCAAGTGGAAATGTTTTTAAAGGAAGAGAAAGGTGATACCCTCTACAACGAACCTTTACTTTCCTACAACAACCCTCTATGCTGAGATGGCATTGTCAAAGAGACAGAAACATACGATTGCGGGTTCAAATCACAAACTGTTCATTTTGTTTATACTTTTAAAATTTTTATTTTACTGCCAAAAAAATTTTCTGAAAATGTTGTTATGAATATTTATAGATTTGTAGCAAAACTTGTTGTGACGAAAATACATGCAAATTAAAGGCAGGCGCACAGTGCGCCGAAGGTCTATGTTGTGATATAACGACTTGTAAAGTTTGTTTAAACTGATATAAATTTTATTTACTGAATTAAAACTTTAAAATCTTACTTAATTTTGATGAATATTTTATTGATGCATTAATTTTCAACAGAGGTTATATAAAATAACGGATTAAAAAATGTATTGAAACATTCAAAGTTTCAAAATCGCTAGCATTTATGACTTTGAAATACGAAGGCACCTACTAATTTATATTTAATAATAATAATTGAGTCAATGAATGTTGCAGGTGAAAGCTAAATACACGGTATGCAGACCATTCAGTGGCGTTTGTGACGACGAAGACTACTGCGATGGCAAGAGCAGATTCGGCATGGACAGACATCTGCCTGATGGCGCCTACTGCACGGTTTGTTGAACTTTTGACATTTGCGTTAAGAAAAGTTTGTTCAAATCAAGTTTTCACAACGAAATAGTCAAAAAAAGTTTATTGTTTCAATGGGAAGTGCGTAACAGTCACGCAGAACTGTGAAGAGCTGTTTGGGGAGGGAACAAAGATAGGTGATGCACGATGCTTCCATGAGTTGGACTTTTTGTATCCGAAACAAGGACTTGCGTTGGTGCATTAAACCCGCAGTTATTTAATTAAAAATTTATTAGCTTATTTTAACATAACAATTAAAATAACATTCCAAGAAATAAATATTGCAACAAAGTCATCTGCGAGTACATCAGCGAAACAGTTACAATGGAGGGATTTCTAGTTAAAACGAAAAATATGAAAGCCTAAAACAAAATATATGGAAAAAGCTCTAAACAATTAGTAGGAGTTTGCGGTTACGATTTTGAAATTTCTCCAAATACTATGAATAATTTGAATGAAATACCTGACGGAACAAGTTGTGGAAAGAATAAGGTTTGCAATGGCGAAATAACAGTAAATTTCATCGTCTTCATTAAATTCTATTGTCTTTTTTCTTATTTTTCAGATGTGTTTCATGAAGAAATGCGTCAAAAGAACGTACTTTTTATCCAAGTTCCATTATCCATTCTTAAGGGTAGCAAAATTATTTTTCTAAAATAAAAACGCTTACAAGTAAAATTAGAAATTTGATTATTGGTGATAATTATATATGAAATCAACTAATAACGTTAATCTTGAACGTAATTATATTTTATAATGAGTTATTTAATAACATTTGATAAAATACAAATTTGATAAAATTGAAAATAATTATCTTAATTTTTAGAAAGACTCATCAACTCATCTGCATGAAAGAAGCTTGAAACTGGCGACCTATCTCGGATCTGTCGTGCATTTGATGAATATTTTCATCAACATTATAAAGTGACCAAAGATTGAATGTTTCATTATTTTCAACCAATTTTTCATCTTCATTCAATTAAATAAATGTGTTTTTATTTTTTGTAAGCAATAGACGTCTGCCAACAAATTACATTGTAAACATCGCAACTCTTACATTAAAAATGCTTGCCTGTGTTGTTTTTTCTTTTATTTTTCACTTTATTAACATCGGTACGTCAACAGCGTTACAATTTTTTAAAAATTTTCATTACTATGTTTATTATTTGATTCTAAAAATTTTTTTAGCTTTAACGGAAAAGAGTTACCGCGTTACGTACATTGATCTGAAAAATGGAAGACCAATTCCATACGAAAATATGAAAGTTTGTTTGTCAGCAATATAAATAATATTTTTTTTTGTCTTTGCTTTGATTTGAAAAGTCTTCAAAGGTTTGTTCGCCGAATTTTCAAAAATTTTTACCTCATTGCGCTTGTGGCCACATTAGATTATCTAAATTTTTTAAGCAAATCTGAAGATATGAAAGTCAATTTTATTCAACTAAACTGAGTTTTTTTTTCCAGAGACGACAAATAATTTGTTTCAAATTTGTATAATTTGTAAAAGTCATGGCTTTGCTGACTAGCCTAGCAAAACGTCAACTATCCACTTATCATGTAAGACCATTTATGAAAAAAACGGATCTTGTTACAGCTTGATACAAAATTATTAAAATTTGAATCCTTAACACATTCATTAATGAATTTAACAATTGGTACTTATACATTTATTATTATATTAGATTTATTTTTTTAAATTGTTTGAGACCTTGAACAAAATTTTTAAATTTAACAATGAATATTAATTAATAGAGAAATTGTTATTCCACTTAAAAATAAAGTGTAACTCTAAATATTGAAGAACATTTCAAAGGTGAAAAATCTTGAAATACGTCTGCAAGTGAAAGATGGGCCTGATTTTATAACGTTCAACGTCACAATGAACAAGTTTCATTTCACCTTTCTTGATGATTACAAAATTTTGTTTCAGTTCAATTCCTTTATTTCTTTACTTTCCCATCTTATGTTTCATTCTTTACATTCCCATCTTATGTTTCAAGGCATTTGTTTTCTAAAGAGTACAACGAAAAAGTTGTTATCCGTGGAAACCGTTACCTTCTCGAAAGCAATGAAGTAATAGATTTTTTTTATCAACAAATTTTTTCCTAAATAAATTCAAATTTACATTTATTTATTCTTTTCTCTATAGGATTCTTGCAGATGTTTTTACAGCAACATGGAGCCATCGGAAAAGAACAAAATTTACATTTCTTTATGTCACGGCTTGAGGTTTTTTTATAATTTTTATTATTTAACAGAAATTGTTAATTAAAAATAAGCATCCGCATCATATGTTGAACACATTTGCCATAAATGTTTGTATATATTTATAAATATTTTTTTAATATTTGTTTTTACGATCGTAAATTTGTCGACTCAATAAAATTCCAAAGTGCAATTTTCAAAAAATTAAACTTTTTTTTACTAGTCATAAAATTTCATTAAAATGCCATTTATATCGCTGAGATAACCAATATAAGCATGAAATGATTTTTGCACTTTTCAGAGGTTCATTCGTCTATAATAATTCTTTCATGGAGTTTGTGGCATCGAAAGACAGTGAAAAGATTGATTCTTATGAATTCGCCCAAGTCCGCGCTTTCATTCCACAACAATATTTCTGCGGTTGGAACTTTTCAAACAATTTTTTTACTTAGATTTAAATATTTATGTTATCAAGAAATAAATGCTTTGTCGTTTAATTTTTGATCAAATCAATAGTTATTAAGAAATTTGATTTTATTTCAATAAAAATTTCAAAAGATACGAACACCTCAAGGTTCAGCCACCCATATTTGAGACTTCAAAGAACGAAAAGGACTCCGGTCAGTGAAATTAATTTGTTCCATTTTCAACTTTGAAGTGCATTTTAAAGTTCATTTATTGCAGTTATGAACATCTCATCATTTTATTTGTTTTCTTTTTCTACTACCTATGCGCCAGAAAAACATCAGGAATGAGTATTTCGATTAAACGTGGAGGTACATTGAGGTAGCAGGCATAATAGACCACACCGCAGTTTGTAACCATCAATTATAATTACAATGAATATTATTTTTCATGTTTCACTTGATCATGTTTACAAAGGTTTATGAGAGTAACCGCTCGAGGGAACAGCTGAAACACCACGTGCAACTCGGAGTTCATGTAGCTAACTTAGTCAGCAAATGCTATGTTATTTTCTAGGTAATTTTTCTAAAATTTCATAAATTACCAAATAATGTTCTCTTTTCTAGTTTTACAACCCGTTAGAAATGATCATCGTTTTAGTTCATCTGGAATTTTGGTTCCATGATGAGATCCAAAACACTTTCTATCAAGACCATTTCATTTGGGATGCCTCAAGGTACAGACAGAGATATTTTAAATCTCCTGCCGAATACGACATGCTTCTCATGTTCACGTTTGTTTCCAATTTTAAAATTTTAAAATAATTTTTTAATTAAAATTACGATGAATATGTTTTTCTGTGCAAAAACGTTTTCATGCAGTTATATTTCTTTCTGAATCAGCTAAAATGATCTAATATTAACACTGAATAAATTGTTGTAATAATGATAGAAAGCTGATAACAAATATTTATTTGTACAATTTAACGGTTAGTGCAGCTAACAAATGGTATAACTACGAAATTTGCAACTAAAAAAATGTTTGCAAGTTTAGATTTGTGTTGATTAAGCAAACTATTAACTTATTAATTTCTATTTAAAAAACTTTGCTCTTATTCAGTTCATTTCAAAAATAATCACATATTTTCAACTGAAAAAAAATATTTATAATAAAATTACTGAAACTTTCATTAATTATTTTTCATTTTACATTCGTGGGCTAATGTTTTTGATGATAACATTACTAATAATAGCACATGAAAATATAATTGAAAACAGCGAGCATCACATCTTTCACCAGCCTTCTGGCGGGCAAGCAATCATGGACTCCATCTGCGATGATTACGGTGTGGTCGCAAGATATCATGTAAATATACCTCACCCCATTCCAATTTCGCGATGTCTCTACTACAACTCATACTTATTTTATTTAACTTTGTTGTGTTGTTGCTATATATAATGCGCATACTGTATGTTGTTATTGTTGTTTGTTGTTGAATGAGTATACGGCACGTATGCTGCAGACCTGCGGTTACGACATGGAGATAGGCGTGACAGTGGCTCATGAGATCGGTCACACTCTTGGTGCTCTTCATGACGGAGAGGAATGCCCTCCTTGCGAGGAGTGTGTCATGAATAAATTTTTCAAGTGAGTAGGTACAACACTGTATATTGTACAACGTGCAACTAATGAATTCGTTAAGATGTGCACACTACATACTACAAATAAATTTGATAAAAGTATGTGTGCTTAATGATGAATAAATGTCGAATGAAATTGTTGAGCATACATATAAGCTTATAACAAGTGATTAAACATTTGGTTTGCATACTACTAATAGCATATTCTATTAACGGCAGAAAGTACAAGTGAATTTCATGTGTGCAGGACATGTGAATTGAGCGATTTTAATTTGATAGATGAGTCATTTACTTTTAGTCACATTTGAAAAAATCTACTTAATTATTTGAAGGCCTGAGACGATCTATTTTTCTGACTGCTCAATTAACAGTTGGATGAACTATCTAACGTTTGATTACCACGACGCCTGCCTTTACAACAGACCAAGGTTCTCCTACCCTTATTGTGGGAATGGATTTGTCGAAACTGACGAAGAATGTGATTGCGGTACTCTCACTGATAATGTATGATAGATTTTTATATGAATTGAAATTTCCGCTGTACATTCAAGCCTCAAAATTAATACGAAATTACAGCACTGTAATCCTGAATGTTGTAACGAAATCACGTGTGAACTTGTTGCAGGCGAGTGTGCTCAAGGTGATTGTTGCAATTTGGCCAATTTTACAGTAAGCTCAGTTGTGCCATAAATTTTCAAACACATTCCTTCAATAAACACAACAAAATTTTAAATAAAACAAAATCATAGTCCAATTAAATGTGTAACAATTTTATATTTCAATGCATAAAATTAAACTTAACAAATTTTAACTAACATTTTTGATGTTGAGAAAATAATTCACGAAAAAATTTTGTTTTTAATAAATATCAGTTGTTGAGAGCTTCAACGGAATGCAGACCTCAGCATGATTTATGTGATTTACCGGAGGTATGCGATGGAGTGTCGGGATCCTGTCCAACTGACCTGCGCCTTCCATGTGGCAGCTACTGCTCGGTTCTCACTCACTTCATTGAATATTTATTCACATCATAATATAACAACATTGTTGAGTTAATCTACAACAATTAATTAATGTAGAACATACAAATCCGTGATGAATTTATCAAAAAATATATATATTACGTAAAATAAAATTAATGGCATAAATCATTGGGCTTGCATTTCAAACGAGCCTCGTCTCTTAACGCCAACAACAGCATGATTACAGCATATAATCAAGTCTCAAAACCGTGCATAATTATTTAGCATCGAATGCAGGGCTGTCTTGACTTAAATATTTTTAAGCCGCTTAATTTTGTTTTAATCATTTAACCGTAGAAATTAAATTTATCGAATTGTTGCATACAATCTGTTCTTGAAGAAAAAACCAAACTTCTGTTTTGATGGACAATGTGTACACCCGGAAGACATATGTGAGAAATACTATGGCAACGAGACTAAGATTGGATCTCCCGAATGTTTTGACTACAACCAATTCAACAAATCCAACGTTGGCCAATGCTACCATGATTTCGCTGCAGGACATATCACACGATATATGTGCGAAGCAAAGTTTGTCACCAAATTGACCTTCAATTTTCAATTTAAACATCGAATTTCAAATTGTCTTATAGCTCTTTGGTCAAACATTTTTTGTCTTTGAATATCAATTGAGTTATAGTTGAAAATTAAATTTTAATATTTTTCTGGAAAAATTAAAATCGCCTACAACCAAGGAACAAACTGTGTGGATTGCTGTGGTGTGAATTAAATGAAGAAAAACCCGGCGGCTGGCATTATAAACTTGCAGGTTTTTAATTTTTCTATTAAAACGCATTGTTTACAATTTAATAAACGTTGCCTTTTTTAAAAAAAGGAAAATTTTGTAAAGTGCCGTCAACTTACACTTTCCACTACGTTCCTGATGGTAGTTGGTGCAGTGACGACATGGTCAGTTGGAGTTGTTCCTATCAAAAACATAATTTGTCGTTTTAAGGAACAATATGGAACAATTGTGCTTGTGAATTTTATTTTGTTTCAATATTATTTACAAGATATGCTACAGAAGAAAATGCGTGTCACTAGTATACTTCCTATCTGATCTGCATCATGTAAGTCAATTGGGCTCTATCCAGGTTTGCTAGAGGCTCAAAAAATTCATTTGTTGACATTATTTGAAAAATGAATTACGTAATAAGAAGACTAATGTTTTGGAATTGTTCTTGATATCCTGTAAATAATTTTTCAACAGATACGCAACGGCGCCGCCTGGATATCATTTGCATCAACCCTCCTGCTGGCTCTGATTTTGTTGATCGCTCAGTTCACTTTCCATTATGTGTTGTCAGAAGGAAACACAAAAATTGAAATTATATAAATTTCAACAAGAACAAACATTTTCAAGAATTTAATTTTCAAAAAATATAATACATCTTCGTCCAAATTAAAAACTATTTATTGTAATAACAAATCAAACATCGAATCTTAAACGTTACGAAAATCTGTTCATAACATAAAATCGGAGAGCTAAATAGTAGAGGCCAATGACGATGATTTCGATGCAGAGATGGGTTAAGTTGGTCTGAATGCGGTAGGACACCTCCTCCTCAGGCGTAATAAACAATCGAAACTGACGAAGAAACTTCCGGTGCTGATGGCGATGCATAACGTTGCTAACTAATCTAACTTTCAACCAAAAAAAAATCCAACTGATTGATCAATCCGTAAGTTGGAAAATATTCTAGCTGCTCAACTTTCTAGGAACAAGTTAGTCAACTTTTTAGCCAGAAGATCGAATAAAATGGAATATATTTTTACAATTGAAAGATGTTTAGGAAACTATTAAACCGGCTCTATTCATATTTTTATTTACATCAGTAATCATTTGTCATACAACGTAATTTCAAAAAAATAATGTAAATTTATTCGAACATACATTTGAAGGGTTTTGTTTTAATACTTATTTTAAAAGTTGAGAAATTTAGTCTTTTTAACTCTTCAACTTCACAACAGTTAAAACGATCAGATAAGATATTAAATTAAATTTTCAATCTCAAACTTATTTAAATGTTATTGAAAAACAAGCTGATTGCAATTTTCAACATAAATTATTATTTTAACAACAAACATTTAATTGACGTCAATATTTTTGAAGGTTTGATTACAATGGACTTGTTTCTTTTAAATATATTTCTTTCTTTATTATTCCTAACAGGTTTGAAAATATAAAAGCCATCTTTTTTGTTTAAAAATTATTCATTATTGAAATTATCATTTTAAATGTAATTTAACAATTTAAATACTTCAGCATAAATATTTGCAAATTCAGAAACATCAAAATATTTTTTTTTAATATTTGAGTTGTGTCGTACATATTCGTTCAACCTTTACTATCAGAATGTACGTGGACTGGCAGGCTGGTTGCCGTTCAATACAAGTGCAACAATGGATCTCTGATCCAGCCAAACATTTTCCATGTTAGTCATTTTTTAATAACTGCTCAATTTTATTAAATAATTTCGAAGCATGTATACCTATACCACAATTATTTATATAACTATAATATACTATTTGGATTAATCTAATAAATCAATCATCCATTCATTATTTAATCTTATTCAAGAAATGTGAAAGAATGACGCTAACTTTGTTTGACAACAATTTTTCCATCTTTGAATTTCAATTGAAATCTGATTTGTGAGTACTTTCTAATTTTGCATTTGAATATAAAACATTAACAGTTATAATATGATGAACTTATGTCATGTTTGTGTCACAGTGTCTTAAAATCAAGATTTTATGCCGAATATGCCGTTAAAAATAGTGGTCGGAATGTTGTCACGAAGCCTTCAAAAGTGAGATTTCACTTTCCTTAGTTTCATATGATAAACTTTATTCAGTAACATTAATTTTGTCAAGTTCTACGTGTGTAACTACAAAGGTTTCGTGACTGGATTTGAAAGAACATCAGTAGCGTACATCAGTCTGTGCAGGGGGATCAGGTTGAGATTTTTTGTTTCCATGAAATTTTATTGAATTATTACGTTCATTTTAAATGTAGATTTAATTTTTCATTTGTTTGTACGTATTTCGTAAAATTTGTGTAATCAAATATAAGTAATCCTGGTGCGAGGAAAGAGCTTTGGGACTGATGTTCTTCACATAAATTTTGTTATTAATTTGCCTTTCTTAAGAATTAATTTTATGACAGATCTTGCGCCTCGTTCAAATTCTAAAATATTTTTATTATATGTGTAATACTAATTGCACAATAAATCAGTAGATGACTGGAACAAAATTCTGTCAACCCTTTCAAACCTGCAAAAGATTTTTGTTCGCGCTATTGATTGCAACAGTTAATTTTTATTCGATTGCTTTTATTTAGTCCTGATTGCCAGAGATTGAAAAGTTAACACAATTGTATCACACAGCGGTTCGTTCACTTTTAATAAATCGGCATCATACGTCATAGAGCAACGACCAGCAACGGTAACCTTTCATGAAGCCGTCCTCAGAAATATTCTGAACCGTGAGTAACTATACAAATTCTTCACTATGAACCTAAGTTCAGTCAAGAAATCTATAGAAACTTTATTTTAAGATCAGGAACAATTTTTCTGTTAAAGAATTCAAAATAAGTTTATACGTTAGTATTGTAACTTTACTGAATTTTCAACAAAACAGCTGTTAATAAGAAAATTCCGCCGGAGCCATTGAAGGCTGAAAGAGTTAATGATAAGGCAAAAGTGGTAGAGTTATACATTGTCAATGATTACTCTCAAGTATGCCTTGCCAGAATTTGCAGTTACTCATTTACAACATTTACATTAGTATTCATCAATAAACAGTATTTGGCACTGGGAAAAAATTTGGACAATACTGTGGCTAGAGCGCAATCTATCGTTCATAACGCAAACATGGTAAGTGGGAGATGGATTAAATATTTTCAATGATGCATTAATTAAACTTTGTTCGTCAGGTAAACTCACAAAATTACAAAAATTTCAGCTTTATAAATAATTAAAAACAGTTTTACATTTTCCCCTTTAAAATTTGTACACCAAAAGATATCACCTGCTAATAAACTTAATATAAGCAACTGTATTCTAAAACGAACAATTGATAATTTTTTAATACAATTTTTCAAAGTTTAATAAAATTGCAGCTCTTTCAAACCCAAGGAATATTTTTGATGTTGAAGGGGATGGAGACATGGATAGAAGAGATTTTGCCTATAAAAAATTACAACGATTCATACCAATATTTTGGAGATTGGCAGACATACAAACTGAAGAATATTGAGAGCATCGTTAATACAACTGTTGACGCCTATGTCATTATTGTGTAAAAGTGTTGCTTGTTGCAATCAATTTCCAAACCTTTCTGATGAAATTTTCAAATATTTTTTTCAAAAGTGATTACACACTGCATGGCATAGTTGGTTTGTCGCAGCCGGATGGTTTGTGCATGCAAGGGATGTCTGGCGGACTGATTCACGTCTGTACATTTAATGAAATCACATTAACTTTTTTAATGAACAATGTGTGAACAATGAACAATGTGTGCAGTCTAAGAAAAAATGTTTTCACAATTTTAAGTTACGTAATAAATTTTTATTTAAACGCAATTATAAAATAATAATAGTACTAAAAAAAATGAAAAGAATAGTGAAATACCTAGTAGAGAAACTATTTACTGGACTCTCGAAAAACATCATGAATATGTTTTGTTATAACCGCCGGAATGTTGGAATTACGCTTTATAACTAACTGTTGTTATCTTGTTATTTTTGCTATATTTTTAATCTTGGATTGTCAAAGTCTTTTGTATATAAGGGGCAGGAATAGCGAAGACAAATTGAGGTTTGAAGCAAAGTCGTAAATGTGATTAATGTAATTGCTTGGATAAGTTTAGTGTTTTTATTACTGTTGGCATTCGAATAAACTTTCAAACAAGTTTGCGTTTGAGGCAGTTGTGTTCATCTATCGGGAATCTTGAACCTATGGAATAACGACAACTTGACGATGGTTGGATGCTACAACACTGGCGTTCGAAGTATAGAAATCTTTAAAGTTATAACATTGGTGCTGGTAGTAACGAGCGTTAATGTTTACAACAGTACATTATGGGGTGAATTTATAAATACGCATTTGTATAATTATGTGTTGAATATAAAATTAGTTTAACTAATTGACTTAATACCTATTGTTAAATTAAAAACGTGGTGAAAACTTTAAAACTTTTTAGTTCTTTATATTTTGATAAAAGATTACGTATAATATATTTTTTGAAACGTTTAATGGTTGAAACCTTGCAAAAGTAAGCTATTTTATTTTAACATCTTGTTCTTGAACAACAACGCTTTGTAGGATTTGAAAAAGTTCGAGCACAACCTGGGAATGATATTGGCTCATGAAATGGGTCACATCTTCGGTTTGAACCACGTAGAAACGTACGGCGGATGTTCATGCAGCCACCACCAATGCATCATGTCTGGCTTCTTCAAGTTCACAGACTCGTATCTATATTAATTTTTGTTACATCTAAATATTCAAAAAAATTAAAACTTAAAAAATGTCTGTTGATTGTGTCATCGTTTATAAATTGCGCTATACAATAAGTATTAGATACCTTAAATGTCATTTTTCTTTAATATCTTAAATGTCCTTAAGTATCATCACTTTTTTGACCGGCAGCTTCTCGAACAGCGCCTCTGAGTTTTACATAGAGGGGCGCTATATAAATTCTCCATACCATACCATTAATTGTTTCTTAAACAGATTTTTATGCTGATTTCAAACGTGAAAACTGTTTGGCTCTATCAGGTCAAATTGCTGAGATATCGTCAAATTTGAGAAAAATGTTAATAAGAAGCCCACATTCTTCTCAATGATCATTTTATTAAAAATTTCATTTATTGTTATGAGTGTATGACTGTATGTTTATAAATCCCTATATATGTTAATATAAATTACATAAGAATTTTATATATATATATATATATATATATATATATATATATATATATATATATATATATATATTGGTAACAGACTGTTGCTAACGCAACATTTCAAAAATTTAACACTACTTTCAACATTGTTCAACTTTTTTATATTTCTTTTTAATTTATTAATGTCAGAGAAACTAGACATTTTATTGTTTTATATATATGTATATGTATATTTTTTTTTCTATTACCAACATATATGTATATATATATATACATATATATAATATGTATCATTTTATTAATAATATATAAGCATCTAACTTACTTGCTCTGGCTACAGCAAGAGTGAATTTTTGTCTCAAGTATAAAGATCTTGCTTAGTACTTAGAAATGAGTTGTAGCATTTGCTACTGCAAAGATGTGGGTGGTCTTATGTCGCATCTGGGAGGTAAGCACATTTTTGAAAAATTGCGGCTGTTCTTCGACTCGTCAAAGACTAGTTTGAAGGCAGTACTGTTTCACAATAGAAACAAGTAGGCATCAACACCAGTAGACTATTCTACACATATGAAAGAAGCGTACGAAAACATGTCGTCACTTCTGCAATCATTACGTTATCGTGGATACGATTGGAATATTTACAGCGGGGTTATTTCAAAAACGGGACCTGGTAAAAAAAACCTGTTTAGGTGTTTGAAATTAGCATGCTCAAATTTACTTTGACAGATTACTTTATGCCAAGATATCCGCAAAAAGTTTTTTTCCGTTGTTCCCTGCTATATTGCTCGTAGTTGTATAATATTTTGGGATTTATGATTTTTCAACTTATGCAAACTACATAAAACATTACGACAGAAACACTCAGAGCTTAGGATGGGCAGAGTGTACGGCGGAACATCTGCTGGAGCTGAAAAGAAAGTTCACGTGCATTGATGATGTTGATGATGATGATGCATTGCAGGCAGATGAAGTTTCTTGTGGAAATGGATTTGTTGAAGGCCATGAAGAATGCGATTGTGGGAATCTTCCCAAACATGTGCAAACTTAATAATCACTAGAATTTTAAACAAAATTTATATGATGTAATAATTTAAAAAAATAACTTGTTAAAAGATGTGTTCGACAAACTGTTGCGATCAAAGAACGTGCCGTTTGAAGTCAAGAAGCCAATGTAGCGATGGGGCCTGCTGTCACCTTGCCACGTGCACTGTAATTCATTTGCGATTTTCCATCTTTTGATTTTGCAAGACCCTTTGCTAAATTATTTGTGTAATTTAAATGAACTTAGTCGTCCAAGTATAGTGAATATTCGAGATCCTTTCGGTAGTTTATATATTCATACTAGCTAGTTAAACGCAAAAGAATTTTTGTATTACACCTCATACAAAATTAAAATGTCTCAATTAAATTTTTAAATGCAGTTTAAAACGAACGAAACGATATGTAGGCCAGCGAAAGACGACGAATGTGATGTGGATGAGAAATGCGATGGCAACATGGCTACTTGCCCACCAAATGTCCATCAAGATAATGGTCTTATGTGCTCAGTTAGTCATGCGTCATGCCTTTAAATTGATCTTTTTTAATTTATGGAGAGTTGATTATTTATGGCAAATTTTAAGTCATTGTAAATCTGTACCTAACATTTATAAAGTATTCTAATTTATGATATGAAAATATTAAAAAAATTTTGTTAAGAATTTATTATTTCAATATATTCTTCGCAATAAATTCTTCTCTTCAAGATCTTTGATAAAATTTGAACACAAAAATTGCGCAAAACTTCAAGACAATGATATTTGCAATAACTGAATAGGAAGAGCATTTCCTTTGCTAGGGAGAACATTACTGCTACGATGGCGGGTGTGTGACCAGGGACAGGGCATGTTTGGCGATGTGGTCTGGAGGGGTGAAGGCCTCCGATGACGTTTGCTACTCCATGGTGCCACCTGACTACGATCCTCTACTGTTGTATTGCTATGCCAACATGGCCACGTCTGTTATTGTTCCGTGCAATGAAAGGTAGTTAATTTGTATTTTCAACCTATGCAATGAAAAAAATGAATGAATTAGCTAATTATTATAATTATAAAAGATTCATAAATTATTTTTATATATGCAAAATTCAGTTACTCTAATTAATAGTTTGTGTTAGCATTCACTCTTATATGGAATCTTCATCTTTTTTATGACAGAAACAAAATGTGCGGCACTGTGTTTTGCAACCGAATAAAAGAGTCAGAAATGCACATGAACATCATACCTTTCTTAACTCTGCACAACAACTTCAACAACTCCGTCACCTGCACGTCCGCTTTCTACCCCTACCAAGACGGTGTTAGAAATCCTGGCATTGCTCCTGATGGATCAAAGTGTGGTTCAAACAAAGTTTGTTCCATTTTTATATAACTTTTTAAGATGCTTGTTCGTTAACAAATTTTTTAATTACTAATATTTATTATGCATTTTATAAAATAAAATTAATATCTAAAAATTTTTAATTGTTTAATTTATATAGATAAAATAATGTTCTAAAAAAATTGAACGTCCAGATGTGTTTGAAGAGAGAATGTGTAGATGTTCCTGTGATTGTGTTGACGAAGCAACAAGGAATGAGAAAAGTTGGTTACTGTTTTAGAATCGTACATATTATTATTATATTATTGGATGTGGTTCTTTGTATGTTGTGTTATTATGTAGATAGTCCTGGTTCTCTATCTTGATGTTGCGACGAATACCGTATCCACATAGGAACAGGGAACTTAGCGGATCACTGATGTGATGCTCGCTATCAAACTCGATTATCGTTAAACGAATGTATAGTGGTGACGAATTAAATTGATGACTTACGCGATTTAGTTATTATGTTATTTACGACGATAAAAAATATTGTCTTTTAGCAAATTAAACACAAACTCACCCATTTTAGTTTTACAGTTCTTTTTCCAAAACAAGGTGATATATACGAATAAAATAAATGCTACGAGTAAAATCTATTTGTATGTCTTGAGTCCTATCTGTTGCGTGAGTTATGTTGTGTCCTTCCCGTCTTGTTCCGTCTCGTCTCTCGAGTAGACTCGTGTGTGTCTTATGTTCTTCTTCCCGTCTCGTCTCGTCTGTCGTGTAGTTCCTTGTGTGTCTTCTGTAGTTTTTTTTTCTGCTTAATGCTGCATCTCCTTATATAGGAGAAGGTGCCTGCTCGTTGGCGTTTTAGTTTCACATGCGGAAATGGTTGCATATGGATCTAATTACCTCGTCTGTAATACTTTGCATACCAGTCGTGATGAATTGCGGTCAAGTGTGTCTTTCTCTTATTTAATATTTCTCTGTTTGTGGTTTCGTCTGTCTGTGTGTATGCATTTTGCTGTGTGCGCTGGCGTCTTAGTTTCACATGCGAAAATGGTTGCATATGGATCTGATTACCTCGTCTGAAATATTTTGCATACCAGTCGTGATGAATTGCGGTCAAGTGTGTCTTTCTCTTATTTAATATTTCTCTGTTTGTGGTTTCGTCTGTGTATGTGTCTGTGTGTATGCTTTTTGCTGCGTGAATATATTCCCTCTGTGGAACAATAAATACGTCAGTCGTGTTTTTATGTGTTTTAGTCTTTGTATGTGTGTGTGTGTGTTGATTGATTTACATGATAATATTCATTGAAATGTTTTCTAACTTATTCATAGATTTTTACGAATAAATTTCATTTTCAGAAACAGAGCAGCTTGAATTTTGTTTCCTCTGCGAATCCTTTCATTTCTTCTGAAAATTTTATTTATATTTCAATTATTATCACCCAATTTTTCAAACAAATTGAACTTGCTTATGAATATTATTGATAATATAAATAAAAGACTTTTTTATGTTTTCAACATTTTAAAAGCAAAAATTTCAATTGTTGTCATCGATTGATAATGTTACAAGTCAATATTTCAAAAGCGACAAAAAAGATTGGTTGAAAAATTTCATTACTATTCGAATGTTAACCACGCGCATAAATTATACTAGCAACAATTTTATATTTATATATTGTTGTTATATTCTCTTTTTTATAAATTTTAGAACTCGTTTTGCAATATTACACAAATGAACATTTACAGATTTGAATTAAAATAGGAAAAAGATTTGCTTTTTCCTTCACAAATAAACGTCTGTCGAACATATATATACATTTACTCAATGTATGATTTCATAATAATATTCGTAAACAAACACAACACAAAAACATCACTTCTACTTTTGCACAATTTAAAACATGAAACGTAACAAAAAAATAGAATAAGATTATTTTCGTAAAAAGTTTACAATATATTCTTCAAATTCAACAATAATTACATGGCTGCTTGAATCAGATGTTCACGGTTGTTTAATTCTATATATTAACATTTTATTTTGAAATTAATAATGTTAAATTTGGCTGCTCGAAAAAGGTCTCCATGAAATAGTCAAATATGAATGCTAAGCGTCAACTTTTTCTTTCGATGAATTGCACAAGCCTGTTACAAAAGAAATTTGAACCTGCTTCTTTCTAACATCACTTTTCATTTTATAAGTATCTTATTCTTTTTTAAAAATTTCATAATCATTAAAAGTCTGCGTTTAACATCAACAATGAAAACTCTCATAATGCAGAACGGATTATAGCTATTGAAATTTTTATTCGCTCTTTTACAGATAACATTTTTCAAAATATTATTCCCAAATTGATCTGATCAAAGAAATTTTGGTAATGTCTCAATTTTTTTTCCAGGAATGATCTTGGCATCAGAAAAATGATTGTGTCTTTTACATTAACATCCTACATTATATTAATACCAGGTTGGTAATAACTGTTCTTGTTGTTTTCAAATTTAATGCAAGGAGTGTTTTTAAAAGTCGTTACAGGCACGCGAAAGTTAGTTGACGTCGTTTACAAAGATGCAGCCGGAAAGGAAGTGGATTACGAACTATTATTGGTAAGCGTAACATTAATTATGGATAAAATAATCCGATGTATCAGGAACTGTTTCTCATACAGGATTTTTCATTTCTCAACATTGATTTGGTGGAGAACGGGAAAGCTATATATCAGCTAAATTTGCATGTGAACACGTTAGTTTGAACTAATTCGAAATATGTAGACAACACTTTTATTTAATTATGGGTCTTAGGGTTATTTGTTTTTTTTTCGTACCAAAATCTTTATATTTACTTGTTATAATTTTTTAATTATTAATTTAACTAAAAGATTCAATTGCAAATCCGGGCTTCACAACTATTTGTATGTTTTTTTTGAAATACTGTTACATACACAAACAAATCCCACTGTGTTCACACCAACTTTTGGTTTTACTCAAACTTCAGTTACTAACCTTTTTTCAGCGCGTCATTCTACTAATGGAACTTCATTCATTCAATCTTGACACGTTATTATTTTCTCGCGTTGGCCAAAAGTTTGCAATGCACTTCTGAAATATTTACAAACTTTATAAAATCGACTTAATTATTTTTTCTTGAAAATGGATAGATATATTGAATTGAATGGAATTGAATAGATTTGTTAATCGGCTGTTGACGATAATTTTCTCACAACTTGCTTAGAAAAAAAAAACAAAAAAAAACAAGACTTGAAATTAAAATAAAATATCAATAATAATAATTGTTTCAAATTATATTTTTTTTGAATTAATGAATATGAAATAAATTAAACTCAAGTCAGTTGTTTACGAAAGGTTTTACGGAATATGTCGTAGAGGAAGATGGCATTCGAAAACCTCTGCCTAATACGGTAATTCTCAAATTTTAGTGCCATTTTTACTATTACAAATTAATTTACTTCAGAATGCTACCAAAAATTTTAAAGTTATAAAGGAAACAATTTATTTTTAAAATAACCCATAAAGTTTTAATTTGCGTTATGTCACTTTTGTTGAATTTGCAGGGTAGATTTGATTGCAACTACAAGGGACATGTGGACAACGATCGATCACGCGTCGCCTTCGTCAACCTCTGCAACGGCATCAAGTGCGTTTCTTACGTTACATCATTTTAATATCCGATTTCTGTTGAATTTTACAATCATTGTAATCAATTTATGAATTGATCTAATTAGATTTGGAAAAAATCATTTCAGTGGATTTTTCTCCGGCAATGAATCAGCGTACGAAATAAGTTCTGGTGGTTTGAGCCTGAGTCTCAAGTACAATTCTGCCTATATTTCAAATGAGAATCGAGTTGGTCATGTTAATTGGACGTGCCGTAAGTTTTTGTTGCATGCATTTTTTATGGTGTTATTTCTTAGTCTTAATTTTGAAAATATAAAAATTTTTAAAAATATATTTCAAAGCAATGGCGTAGCTCAAAAAACTAAAATTTATATATAGATTTTGCTAAACATAATCTTAACCCTTGCCAAAATCTCCCTTGTCAACGCCTCTGATCTGGAAATTGTAAAAAAAATGTAATAATAAGCGATGAAATGATGATAAAAATTAGTGACAATTTAATAGGAACAAATGTAGAAACATCAGGTTACGACGAAGCAAACATGCCAGCTCCAAGGATGGCCCGAGAAGTACATGTTTTTATGCCTAACTCTTCGATTCACTCACAACTAGCGTTCTCATTTTAAATCAACATTTTTCATCGAATTTTCATCATCAGAGTAGAATCAATGTCTTGGATCGGAAAGTTCGTGTGGCGAAGATATATTTTGTCATTGATTTCAATGAGGTTAATTTTGCGTTATGAGCACCATCATTTTTGCAAAATGCCGGCCCATATTTTTAATATCATTTATTCAACACGCTTAAATGAACATTAAAAAATGAGCAAGTACTGAAAATTGTACACTAATTTACAATGTAATTAAAGTGAAACGTTGATTTTGATCAATATAAAAAAAAATAAATGGTGGATAAAAGTTAAATAAACAAATAATAATAAAGATAATAATACATTCAAATGTAATAAAGAAAGTTTGATTATGATTATGGCTAAAGTTAGAGTTTACTAGCATACTGCGAAAATTATAGAAAATTTTACCTACACAATGTGAAAGTATTTATACATTGACATTAATTTGCTCAAGTTTGTGGGAAACAAAAGAAGTTTTGCAGTTTCAAGAACAAAAGTTGAAACCATCGTCAACGTTGCTAACACGGTAATAAATAAAATTCGTGGCATTTCAAATACAAAAATTTTTTCTAGAATAAAACTCATTAGAATGTTGCTTGTGATTTTTTTTAATTTTAACGTTAACTGGTGTTATCGCGTTTATCAAGTTTTATCAGATGCTCGATGTGTTGGTTGCTATAGTTGGAATCGAATACTGGAACCAAAATACTTTAGAACTAAGAGAAAACGCCACTGCAAATGACTTTACTGAGTTTTGGTGTAGTTATACTTACAAACACATCTATCCATTTGTCATCCAACATGATATCACTTTCCTGGTGACGTTAGTCCAGTGATTTTCGTAACTGTTTTCCTCGATATGATAACTGCTTACTCTTTTGAAATATAGTAATGTTTGACTGATCTACACATTTAATATTCTTACATATTTTTTTTAATATTTCACTGTTTTTGAAAAATTATTCAAATACTTTGTGCGTTTTCAAATATGTTAACTGATTAAAAAATGATTTGAGGAAATTTGCACAGTAAACACGTTTTCTCCAAAACAATGGGAGCGGCCAAAATGTACGGTATGTGCTTCCCGAGATCATCTGGCGGCTGGCTCACAGTTAGTAGTAACCTCTTATAATACATCTGCAACAGGGAAAGTATCTCCGGTTGCTGTAAAAAAAATTTGTTTCAATGAAAAAATTGAAACCGTTTAAATAGTAAATAATAAAAAATGTTTCAAAAGACAATGCAATCGGCTTACGAGATTGGCATAACATTCACGCACGAGTTGGGACACACATTCGGCATGAAGCACAACGAGGACGTGCCCGGCTGCCAGTGTACCGGGCACTGTGTCATGGACACAAAAGCAACGTACTTTTTTTCAAATAAATTACGCTTTTACGATTAATTTGTTTGTTCCAGCTAGCTTTGGGCAGTCCCTGTGTTAGTTTAAAATAAATATTTTTAGTTAACGTGATCAACGCAAATTAAAAAATGAGAAAAATATCAATGTCTTATTTTTTAATTTTTAAAGGACTTCATTTTTGAAACTGAACTCTCATTCGATGTTTTATTTTCAAATTAAATTTTTGCTCGCTTTCACATTATGATGAAAAATAATATTATAACTAATTAAAACTTATATAATATGAGCATATTTATAAATTTATACAAATTATACATATACGTATATTATTTGTTGATAAGGGATATGTGAAAGTCTGTAGCATCTGTTTTTGTTATAAAATTTTCAAAAATTTTATAGCCGTTGGAAAACCTTGTAATATTATTTGAAGGAAAGGATTTAAAAACTACGAGTGGTCAAGTTGCTCTAAGGAAAAGATAAAGTACGTCATCAGTCTGCAGACCTGCCTCTTCATGCCCGTGGAATTCATCAACGATGCCAAATGTGGTAACGGAATATTGGACATAAATGAAGAATGCGATTGTGGAAACCTGCCAGAAAGTGTCAGAACGATTTTTAAGAGTTTTTTTGGTTTTTTTTCAATTATACTGCTGGCAAAATTTGAAAAAAATTTATAACTAATATTTTGATTCAACATTGAATGTTTTGTCGATTGAATTACAAGGTTTGCAACTGGAAATGTTGCGTGCGAGAGACATGCAAATTGAGTGCAGGCAGTAATTGTGCCACAGGACTGTGTTGCGATCTCATAAGTTGCATTGTATGTAAGACATCTTTTTTCTTTTTATATCACTCTCAAGTCTGAGTTTTATTAGAGACGATTTTTTCTAAAGTTGAAAAAACAAGACATTGTGTGCCGAAATTTATACGATGAGGAGTGTGATATTGAAGATAAATGCGATGGCTCCTCAAATCTCTGTCCTGATCAAAAATTTGACGATGGCAAAGTCTGTCAGGTTCGATTTATGTCATAGATTCTTGTAATAATAATCACATCATGTAGTCTAACAATTTACTTTTTCATTCTTCTTCGTCACAAATATAGCAATGTGAGACTCTTTAAAAAAACATCGAAACAAATAAAATGATATTGGATGATAAAATATGATATGATATCATAAAAATGGATATTATTATTATTATAAATAATGAATAATTTGAATATTCTTAAGAATAAATTAATAGGTGTTATTGGGATAAAAAAACTACCTGTTAACAATAACAAAATATAGTAACCCTCGCCCAATTTTTTAGCTAAAATAAATCACTTCTACAAAATATAAATCTCGCCAATTTTTACATTTAACCGATAATCGAAAAAAATATTTTCAGTTTTTTGTGGGCTTCAATATTATTGCCTTTTTTTACAATATAACTAAAATATATTATTACCCACTCAAAATGATTTTTCTTGTAATCTGAATAACGCTCACATTGTTTTAAAGTGTATATCTCAAATTAATTTTGTGTGATATGACGTTAACATTACTAACTGATATCTGATTTGCTCCATTTCAGAGTAATTTTTACTGTTACAAAGGAATCTGTCGAACTTACGATCGATCCTGTCAGTTTTTGTGGGGTACAAAGCTAACGAAAGGTGCCTCACTCAAGTGTTACGACACCAACTCATTGGAAGGACCCAATCAAACGCAGAACAACTGCAAGTTCGATATCGTTAAAAATCAACCAATTCCTTGTAAAAAACAGTTAAACGCATTAAGTTTCAATCTCTTATTAAAAATAATTTATCTCGTTCAATTTTTGAAATAATAATAATCATAATAATAACACTACTCTGAAAACATGGCATATTTATTGTGCCTACAGAAATGCTATGTGTGGTACATTATTTTGCGATGGACCAGACGACAAGAACAGCATGAGATTTGGGATTGCCACAATTTTCAGTAGCCAACTGCCAGATCAATCCAAATGTGTTTCTACTTTCATGATTTATTCTCCATACGTTGATAATCCAAGTTACGTGGAAGATGGAACTAAATGCGGAAATGGAATGGTTTGCAATTTTTAAAAGAAGATTTATTTGATGTTCAGTTTTGTCGTTCATTTTTCAAAAAAATATTCATGATCGATAATACCATTGCTTTATAACTGTTACAAGTAGTGTAATTTTTGTATTGGTGAATATATGCACTTTGAAAAAGATATGCTACGAAAGTCAGTGCATTAATCTGAAAAATGTTCCAAAAAGTAAGCCTAAACGAACTCCTCGACCATTGCCAAACGTTGAAAAGTCCGATGAAAAATCGGAAACTCCCGAAGATTATGAAGATAGTAAAAATCGTGACCATAAAAATTCTGCTTTTTTAAATTTCAATAAACAACCTTTACTAATTTATTTCAACATCTGTTTCAACGTTATGTTTGACTAATCTACTCATTTAATAAATTCAGATCCTTTTTAATATTTCACTGGTTTTAAAAAATTATTTAAATGCTTTGAGCTTTTTCAAATTTGTTAACTGGTTAAAAAATGATTGCTCATTCGATTGCCGTTTTTCGTTTTGATAGGCTGTCAAATATTTTATTACTAAAAAAAATACTAAAACTACTGTCAAAGTTAACGTAATAAATACAATCTATGCCTACTTTTTGGTTAAGTAAATTTATTAAAATCTGAAATAAAGTGTTGTGATATCTCAGTTACTTTAATAGAAAATATAAAAAACTGTAGAAGAGGTATTTTTATTTATAATATTAAACTGATGTTGTTAACGTGACACAAAACGTATGCAAACGGCATTACTTTATTACATATGTAATATCAGCTATAAACAGATTCAAAATATTTTAAATATATCGTATTCTTATAGGAGCCTAAATTCCTTAGATGAAATAAAATCAGTTTTTTCGTTTAAAATAATCATCCAATTCAGCGTCTAGCTGCTCTTTAGTCAGTCGTTTTTTATATAGTCTCGCTCGATGTTAGATTTTCTTTTTTGCTTTGGAAATGTGCGTTCTTATTTGAAAATATGGTTGGCACTGATTGAACAGTTGACTAAATTACAATAACTTTCCAAATCAGCTTTCAGCTCTTGTTTAGTCAATTTTTGTGAGTGTGGTTGTTTTAACCTGTTTTTTTGAAATTTTCCACTTGTGAAAAGTGGCTCATTTTTGCTTCCTAAAAAATTAATTGTAGTGTCTACTGTTGCGCCTTGCATATTAGTGTTTGTTTTCAGCACTGGTTGCACCGGTGTAAATAATAAGGTTGAAAAAATTTAGGATTTTTCGGAAATTGCGTTCGTCAGACAAAACGCCTGTCTGGTTGTGGTTTTGTAACTTTTTTTAGGTAGTATACCAAAATGATTCTGGGCTTTGTTCTTGTTACCTCATAATTTTCCGGGTGGAACATTGAATCTTTTTTTGATTCCCTCCACTTGTTTTGTCCTGCGATTATTTTAATTTTATCAAATCATCCAAACTCAAGTCTATTTTATTTGAAGCCTTCTTTGAATGAATTAGTGGAAGCAATGTACGTTACGTATTCAGTTAGTGTTATGAACCAAAATTTTTGAATGAAATAGTTGTAAGCGACTTATCTGTACTTGATCAGACAGTGTTGTGGACCAAACTTGTAATGGAACCTTTGTTGATAAAAAAAAGACTGCATAAACAAAGACTGCATCAAATTCTCTGTCACTCAAAGTTAATTACAACTTCAAAGCATCATCGTAAAGTCATAAAACAGGACAAAGTCAATTAAAGCAACAACCAAGACAAAGTCAATTAAGCAAAGTTAGTCGATAGACGCTGTTATCATTCAATGGTTTCTAGTCAAGCGATAGCAAAATCTGTTGAAACAAAGTCTGTTGAAAATTTCGAATTGAGACGTTGCAACTTTGCATACAAAATTATTGACTATTTATTATTTTTTGAATATATTTTTCTTGCTTGATAATATTTTAAGTAAAAATTCTCTATTATGTATGTTCAACATTTTGTTAATTATCTTGACAAATCTAAAATGAAAAAACAAAGGTTTGGAAGATGTTTTGCTAAATTTAAAATTTTTTTTTCAATTTCATCATTTTAAACATAATTTTCGTTAATGCTGGGTTTTTGATAATGTTTTTTAATATCAAATTTGGTGTTTGATATAACGAGAAGAACAAATAGTTTAGCAAATTCTTGAATTGCAAATTTTTCAAAGTGCAAAGTACAATCAACAAATGAACTAAACAAAACTAAGTTATTTAAAAAATTTTAAATAACAATTCGTAACTTAAAAAGACAAACAATCCTTGTTCCAGACATTTTTTTGGAATAAAGATAGGATCAGCTGATCCAACTGACGGTCTTTTACGTGGTGTTGGATTTCTGGAACGAGGAGAAACTGGAGGTCTAGGAGTAGTGTATTTTTCCGATTTGATGTCTTCTATGTTGTAACATTTTTTATTGTAACACATCTGACAGGTTCAAAAAAAAGGATCAAATAATTTTATTCACAAACGTTTTTCTTTTTAAATTTTTCATTTTTGTAAGCTTTATCTTGTTATTTGTAAAGAATAAATTTGTTACATTTGTTTATATTATTAGAGAAATTTTATTGTTTGTCTAAAAAATTGTATAAAAAAGTTTTAAAAATTATCACTTTATTTTCTCCGCATTTTGTGCCATCTCGCGGATATCCATAATTTACAACATCAGGCCAAAAGGGATAAAAGACTGAAACGCAATGTACGGAGCCAAGCTCAACATCATCTGCTTCGAACGTGATAATTGTCGTATCATAAATATCCATTCGTCCACCATTCCTTGCAGTGCAGTGTAAGCTTCCACACCATATGTCTCTGCATGAAAGTAAAAGACATGTTGAATATTATTGAAAATAATAGCTGCCGTCAAATATATTGAAATTTCAACTCACTCAACTTCGCAAGGTATAGCTACACCATCTCCAGAGTCCTTTAAAAAACGACAATTATAAAACTTGGTAGCATTCATATTCATTTGGTAACATTGTTCGGGAGCTGAAATCGACTTATTGCCGTATAACGCTTGGCAGGCTTTGTCGTGACTGTTACATTCTCCATCGAAGCAAAAACCACCACCCTGTTCCAATTAATAAATTTTCTCATTGAACGATACGGAATCATAATAATCTACATTACACAATTACCAAACAAATTGGAACCGAAATATTAGACACCAACTTGGCATGGTGTAGTGTTGTTCACGTGCCTGTCTACTGGGCAATGGTTCGATGCACCGTCACACACCTCCTCAACATCGCATTCGCCTGCAGCTTCTCGACAAAGTGAATTTTTTTTTAACTGAAAAAATTTACATTTTAATGATTGTTTTTTTACTAGCGAATAATCTAGTTGATAAATTAACCGTTCAAAAAATTGTAAGCTCTGTTCTCATTGTCACTTCTAATGTTTATCATACATCATTTATTGCCAGAATATCTCAAAGAAACTTATGTGAGTTATGAGAATGAGAAATAATTTAGAAAAATTCATGCTTACGCTATTCAAACTTAAGTTTTAAATGGTAAAGATTTGTTTAAATTTCTTTTCTATGGATGAAAATTTTCAATTTAATTCAAAACAAATAAATAACATGCTGAAAATTTATAAAAACCAATACATTTGTTGGTAACAAATTGAAACTTCAACAAATTCAAATTTTAAAAAAATTTATAACGGGTAAAATGTTTAAGGCGAAAAATTGTGACAATCAACAAACTTGACAAGTATTAAGGTTGCAACAAAGCCCGCTAGCACATTTGGCGTTTCGCGTAAATTTACAAGTATTTTTATCGCAACATTTGATTGAACAGCGCTGAAAAAAATACGTACATGAGTTGATCATTATCATTTAATTTTTCAATTTATTCTACTTTATTCGGCAATTTGCCGCAGTCGCAATCTTCATCAAAATCCACATATCCGTTGCCACACTGGTCGTAGTGGCTCAGAATGACGTCATTATCTAAACACGGAAGAGTGGGAACCAACGTTAAAAGATGATCAGCAGTGCAGTTGGCGAATCCGTATTCATGCGAAATGCTGCAAAACATTAGGAATAAGATCAAAAATATTTAACCATTGTTTTGAGTCATGTAATTTTTTACAAAACCAACTTAAACTCATTCTTTGTAACAAAATTGAAAATGAAATCGCGGCAACAAAATTGTGATGACAAAACTTACCGCACCCAGCCATTCATTACGCAGTGATGGAAAAGACAGACGCAGTTTGGATAGTCGGTGTAATGATACAGTCCCAGCACGTGACCCATCTCGTGGGCCAATGTTGCTCCTGCCAGGAGTGTTTCCTCTTTGAAATCCTTCATGTATTTCAATTGTAAGTTTTTGTACGGGTGAGTGTTAGTGTGTGTATGTATGTTAATTTATAAATATTAAATATTATGTTTTTTCATAAATTTTTTTTTATCCCCTAACTAATGTTTGGCAAATTTGAAAAATTCAAAATAAATTCCTTAACACATATTAATGTTTTTAATGCAAATTTATACATTGATCCAAGAAAAAAATTCTGAAATCGGAATTTTTTTTATTCGTGCCATATACTTACAGATTAGACACAGGCACAAACAAATAAACACAGCAAACACACACACAAACACAAACACACACACACAAACATACACACACAAACATACACAAACTCACTGAGACCCAGCCTCCCGACATATCCTTCCTGCACATGAGACCTACGTCAGACACACCGTACACTCCGTTGAAATAATGGTTACTTAATAAAATAGATGTGTTGCGTGAATATTGGAAATTTGTGCGGATTAAATGTTTGGATACACAGCAAGCACAGAAGTTATTTAAAGTGGTTTTTTTTTGTTTTTGAAGAATTTTAGAAAAAATTAAAAAAAAATTGTTGAGGACCAATAGAAAAATGCAGGAAATGAATGCGTTTCACATTTTATTGTAGTTTTATCAAAAATACAACGACTAAGGCTGCCATGTTTGCCAATTTTCAAAAGGGTTTGGAGACCAAATGAATTAAAACCAATTGTTATTTTGCATATACTAGCAAATTTAATAAAGGAGACAAACAAATCAAAGAAAGAAAATTTGTAGGGTACATGTCAGTGCAAATCCTGAGGGTTACAGACGATTATGTTCAAGTAAGACTCAAGTAAAGATTAAAATATTTTTACATCATTTTAAACAGTTATCGTAATTGTTTGTTTTTTAAATTGTTTTTAGGTATGGTTTATATATTTACAAATTGGAGGAGAATCATTTTTGTGATAATTGGATTAGGGAAAGCTGTGTAAAAAGTGAGCTCACTAACATGAAGAGGAATGTCGTGTCATGGTTAATAACCACAGGCTCAATGTACTTAGCCTTGTAATCAAACCATTGAGTTAAAAGCGCTTCTGACCCTTTTGAAACTGTTATTATCATTTTTTCCGATGTCCAGCTTTCCATCCCTTTCAAAACTATGTAAAGTCTCTGCGCCTGAAACATCTGCTGGTTTCATTCTATGTTATTGTTATCCCTATAAATTATTCAAATACATCTTAATTACATATAAACAAATCCTAAAATAAAATATACAAATATTTGAATTATGTGTGTGCGTTGAAAAGTATCTTTAAATAAAGCAAACCATATTGGCTATGTTGATAATTTGTTTGGCTCTATCTACCACAACTTGAATGTCCTTTTTGTGCTTTATATACTGAAATAAAAAATTCTTTTAGATTATTCTCACATATACTTTTATTTAAATGGCGCGATGAAATTAGAAGATGAATTGACCTGCGAGTAGTCATTAACGACGTAGATCTCTATGGCTTTGAAGTTCCTGTCGTCAATCTCTTCAAAAAAGGTGTTGGCGATCTACGGATGAACGGGATAATGAAAATTTACGCTAAAAATGAAAGAAACGCCTAATCAAATTTACTCTTTTTTTCTTTGAAGCCTCCTTGAATGCCTTTGTAGAAAACTTTTCATCTAGTAAAACATGAAACAAGTTTTATAATATATATATATATATATATATATATATATATATACATACATACATATATGGATGAGCATATATAAAAAAAAGTATTTTCAAAATAGTAGTTGATAACTAAGGTATTTTTAGAGTAATGGAATATGCATAGAGAACAGCGCGCAAAAAGAAGTTAAAAGTTAAAAACTACATTATCAACTGTCTCAATTACAAAAAGTTATTCTCATTGTCAAATATTACACGACTGCACACACACACACACACACACACACACACACAAAGATATTCAAAAATAAATACGCAAATAATTAAAAGATAACACCTAAATGAGGATTGTTCGTTTCATCACCGAGTATCATCATCGCTTCAGTGTACTGGTTGTTCGCAGTGTTCGGCATAATGTTGTACATGTTGTTCGCCGTGAAGAATCCTCTGCAAATTCAATTTTACTGCAAATGTCAAAGCTTGATGGTGAAAATGAGACACTTCGGTTTCTTTATTACAAGTTTTAAAAGTTAAACAGCTAATAAATTTGGAGAGGTTAGATACATACTGGACACCTTTGCAAAAGCTGAAAGCTGCCATTGAATGTTCGTATTCCTCAACAATTCCAGAGTAATAACAATTCTGTGGCGACTTTCATAATACTCAAAATTTTAGCAACAATAATAATATTAAGGATAATAAAATTAATGGTATATAATTTTAATTTTTCAAAATTTTTCATATTCGTATAGCAATTTCAATTTGTAACGTGGCAACAATAAATTTGCTTCATAGGCACATGAAGTGTAATATCTACAAAGAAATGATTTTCAAGCATTTGTTAAAAGCTGACAATAAATTGTATCGTCTGAGTTCAATTGGTAGTGCAGATAGATTATTGAAAACATTTTAGACGTGATGAGAAAAATGTATTCATCAAACAATTAATAATAATAATTTGGTTTTAATTTCAAATAATGAAAATTTTAATTATTTTAATTTTTACAATCAATTATAATCAAACTTTTGTTAAAGTTTTTGTTCCATTTTTTCCAACCGAAAACTCCGCATATTCTCTTGATAACAAAGATCTTGAAAAAGTAAAAAAATTAATAACATAAATTACTTTTTCTGTTTCATATTTTTTGTAGAATATTCACAATAGTTTTAAAATTAAATTTTGGGGCGTTTATGCATTGTCGTTAAACATTTAAGTTAAATTTTTGAATTTTGATGTGAATTGTAAGAAACTCTATTTGAACTTTTTTAACAGATTGGAAAAAATTTAAGTTAGCCTTAAGTTGGTAGTTAGTTCCAGTTGACGAACTAATTATTTAAAAATTTAGTATAATATTTTTTCGGGAAAATTTTTGTAAATATTAAAATCAAAATATGTTATATCTTATCATATGAATCTGAAATATCATATTTCTTGAAAAAATTTTGTGGAACCTGGAACGGCGCAGTCTCAGACGGTGGGTCATATTATTTGGTTGGTGCACTGAGAGAAGCAACACACCTTCCTTCTGAAACGTCTGCAATATTTTATCGTCAGTTGTTGTTGGTTTCATTTCAGTAAATGTAATAATCAACTATTACGTCCACGTGTTTTACTAGCAGCTTTTTAGAAATAACCAAACCACGTATCAAACCAATTAACAAATTATTTTGATCAAAGAATATGGATCCTAAGATGAAAATTGATTTTTTTAGTTATTGTTAAAATAAGTTTTAAGTTTTAAGCAACAATGAAATTTGGTAACATAAAAAAAATGTTATGAGAGAAACCTCGTAATCTGGTTGATGAATCGGCCGGTTGCTTCCAGTTGCATATTCAATTCTCACAATCTCCTCTGTTGGACTTGTTCCTATTAATAAATAATTTAAGTTTGACTTCTCTCAAACAATATTGTATAATTAACGTTTAAAATGTTTACTTATGTATGGTGGAAAATGGAAAATTAACGCAAAAATTAAAACTTCCATTTAATCGGCTGTTAATTTTTCGAAAACATTCAACGTCATTTATATTCAACGTCAACGTTTTCAAAGAGCAAATTTAAATAGGATTTATTTATTTACTGCAAAAATTTATTGCGCAAAAAAATGCCCCAGTGAGTATAGCAACTTTTTAAAGCATAGTCCTGCAGATCGGAGAAAATCGACACGTCATATTTGATGTACCTTGTGGCCAAAAATAAAAAGCATGATGTTCTAGCACGCGTTACAATAGTAGAAACTATATAATGATAAGTAATATTCAATTCATTATCTTAAAAAAATAATTTACTGACTCAAGAAATGAAAAATGTATTGTTTTTAATCTTCAAAAAAGTAATTCAGTTATTAATTTGTTTATTTAATCGTTCTTTCATTCATTTAATTCATTCATTCACATATTAATTGGTTAATTCGTTTATTCATTAAATTTGTTCAATCATCAATCAATCAATCAATCAATCAATCAATCAATCAATCAATCAATCAATCAATCAATCAATCAATCAATCAATCAATCAATCAATCAATCAATCAATCAATCAATCAATCAATCAATCAATCAATCAATCAATCAATCAATCAATCAATCAATCAATCAATCAATCAATCAATCAATCAATCAATCAATCAATCAATCAATCAATCAATCAATCAATCAATCAATCAATCAATCAATCAATCAATCAATCAATCAATCAATCAATCAATCAATCAATCAATCAATCAATCAATCAATCAATCAATCAATCAATCAATCAATCAATCAATCAATCAATCAATCAACTTATTTATTCACTTACTTAACTTACATTCTTTTATTCGTTTAATCATTTATCAACTTTTACTTTCACTAATCGAGGAGATGTCTCTATTCCTCATCCAATTTTTAAATATGTTAGGTTTAGTTTTGGCTTACTTGTGCCTGTAACATTTTCTATGTAACTTCATAATCAAGTGATTGTCTGTAATGTATGGCAATCTAAATGATAAGATTTATAATTTATATTAAACAAAATATTTTTCATTGTTACAAAAATGTTATGTTTTTTGTATTTTACAAAATGTCATCAAACGCCCTTCTTTGGAAGACCCATAAACTAAATTAACAAACGAGTTGGGGCAAAATGGTCGCTTTTATGACTGTTCTTAATAATGTGCTCGCACATTTGTACATACTTGTGTTTTTATTTATGAGCCTCAATGTTGCATGCGTGTTTACACTCTTGTATTCTTTGTATGTGTTAAAATTTGTGTGTACCTTCAATAAAGAAGGGTTTTTTTTTGCTTTTAATCTTTTTTGTTGGTGAAAATAGAGAATACGATGCTTGCTCTAGTAGTAATAATAAACAATGACAAAAAGGTTAATTTTAAACTTAATTACCATGCTTCCTAATTTTCAAATTAATTACAGATAAAGAAAACGGATGTAGACATCAGAAGATTGTAGTTTTTTTTATTCCGTTTTTTTATATAATAACACTACCTGCTTGCAGATATGAGCATGTAGATATCAATTTTTTACAATTTTTTTAACTTTCTTTCTAATTCGTCTAAACGTTAAAAAGTTTTAATGGTGCTGATAAAAAATATATTAGTTTTTCTGTTGATACATATTTTCATGGGTCTGTCGATTGAACGAAGTTTGGTATGCGATCATAAAGAAATGAAAACATCTTACGGATCCGATGTTACGTTGGATGAAAAATGTGCCGATGAAAAATATACTTTCAGGCGAATTCACGTGCAAGACATCATAGTTACTGACGATACGATACTGGACAAATACAAAGGCAAAATAAAACTGAATAAACTTGGAAACGGTCTTACCGTGGTTAATTTCACTACCTCAGATGAAGGATTGTACATGTGGCACTGCGACTTTGACGGCAAGAATTATTGCATCCTAATAACTATTTATAATAAAGAAACGCTGCAAAGTGAGTTTCTTATTATAATAATAATTATTATTATTATTAACATAATTATTTCAATTATTTGAAAAATATTTTAATTTTTTTTGAAGTTGCAACAACTTTCCAGCCGTTAATGGATTCAAAAAATAGCAAATCGTTGGAAGTGGGGAGGACAGACGTGACGTATTTAAATTACTTGGGTCCTATATACTTTCCATTTTTCTAAATTGTAAAAATTTAAGTATTAAATTTTAATTTTAACTTTGAATACCATAAAATTACTTTATCTTACTCGTGTAAGTTCTACTACAAAACGCATGCACACTAAAACTAGGCAACATTGAAAACATTGAAGGCTTGTGTTGTGGACTTAACTTATCTGCTATTAGCAGCTGTTTTGATAGGTTTTGGCTTTCTGTGCGATTCAATTTGTTCGGTTGTAAGGTGTTGGACACATTAAATATTACTATTAATTATTACTACTACATTTTTTTTATACTGAGTTTAAGTTTCAAGAATTTGTTTATGCTTCGTTGAGTTTTGAAGTTGTTATTTACCAATAATTTAGACAAAGGTTTAGGATTTTCTTTTTGAGATTATTAATATCAATTATTATTATCAACTATGAAAATTATTATTTTATGAACTTAGCTTCAAACTGGTTCAGCATGTTGGGAGTTAACATCATAATTGCCATGTGCGGTCTCATAATCTTCCTCATCTTTGCCCTCGCCATCATGGGTTGGTACATAAGTTTCCATGCTTATTTATACATATAAAACTATAAATTATTTTTATACATATATGACAATTGTATTATGTTACATATTCAAATAACAGAAATTAAACAAAAAATGAGAACTTCAGTAAAATTAATTAATATTATTGGTGTATATAATTGCATTGTAGAATTGCTTGATTATGCGTTTGTTCTGTTTTCTATAAAAAAAAAAATCAAAACACTCACGTTCTTGCATTTATTTGAATTAATTTTTACAAAACCAGTGAATAAAATGAAGAGAGATGGACATGAAAGAAAAGAGGACGGGTCAACCTGCGAGAAAACCGCCGAAGCAAACCAGCAGAACGTTGGCGATTACTTGACCAGCCACGTCGTTAGCGATGATTTCTACAGCCACCTTCTCATAAAAATTCCTGAATAAAAGCAATACTTGGACGAAGATGGTTTACGCCTCAAAAATTTTTAGCAAAGTATTTTGAAATAATGATCTGAGCCCATTTTTTTTGTATTCAAGATTTAGTGAAATAAAAATTATTGTCGATGTTTATTTCATACGATCAATACATTGCACATTTGAAAAAAACGAATTGTTTTTAAATAAATTAAAACTAGAAAAGTATATGTAGAATTTTATAAAAAAAAATTGAAGTTAATATAATTATAAAATAAGTAAGTTAGTAACCAAGAATGTTTGAATATTTTAGTTTAAAGCAAATAAAATATTTTGTGTGTGACGCGCTGTTTTATATTAGGGTAGCAAACAAACTAGTGTTTATGATAAATTATGTTTGAAAAATTTTATTTATTTTTAGTTGTTTTAAGTAAGTATTTTTTTCGGTAACTTATCTGTTTTTTGAATAAACTTTTTAGCCAGCCCAAAGAAGCTCAGTAACGCTAACGTGTCATTAGTTTTACATCACAAACTTGAGCCAGTCTTCTAGAACATGCGTAACCGCGTTATTCTGAAAGTATGCAAATGGCGTGTGATAGTTACGGACGGATAGTACCGAGCCAAGCCCTCGCGTAACAAACGTCAAATAAACCTCGGTTCACTTTTTGCGATATACTCCAATGAAATCATTTAATTTATTTTGCTTATTTTCCTGAATGAAATCCAATAAGCATAAGGATGGTTGCAAGGATGAATGATGCTTGAAAATATTTCATCCTGCTGTTTCATAAATTTTCGAAAGATTTGAAAATGTGTATCTATTCACGCCCTTTTGTGTTCATAGATCTTATTAAACTGCAGCAAAAATTATCAACACAAGTCCAGCATCTACCAAATAAAATTCTTTTTATTACACTCACAAATTATAATTATTAATGTGAACACTTCGTCGTATCTCAAAACGGTCAGGCTATAACTGAAAATAAAATTAATTTTTAAAATTCTATAAACAATATCTTGATAAAATAAAATTTTGTAAAACTAGAGTCTGTATGTGAGAATAGAATCTTTGTGATTCCACGTGAATTGAAAATTGAAAAGAACGCCATCTACGGAACGTACGTTACGTGGGTTCAAAACCAAACACTTCGTTGCTACATGGACAACACAATCGTCAGTTTTTTGGGTTACTTTAGAAAAAGAAATTTTTATGAAAATTATTACTAATTTATTGATTTTACTAACCTTTAGATATTCGATTCAAAAAGGCCAAGTAGGCAACCGATGGATCAATGGCGGGGAATATTTTTTGAGACAACGGAGACGAGTCAGGCAAGAATTTACATTGACGGAAATGCTTTCCTAAACAGTGGAGATTCCGTTACGATAACATGCAAGGAGCACGAGTACCGGGATAACATGGCTAAACTAACTTTATTGGCTGTAAAACTGAAACAAGTTGAAGGTGGTGACAAAAGAAAGTGGAAAAATAATGGGAAACGTACAAAAACTGATTTGTTGGTGAATCACACTTCGGTTAGAACAAGACAGTAAATTGAAGCTAAGTAATTTAGTATTGAAACACTAAGCAGGAACGGCAAATATTACATAGAAATACTTAAATATGAAGTAGGTAATCTTTAAAGCAATTCATCTTTTATATTGATATTTGTTATAGTTTTTGTTTTCGTGACTGTAAATGAAATTTTTTCGAAAAATTTACACTGGCCATTTTATATTTCTACAACAAATCAACTTCAAAGCATATTTTCAATTACACAAAAACGTGAGCAACTGAAGCTTACTTTTATTTGGAAAAAAATTATTAAAGCTTTGCGAACAAGTTAAATCCTCAAATCTTTTTATAATCAATCATTCATTCATTCATTCAACCAATCAATTAATTAATCACTGAAATTTGTATAGTTCAAATAAATTCAGATTTAGCCCACGCAAAACTAAAGAAAGTGCAGAAGAGAGGCCACACCAGACAACACATGAAACAAAAGCTGATGGAGTCTTTAATATTTATATATATATTTATTTTAAACAAATTTATTTTAAATTTGTAGCATCACGTACAACAGGACTTAAACGACAATTTAAATTTTAATCATCGGTACAAATTTCGCAGGACAAAATATTACATAGGATAATTAGAGAGAGAATTGAGTTTTCCACATGTTGAGCTGATTTAAATTGATATTTACCCCACCACAAACAATAACCAAAATATTTTTCAATTTCCTTGCGTTCGATTTGAATTGTGGTAGCATGCCGGACACGATCCCTGCGTAGATGGCTGCCAGCGATGCCCCACAGGAGGGCTCAACCAGCATGCAGTGGTCATCTGCAAACATTCACCAGAGTTTTCCAAACAATCTATTTTTAGTTACTTTATGTTTATAATTTTGTCACTATTATTTTATTTTAAAGTTTTTTTACGCCGAGTCAAATAAGTACATTTACCCAAGAATCGACAAACTGCCTCAACACATTCCTCATCAGTAACCACTTTCGATATGATTTTTCTCTGCTTTGAAATCTTTAAAACCTCTTCAGCCACCATTAATGCTCCTAAGCTAGAAGCAATGCTGTTATAAAATGTTTATTAGGACTTACAGCGTAACATAAAACTAAATAAATATGCTTGTGGTAGATGAGCAATAACAACCTTGTAATAGATCGTAATTTTATCAGTTTTCCTGCCAATAGTGCTTGATGAAGACAATCAGCTCCCACAGTTTCCATAGCCAAAATCGGAACATCATTCCACCCGACAGCTTCCATTCCTCTGGACACGCCCAACAACAAGCCACCTCCACCCACAGAAAGAATGACCAGGTCAGGTTTCTTGGACATCTGTTCAGATGCTTCCATTATCAAGCTGGAATGTCCCTCCCTCAATTTCAATAATCATTTCAAGTTACATAATTTTTAACTAATAAAAATTTTTTTACAACTGAACACTCAATAGGCATAAATATATTTTATACGTGTTAATATTAACTGAAAAATTTATTCAACTTTATTATATTTCCAGCAAATTAATTTATATTGAAATAAATTAGCAATAAACAAAATTAGAGTTGAAAATGAATTTTAAGAGTTTATAAATAATGAGCTAAAGTGTTAATTGAGATTGAGATAAAGTATTTTAGAAAATGTTTCAATACAACAAACAAAAATTTATACAATAATACTTTCAAGTGAAGACGTACCAGATGTCAGGGTGATCAAAAGGTGATATATATCCAACTGATGGATCTCTCAACTCTTTTCTTGCTTCTTCATCTGCCTCATCCCACACTTTACCATGCAATATAACATTTGCTCCCTATATATGGCAATAAAATTCATCAAAAACAATCTCTTTTAATTCTATCTAATTACATTTAATAATAAGTAAAGAATTTTGAAGTTGTGCTAATGTTTCGATGTTATTTATTTTGTTTTATATCTTTTCTGAATGTAATTTTTTTCTAAAAATTATTTATATATCTTTTCTAAATTAATTTCTCCTTCTCTTTCTCTCTCCCTTTCTCTCTCTTTCATCACAATTATTTTCATTTATTTAAAAGCATATCTTTTGTCAATCAATATTTATGAATTTATATGCACTTTAAATGCATTTATAATATTGATATGCATTCATTCTTAGTTTTCTATGAGTATCTGTCATAAAAATTTCACAGAAGAAATTAGATTGAATAAATTATTTACTTCTGCCCTCAGTCTCTCCAGCATTTCCTTTTTGGTGTTGATTGGAATGTACAAATCCAAAGGGACGTTCAATTTCTTGGTGACATAAGCAGCGGCCAGACCTGCATTTCCACCTGATGATGCCACCAAACGAACCTTACCCCTCTCAAGTTCCTTAGTAATTTTGGCGGTTATTAAACTACTTCTCCATTGTTGCCAGTTTTTAATTCAAAAATTTTATGAAACAAAATCATTGCAATATAAATAAAATAAATTTTAAAAAATACTAAAGCATATGCATTTTTAAACATTTACTCAATTTTTTTCAGCTCATTTCATTAACACTGATTAACATTTAATTATAATTTTATAATAAAATAAAGTATTATTATCCAAATATGTTATACCATTTCAAATTTTGAAACACAATAAAAAATTACCAAACTTTAAGGATCATGTTTGAAATTCCTCTGATCTTAAACGATCCAGTTGGCTGTATATTTTCCAATTTCAAGTACACATTACATTCATTGGCATCCTCAACTATATTCGCTAATTTAACACTTTCAATGCAAGGAGTTTGTATGGTGAATGAATTCATTTTTTTATTTTCAATTACTCGGGTGCTAGCTCGTCGCGAACTTTCTCTCACATTTATCATTTTGTTAAAGTACAAGTATATATCGTACGTAAATATTGTGCGAATTACTTAAATATTTAATTATTTAACAATATATAAATATCAAGAATAATTTAATATCAAAGCGACATTTATGTATTATAATACATATAAAACCTAGCCTTTAATGTAAATGGCTTATGTTGTGTTTCATGTTATGTTGAGTCCAAAGTAAACAAGGCAAGGTTCAACCAAGTTATCGGCGACACCACACTTTTACGATTTTACAATTGAAATGTATTTTACTTATAAAATTATAGAATGTGCAAATAATTATGTGTAAATAATTCGATGCGCGAATTCTAAGAAATTAGATGTTTGAGCTTTTCAATTTAAAAACTTTGCTACTCATGAAGTCAACTTCACGGATGAAAGGTGGTGCGCATCCTTCATGTAACTTCATGCGTTTAATTTGTGAAGGAAGAGACTGCATTATGTTGTCGGTATATGCTTTTACTTTGCTAATTTTTCTTATTATTGTTTGATTCCCCTTATTATTACCCTTTAATTTCTTTTTGGTGGAATGGAATGATTTTCGAAAATCTTAAGTTAACGACTTTTTCTGCTCATTTCCGCTTTACTTAACTACATTTTAAACAGAATTTTAAAAATAATTCTTATTCTTGTTCTGGGGAAGAGGTTGCCTCCCCGTACCTCCTTGAATCCGCCACTGGTCGTACAAATTTCAATTTCATGATATACGATGGCACACAATTATTTTGAATGACGCAAAATATTTAAGGTGCTGCAAAATAATTTAACTTAACGATTTTCACACACTTTGACATATTTTGACACTCTTCTAGATCATTAAAATTTATTTAGAAACTTTTAAAAATACAAATCAATCGACCGAAAAAATTACTAATTTACAGATCTTTGTTTTGTTAGAAATAAAATCAGTAAAAAATGTTATAATCGCTACAACGAACTTTGAAATGGAAAATATAAAATCAATGTGTTGTAATTTTAAAACAATAGCACGGTCAAGTATACCATTAGCGTGTTAAAGCGGTATGCATGCTAAAAATCATATGAACATAATCAAAAACATTAACATAGAATAGTTTTTTAAAATTTAATGACTGTTTTTTTTAAATTTTATGACCTGATAGTTTAATGGTTTTCTACAATGTTTTGCTTCTCTGGTCTCGTCAGTAACTGGTAGGCAACCTTCCATATGTCAGCAAAACAAACGCTGCTGTGAAATCGGAAAAAAAGAAGCATAGGCAAGTGGATGTTCATGAGTAACAGCCACGGTGCTTCTCCGTAAAATACAGTTTGCACCGGCATTTGCAAATTTTTGCACAAAGCTGTTCGGAGAACCCAAACTGATAAGTTTCCAACGATGAGAAATGCTATCGTCCCTCTTCCTGGCATTTCATGGGCATCTTCAACAGAAATTGGATATCTCCTTAGAGAAACAAAAATTAAAAGCGTTTGTATTGCTGTTTGAAACATTCCAATAGACGCCGACGTTAACTGAAGCCTATCTTGAATTATGTACCCATAGTCAACATCCAACATTGTCTGCGAGTCATCCGCCTGCAGCGACGAACTATTCAGATGTTTTGGATGAGAAACTTCAAAAGCTAAAATAAAATGAAATTATTTTATAAAAAATATAAAAAACTTTTATGAAATAATTACCAACTTTTGTTTACGCTCAACACTTCCACAGCGTGTGCCACATAATCTTTTGCGTTGATGACAGAATATTCGTTGGGTGAAGTCAGAGCGGAGAACAATGCGCTGGCGTTAACGATTTCATACGTCAACGAACCAAAAGCAGCTATCAAGAGCAACACGTCATCTGTGGAAACAGGCTTAGAAACAAATGCCAAATTTTTCATCAAAACAAATGCGCATATGCAGGCAATGAGTAAAACACTGTGTATTATGATGTCTGTCGAGTAGAAAATAATTTCGGCACGAAAACGATTCTCTTGCAAAAATGAGAAAAGAAAAACGACGCATGCCACGACGGTTAAACACATCACAACAACTCCAGCAAACATCCCTAAGTGTGATTTCTGAAGAGGATTTTGATCATGGTTCAACATAAAATTAGTAAAAGCTTCAGAGTTACGGCGTCGACTATTTGATGTTGGATTTATGCCAGGATGTATGACATTTTTTTCAATTGGAACTTTATCTACAACAGAATTGCTGAATCTAACTTTTGTTTCTGAATGGACATTAATTTCCTCTCCTTCTGTTTGCATCACTTGTTTATATTTATCAAAGTCCGAAGGTGCCAAAGAAAAAACCCTAATAAGGTTTCGTTTGGCTCTACTGACCATTGACTCTGATTCAATTCCTCCAAAATATAAAAAACAGGATATGCTTCCAACAGCAATTAAGCTGTATTCTAGGACAAATGGCATGAGATATTTGGCAGCGGCGTGCAATAAATCACTATCACACACTTCTTTCAACGCTTGATGTAACTCGGCTGAAAGGAAGTTTTTTCAAGCGTAATGAGTTAGAAACGCGTATATATAATCTAATTGGTTTTGAATAAAATATATGAATAATTAAAAAGACGTACTGCTATTCGCATGATAAGTTTTAGAAATAGCTTTGTATTTATATTCGTCCTTTATTTCTCTGACAAGTGTGTGTATCCATAGATTAATGTTCGTAAATATTAAATGAACCATGCCAAACCAAACAAGAGATTGATGTTTAGTTATATGAATCTGAAAGTTTAATGTTTTAATTAATTAGGAAATAAAATTCAAAGTTTTATAACTTTTCATACTTTTGCGTGTTTGAAGAGAAAAAATGTTTGGAGAAGTACAAAAATAAATTTCCATATAAATATCCATCCAAATCTCAATTTGTTTGAACAGGCCGCGTTTGAGAACAGATTAGCTTGTATTTCTAATGCATAATACACTAAATTTCCTAATCCGAAAACTGCAAAATATTTCAAATTTAGTACCAATTTATAAACATTGTAAAAAGTTATAAATTGTTTAAAAAAATTTTAAGACAATTTGAAACAGTAAATTAAAAATATAAACACCTAAAGCACCAAATCTCAAAAAAAGATTGGATCCGTGATGCGTGAAAACACTGCCAAAGGAATCGGCATCTATCCACGTGAGATCATTTACTTTGCCGGGAAGCTCTGTTTGAGGTTGTTCCTGGTTCTGCACCTGCCGATGTTTCAATGCGGTTGGTAGAGGAAAAAGAGATTCATCGCTGTTTACACTTTCAGCTGAGTTCTCTTGTATTGTGGCACATATAGACGATCTATGCATCATCCTTCCAGACAGTTTTGGAATGTCGGTTGCTGGTTCTATCTCCCTGATAATGTATATTTTTAAACAAATTTTTGTTTATAAAATCAACAAAATGACTTCTCTTTGAAAATTTTTTTATGAACAACCTCGATTGAAAATACAAATCAGAGTCAGGGCATGATTCGGCATCTTTGTCTTTCGGGGTTATATGTCCCAAGTCGATTCCGCCGAACGATGTTGAGCTAAATGATTCTCTTTTTGAAACTCTTGGTTTCAACACATTTATTTCATCAGCGCTTTTATCGATACTGCTTTGATGTCCGTTACTGGAGTTGCCAGATAATAAGTAACTACGATTGGAGTTCAGGCGGTTTTCATAATTTTGTCTGTAAATACCAAGACTGTTTCTTCTCCCTGAAATTTTTGACGAGATTGTTGGAAAACAATTTTTCAGCTTATTGAATGCTTCTGTGAAGAAGTTATTTTTTGCTTCTTTTTTCAATATGAATACTAGCAAATAAACTAGAAAAATAGATGAAAGTGTTAAGTTGAACGTCAAGAATACCTGGAAAAATAAATAATACTGTTATACAAACTCATATTATGAATAATATGCTATAGATTTTTATGAAAACTCACAATAAAATCGAATAAAAAAAATTATTTATTTGTACCACTGAAAACGAGGTATTCACTGTAACGCTTATGATAATTGTATATGGAACTATGGTTCAATTCGGTGCCTAACTGATTTATCCAGTTCAAATAAGTCTCATCTACATTTACCACTTGTTTTGAAAATATGTCTGTTTTGACATACCTACGATCAAAAGTCGCAGCACAGAAAAACAAACAACTATTAAAATTTCCTCACTCAATAAATATTCAAAGTGTCAAGAACTTAAATCATGTAGTTTACGTTTGAAAACACATTTTATATAAAATACTTTTGTTTCTGCTTATTATTGTGTTCACGTTTGAAAACACATTTTATATAAAATACTTTTGTTTCTGCTTATTATTGTGTTCACAGTTTGGTAGAGTATAATGTTGTTGAACCTGATTATGACGATCAGCTAGTAGGGACAAGATTTATTAAGACCTCAGCAACCAAAATCCGAAATGCTTACATCTGCAATCGTACAAGTCCACGTTTTACTTAACTCTTAATTGCTTTTATTGAATAGAGGAAGTCAAAAAACTAATAATAATATTCTGAAAAGAAAAATATTTAAAACTGCTTTTTCCACAACTCGCGTAAAAAAAACGCTAGCCACAAAACTCGCAGTTTTAAAAAATTTTATCCGCGGTTTTTTTGCACAAGGTTCTATGGGAGAGACATGGCTGCATGGCTGGCACTTGCACACTTTGAATAATTCCGCTCTCATAAAATCTTAACATGCTACAGTATCTTTGATACTTAAACATATCTTATTTAGTACAACAAAATTTTCAATTTTGAAATAATCAATTGAAACAAATAATTTGCTTAATCATGAGTTGCATCAATAATAAGAAATTTTAAACAATAATTTAACAATGGTAAGTACAATAAACCGTCCAAACTTGAACGTTGTATTATAAATGTTTGAAAATACAATGGCATAATGTAATTTACAAAAAGTTAACTTTTAACTATCGCAGAACGAAGAATCAAGTAATTTAACAATAAACTCCATACCGCGAGCTACATTTTTTACAAACACCATCTTTTCTACCAAGGAATTCATCGTTTTATAAAAATTAATACAAAATTAAAGTTGTGTTTCTGAATTAAAGTAAAAAATGACATCAACAAACTTTCTACAACGTTCTTGTTTATTTGTTTTGTGGACTTAAAAAAAACGAAAAAACGAAAATGGTAACGATATTTGCTTTTATAAATCATTGTTTAAACGGTTAATGTTTGGGCAAGCACAGCGTTGATTTACATGACGACAGAAAAATAGTTATTTTTATGTGATTTGTTGAAAAATTCACCTTACTATGATATTAGCCTAACGTTCATATCTGGATGTACAAATTTTTGTTTTAAAATTAGGAAATAAAGTTTATGAACAATTATTTCCACAAGTTCAGATCCAATCATATTTTGTTTCAAAAAGAAAAGATACTTCTTCTTCGAGGCATTAGGCATTAAAAAGTCGATATAACGCTTACTTATTTTGTTACGCAATGATTTAAAATTACTTGACTAATTAGCCGGATGAATGGATCTATGCAGAGTGTGGTGTGACTTGGCGCTGTGTCTCACTGCCGTTCAAATATGATCTTTTTGCGGTGACCTTCATACACTTTGTTTCATGATGCAGTGTTTGCATGCACAATCAAATGTGTGATGTGCTTCTCTAAGTCTTGATGTTGTTTTATTTGATTGAAGCAAAAAAGTTTCCATCTATTATAATAGCAACAAACAACATGTTAGCAGCCATGCGTTTATAAGAGTAGCGCAATAAAATTATTTGTAAAAACTTTACGTTGAAAACTTTTTAAAGTGAAAACATCCAAACATTTTTGCATCTACACATTATGCGGTCGCTAAGTTCAAAACAGAAATTTTTTAAACAATTCTCAAATTTTAAGTTATTTTTATAATGATGACCCAAAATGTCAATATATATTGTTAAAAGTGAAGACGTGAATAAAACTAGGAATGAACAGCAAATAAATCAATTGAGATCATGAATCAAGAGTACATAGGAGCAACAAACCGTGTTGTAGACAGTTTTGAGCCACTGGTCTTTAAGGGCTTCTGCAATTGGAAATATTATTCCAAAGCTCATCAAAACCACTGCATATACAACACTCACTAACTTTGTATACTCAAGTCTGCGGATGACAATAAATTCAATTTATATTAAAATAAACGAACAAAATTTAACGTTCTTCACTACGTTTTTCTGAAATGATGAGCTTAGAGTCGAAGTTAGAAAAAGGTTTTGTAGAATTTAGAAAGTACATGCTAATACACATTAATAGTAAAAGATTTAAATTTAAGATAGTGAAATGTTGTAAATAGTTATATTATAAAAAAAAATTAACATTTGACAAATATTTAATAAACATTTTTAATTAAATGGCAAAACTAACGCTGATGGCTTGAAGTAGTTGTTCATTCCTTATATTGAAATATCAAAGGAATATGATAAAATTCTTTAAACGATTAATTCAATTATAACTTTTAAAATATGAAAAACAAATTAATTATGTCTCGTTCGCACAACAAACTTGCCATGCCGGCTTCACTAAGTTTCATATGCGTTGTGTTTACATTTTCGCTGTGTGTGCTCCGCTATTTATACACTTTCACTCAATCAACGGCTGTCTTTGTATTCTTAGGTGCTGTTGTCCGTGTGTGTGACTTCAAACTCACAAAATTGTTCATTCATACGTACGTATTAACTTGTAAGCAAACATTAACACACATTAAAACATACATGCAATCGTGCTGAGATATAACAAATACAAATAAATGTATGCTCTTGTGTATTTGTTTACTTATTTATTCATTTTTTAATAATCCTTGTTTGCATTTATAGTTTGATTACTCATTTATTCATTCATATATCCATACACGCTTGCTTATCCACCTGTGTCGGTGTACTTGACGAATATTTTATTAATAAAGAGACAGAATGTGTTGTTTCGACAGCGTTCGTGCTTGCTAAAATGTTGCCCTCACCTTCAAAGTTGATGCGACTTCAAGTAGACAATTTTCACGAGAGGTTTTCCCAGACAACAAAAACTCGAGTATTTAATCGTATACTATTTTATTTTATTTATATTTAATTTTATTTTCCGAAATAATAATTTGTAACAATTATTTTATAACAATTATTACAATTTGTTATAAAAAAAATTATAACTAATTGTAATAATTTGTAACCATGCTTCATTGATTTTACGGAGACTAACAAGACGAACTCTTACAAACAAAAAGTACAGAACTTTGGCGCATGACCTGTCGGGGTGGTTTATTTATTGGCAGACATTTACATGTTGTCATTGTCAAGTGAACTGAAATAGGCCAGCTTGGAGTAATAAGAGAAAGACAGTGAAAGAACAAATTTCATTTCGAAGTAAACAACAAAATGTACTTGATATAACTCTGCCACCAGTTTTAATATAAAGATAATTTGTATCGAATGAACAAAATAATTATTCTAATCAGCCGTCATTAGCATATGAAACATGAAAGAACGTTTAATTTGACTTCTTAAATAATAGTCAGTGACCGCTTTTGATACGCTCATCAGATTGTGCAAGAATTTGAATACTTAATTAAGGTTTCCTCTTTATTTAATGTTTGTAGGTTGGGATATTTTGACGACGTGTTTTTGTATGAACATTTCTAACATATTAGTTTCTGGTGCAATAATGTTAGACGTTACACATACTTTAAATAGTTATTTAAGGAAAGAACTTTTCATGATAAATGAATACAGTAAATATAACAATTAAGGTGAAACCTTTAACAACTACGTTACACACTGTCATAATTTTTTGGATTTATAAACAAAATGATGTAAATATTAATTGTTGTTTCACAAAATTTATTTATTATTTAATTTAAATTTAAATAATATTAACTTATTGTCATCTGACGTGATGGGAGGCCTCAAAAATCGTGAATTTTTTTTTATTTTTCAGAAAACATATTTAATCCAACTTTCCAAATTTGAAATTGCAAAAAGATCAGCATGCATGAGAGAATGTTGTTTTATAGTATCTTGTAATTTTTTACGATTTACAGGTGCCACAAAGATGATAACAACAATTACAATAATAAATACTGCATTCGTTGGTAGTAAAGTTCTTGATGTTGCCGTTATCATTGCTGTAATTAGTGCTGAAATTAAATTAAAACTGTTTTTTTTATTTTGGTTATGTATGAAATGGTCAAATATGTTGACAAAGTTTTCACGGCTTATTCGCATTTCAAAGCATTTAATAATTTGAATTAACTCTATTTTTGAAATAATTAATCCAACAGTTAAAGAACGTGAAAAATTTTAAATTGGCAACTAATCGTTTTTCAATTTAATGTAATTAAGAAAATCTTCAATACGCCGATGTCGTCAGCAATTATTTGCTATTATGCTCGATGAATTAAACTAGCGTTAGCTACTTAAACTGGTTTAAACGAGTGCGCGCTTCTTAAATCTTACTGCAACAGTTTGAAGATGCAGGTGATAACAGAATTTACCGAACTCGAACTGATTCATTTTGTTGTGCTGATCCCTTTTTTTAATCTGTAAGCTTATTTACGTAAGTTGGTAGTAAATATTATGGATTATTTAAAATTGTTTCGAATTATTTTTTTCGTGATTTTTGAACGACCTGCTATGAACTAAACTTCCCACTTAACATCTTCAAGTTTATTTTTCAGATAGACGGTGACTATTCCAATAAAATCATGCTCTATCCCTCAGTTTTTTTGAAATATGGTGAGGAACTATTTAGATTTGCTACAAAATTTGTTTAAAAATTGTTTGATTAAATTTTTCTATGTAAACAGTCATACTTGTTGAACTGAAACTTTGTTTCTATTTACATTTTTATGAAATGAATATCTCTATCCAATTGCTATGAACGAATCTTAGTTTTTTTCTATTATAAATTGCAAAAATGTAATTAGATCATAACTAGAAGTGTACCAACCACTGAACTATATATATAGATCAAAGTTCAGTGGTAATAGTTTGGTAGTATCATTATTTGGAACGAATAAAATATATGTCATGGACGCTTATTAATTTCAATTTAACTGCTTTCTTTTATAAATTTAGTAGGGTGATCTGACTTCCCGGCTCCCTGTTCAATATTTGCAGTAACCGATCAATTTTTTAGTTGAAAAATTAACTTTCTTTATTTAAAACTACTACCACAAGATTTACGTTTCAGCAAAAACGTCAGAAACCTATGGGATGGTATTGTGTTCCATATTTCGCATTCACCGGTTGGAAATGAACTAGCAAATATTGGCATTGATCCAATTTGTACAACTGTTATTAAAATAGATAGAACTTTAAATTAGTTTCTAAAAATTGTATTCTCATAATTTCATCAACAATCGATCATGTTTCATAAAAATTACTTTTATCATTTGATGACTTCATAGTGATAAGGCAATTGCTTACAGATCTGCAAGTATATTTTCCTATATGAAATATGCATAAAAAATTTAATTGGCGGCGAAAAACAATTTCTAATTTTTTTAAATGTTTAAAAAAACAAATTTTCAATGTCAATTACAGCTAGTTTTTTATTGCTAAATGGAAAAAATTCAAAACGTAAAGAAATTAAACAAGTATAATTTGAAACGATGAAGTAAACAAGAAATAAAAAAAACAATATGAAAAACAGATCACAATAAAACATGGGTTAAAGTGCTGCAGTTTTAACAGTCAGCCAAATAGAGAGTGGTCACCTCAAGCCCTTAATGTTAGAAGTCAAACATGTCCATGTCCATGCTCACATGTTTATAGGGCGATGAAACATGTTAACGCAGGTAAATATAACATAAGACAAATTTTAAATGATGGCATGGAGTCAGTTTTGCAGAGTTGAACAACATTTTTGAGAAAAAAGTGAATTTAAGAAACATTTTTATAGTTTCTTTAAAAAAAGAAATTTCCTTATTGATTAGAAATGACAAAACAAAAAATAATAAAGGAGTTTAATAAATGTTGAGTCAACAATGTTCAATTAATTAATACATGAAAAAAGTGATAAAAACTAAAAAGTTTGCTTTTAAAAGACAATACTTTTTAGTCATGTTAAATAAAAAGCAAAAAATGAAATAAATAAAAATGAAATCTTTCGTTCAATAAATCAGGTTGGTTGTTGCTTTCTCTTACTTCGGTAGCATGCGTCAACTCTAACAAATGGCTCATTCTTCAAATCTGAAAAATCATTTTTTCATACATCATACAGCGCATATTTTTTACACGATGACAATTATGTCACAAAATTTTGAATATTTTACATTTCATTTCATTTTTCTATAAATTTAATCTTACGCACATAAAAATAACAAGAAAACCTTCTAAAATGCCATCAAATGTGCCAAACTCCACCTCCTCTTTGTTGAATATTTTTTTAACCTTAACATTTCTTTTCAGTTCGTCGAGTGCCAAATTCTTAAAAAAATTATTTGCAATAAATGACTTTAAGAGTTACCAACTTGAACATAAAATTTGCTGACAACAATTTGAATTATTCAATAAATTTTTGGCATGTTATAATGCGAACAAATAATTGACAAATATTATAATTACGTCAGCTGCAAATGAAAATTTCAAGTTTAAATTTCAAGTTTAAATTTCAATTTAAATGCTAAAAAAACATTTTATATATAATCACTTGTTTGATGGTGTGGCTAGGCTGCTTTTTTAAAACTTCCTCCTGTTTCATTGTTTCCAAATCATGTACCGCTTGCTATGTTTCAAATGACCAGATAATTTATATCAACACTATTTAAAGTACGAAATTTTCAAAAGGTTTCAAAAGTAGTCAATAAACTGCGTGAAAAACATTGTTTTAAGTATAAAGTATAAGACTGTGAACCTTGAAATTGTTGACAAATTTCAAGATGATGCTGAAGAAAGAAATTGGAGTTGATGTTTTGGCATTTTCTCCAAAGTATGTTGCTACTGACTTGAAACTGCTCTGAAAACAACGAGGTTAAATCATCCAACCACATAAATATGTGACGTGACAACCATATCAACTTGATACCACGAATCTAAGTTGGGGTAGCTCGTTAAACTACGATGTGTTAAATATAATTTGCGGCATATTCATTAGAGATATGACTAAAAATTTTTTTTGGCAATTTTTGGTTTCCCATGCTACTATGAGTGGAGAAATACATTTTAAAACTGGAAATACCATTTGAAAGTGTTGAATCTTAAAAAAGTTCACCCCCATAAGCTGAAAACCGTTTTCTCCCATCTATCTATTGTTAGATACAGTACAGTTTAAGATATCACAGCTTCAGTTTATTGCAGGTGTGATTTTGCTAAATGTGTGCATGCTTATTACATAATCTTTCATATTATATATTACATTTGTTATCATCACCTGACTTTTGATATTTTATAAACTTATTTTGATAACCTAAACTCATAAGATTTGTTTATTTGTAGATAATTAAATTTACACTCAAATTATAATTCGACAGGACTATTGTCAAGATGTCTAAAAATAGTCTTCCTTCAGATTTGAATAAGAAACTATGGGAATCAAATTTGGTGAGATTTGGAACAGCCAAGAATTCAAAAAAGTATGCAAAGATTGTTGACAGTCTTGATCAAATGAACAAAATGCCAACAGAACAGCATATCCTGGACAGTTTTAAGTGCTTGGCTGCAAATGTGAAAAGTAGACAGGAGAGAGTTGTGATAGTGGTCAAAGAAGTAAAAATCTTATGGAAAAAACTGAATCTTCCAATTCAAAAAGGCAAATCTACAGTGGAAAGAAAAACTGAGAATGTACTAAACAAGTATGAAAAAAACAGCAGAAAACCAGGAACGCAAGACTTTACCAACTTGTTCAACGTAACTGATGAAAATGGAGAATAGTTGTGTAGGAAGATAAAGCCCTCTATAATCTTCAGATGTCAACAAATGGTAGAGCTGGCTACTGCACCACAATTGAAGATACACAAGGAGTTCATCCTAGAAAACTAAAGTTGATTAAGCAAAAAATCAGTCAAGATACTAAGGATGATTTAAACAGTGAAGATGAAGAACAGCAAAGTCAGTCAAGATACTAAGGATGATTTAAGCAGTAAAGATGAAGAACATTTTAACACTGATTAAAAAAACAAGATTCTGACAGTAGTTCTCAAGATTCAGATGCTCTGAAGAAAGAAGAAAAAATTGTTTGGAGAGATGATATGGCTTTCCTTCATCACTTGATCACTTGTTACAGACAGTTTAAGAAAACAGGATGCTTCCCAAAAATAAATTTCAGAACTTTGCCAAATATAAGCAATGCAGGATAGAATAGCCGAGCAATCTATGCTTTGTTAGTTTATATTTTACTTCCAGAATTTCGACAGTCAGTCATCATGTGACTTTATTACTGGCACGTGGAGTGACATCTGGTTTTCTGGTCAGGTTTATAATCAGGATAACTACAAAAATTTGGCAGCCGTTTGCAAAGATCACTCAAAGGCAATAAATACTTTAAGGACTTTTTGGTCGGTTGAGCCGACTCCAATCCCAACTCAAAGCTCAAACATTTGTGCTGAACGTGCAATAAAAGTTCTGCAGGATTTACTTCCATTGTGCAAAAGCATTGAAAAAATTAACATTAAATTTCTTTTGACAAATGAACACTAAAACCTGTATGTTTGTATTTCTGATTAAAAAAAATCATTTTGTACAATGTATAATTGTATATATATAAAAATTTGATTAAGGGGGTGACATTTTTTTAAAGTTGACACTTGCCATTGGATTTTTCTTGATCTTTGCATTAAAACTCCACAAAAAAATAACATGGGGATAGGGTCTTTAAAAATTGTCATATCCCTAATATTCATTTGCTAGTGCTGATTTTCACTTGATAAATTACCCCCATTAGTAGAAAGTTAGTAGAAAAGTAGTAGAAAACTGCAAATGTCTCTCGTCCCAAATAACCATAACACAGGGCCGGATTAACATATTCAGGGGCCCTAAGCACTTAACAATTATGGTGCCCGAACAACTAACCAAATCCAAGTATTATATACAATATTGTATACACATACACATAACACATACTATAATCTATGCATCACATTTATTAAAACATCATGTAATTATTAGAAGATAGAAGAAAGCGGCTAGAGCTTTAACCCTTAATCATAAGTTAAATTAAATAAGTAACTCTATGTCTACACTACATAGACCGTGGTCTGTGGGCAGTGTTAGTTAATTAATATGACTCTTTTATTTTAAATGAACATCACGCTAGTTCATGCAACAATTTAGTAATTGCAAAGAATTGTAGTGGCTCGTCGCGGTGCCCCTTTTTATGCGGTGCCCTAAGCACGTGCTTAGTGTGCTTATTGCTTAATCCGGTACTGCCATAACACGAAAATGTGGTGTTATAACGCGTTCGATGAAATGCATTACATACAATAATTTTTTTATGACATCTTTATGATTAAAAATCTAGATGGCCCAAAAACGTTGTCTCACTACCACTACAAAGCAGCAGACAGAATATATGCATTCTAAAAACAGCCGAGCTAAAAAAACAAAATGGCAAAAAAGTCATTTATTAAGTATAAGGGAATTTTATTTATCGCCCCTTAAAATTTTTTTAAATCGTTTAAAAACATCCATATAAATAAATATAAAATAATTGAGCTAACAATCGATTTTTCGTAATCCTGATTCAGTTTGGCGTATTTGATTTTTGAATCTTTGAGGGAATGTTCCAGCATGGATTTAATTTTTGTATCAGTTCGGCATTGAATTTCACTTTCTAAAGATTTTATGCCCCTCTCAATTTCTATCAGGTCGTTGGCAATGTTCTCCGTGGAAGCTGTTAAAAAATGAAATAATTTTTTTAACTTCTGTCTGGCTGAACACTCAATATCCGATTGAATATTTCAAACTAATATAATATTTTAAACTAGTTTTTTTTTACCGACATCGTTATAAGCATACCGCTCTGCTTTTCTCTCAGTTATCTAGTTACATCAACTATTGTAGTTGAAATTTCTGTAAATTTAAATTATGCTATACCCATTTTCGACTTCTACTTCTGGAATCAAAAATAAACTAATCCGACTCCAGCTTCTCAGTTTTGGTTATGTTATGAGAGTGAAGAAAATAAGGATAAATGAATGAAGAAACTACTAACAAGTCGCCGCTTTTTCAATGAAATCAAATTCCTTGTAGAATGTGAGAAGGTCTTGAAACTTTTTTTGGCACAACTGAACTATGTAGTGTAACAAAGTCAGCTTCTTGTTGTTAGACTTCGTTTCGTATAACTGAAAGCAAGCAAAAATGTACCGGCGTGTATTGAAACATTCCATAAGTTCTATTGCAGCTTAACATACCAAATCGAGACTTTGAAGCTTGATGCCGAAAGCCCCACCCTTGTTGTGGCTGTTCATATAATTTCCTATCGCCAGAATTATCTTTTAAAATTTAATTTTCAAAATATTAAAAGTGTTAATTAGAGTTTTACGGTAACAAAAACTTCGAAAATTCCGTTCAGACTAAAATCTAACTTGAATGAGTTTTTTGAACTTTTTTGAAGAGCGGACTGAAGACGAAGCTGTTCCAATGGCTTGTATTTTCTTCAAAAAATTGTATTAATCCAACTGTACCATATAATGTTTAAAAAAATTGCGTTAAACAAACTAACAGGCAGCAATAATTGATAGGAATCCGGAAAGGTGTTGAGGAACAAGAGGATGTTCAACTTCTGCTGCAGTCTTTCAATAGTTGTCATCTAGAGTTTTAAAAGCATTTTTAACACATTTTATTTCAGATTTGTCATTTTTGGTGCATAAAATTGTTAGACAAAGAATCATGTAAATTACAGCCATTTGTGTTGATAGCAGTTGGACAATTTTTACGAACAGTTTAACAAATCGATTCGATTGATAATGAAATAAATTCACACAAATTTTAGTTAAACACGTCTTTGGAACTTTAAATTATTTCGTTTATAAAAAATATCGTTTGGTTTACGTTTAAAATATTTAGAGACAACAATTATTATTTACCTGATAAAACTAAAAGTTTTAAAATGACAGGTTAAACTTAATTTACAAATCATAATTCACACACACACATCGGATGGTAATAATAACCAACCAATCATAATTCACACACCTCTGATAATAATAACCAACCAATCATAATTTACAGATATCTGATAATAATAACCAACCAATCATAATTCGCAGATATATGATAATAGCCAACCAATCATAACTCACAGACATCATGTACTGATCATCTTCGGACAGTGATTGGATTGTTTGACCAGATGCTAAGTGAGTTTTATAAATTTGAATTTCTTGAGGTGTTGGCACTGAACGAAAAAGGAGATCCAGATGGTCATACGTTAACTTCTTCACATCAAAACTGTTTAAGTGTTTGCAAAAGGGTTAAGTTAAGACGCACAAGTTAGTCAAACAATAACAATTTTATAATACGGAAGTAATAAAGAAATTTTTCGTTATGTTATAATAACGTATGTCCATTCAAACAACCATCTGTTGCTGCATGAAATATTGAATATCTATCTATAATAAATAACTGAAAACACTTATTTTCAAATAAATTTTCCTAATTAAAAAATAAATTTTTAATTTTGTTAATTTTTAATTTAGCTAATTGCTATGAAATTTGGCAACTCGACGTAAAAACACTTTGAAAGCAAACTTGAAAAAGATAATCAAAAAATTAATTCAATTAATAAAACTTGAATAAATGAATAACTGAAGAAGCTAAAGGAAATAACTTGTTCACAGCATCAATGATGTCTTTCACTGCCATATTTATCTTCCTTCTTGCAATAGCTGCAATAAACACAATCAACTGAATACGTAGGTAACAAGTAGATTTAATTGAAAATGGTGCAGAACGATAATTCAGTGAAACGTAAGCTCAAGTAAAAGTCAAAAAATTTCGATATTGATCATTTCAAAGGTCCAAAAGAATCTAACTCGGAAAACTGGTGAACGGAGGTCCAAGAAGACTTTATGAAGAGTTAAAATTAACAACGACAAAAATTAAATCTATTTTACAAAATTAAAGCTGAACAAATGAATGTTAACCCAACTAAACTTACCAACGTTTCTTTGTCGGTTTGGCTCCAAAAGTGTAACAAGGTTGTTACTGTTAACATTACCACACTCAAACTTGTTACTCATTCGTCTGTTCCTAATGGTTTTGTTTATTTCAAGTGATGGGGTGCTGCCATTGGGGACAGATGGCCTGCTCAGCAGTTTGAAGTGCTTCTCAAAATCTTCTAAATCTATTAACTAAATAAAATGTGGTGCAGAATCAGTTTTTGACGTTATTAAATATATGAAAATAATGTTGCTTTCATCATGATAAAGTTGGACAATGGATGGTCTTGTTCCTACTCTTACGCACAAAACATGTCAGAAGTAAGTTACTTCATTGCTGGCATGTACAAGCTATAATTCAATGTTACACCAATCCATCCATTTATTTTTATAGCGCCATTTCCGTGGCATTCGACAACGCTCCTTGCAAACAAATCGGTTTTAAAACACGCTTTGAACTATGTGAGTGATGAAGAAGTATTTAGAGAGGAAGGTAGAGTCCCAAAAAAGTTAACTTAAATTTGTAAACCTTGTAGATGCTCTCCTCCTTTATGTCCACAAATATGGTGTCCTTCACCTGAGACTCGTTCAATGTTGACCAGTTGATGGCGGGCAGACGACTTCGAGATTTCGTGTTCATTTGTTTCACGGTTTGAAATGCTGGAGCGTTGCTACCGTCTGAGAAATTGAAAGCACGTGCTGTTCGTTTAAATGCACTAAAAACAACTAACATGCATCAACTTATTTTGAAGAAATTAAAAAATACAAAATGTCCAGCTTACTGGCAATAGTGGAGTTTGTCGATGATTTGTTGGGGGTGTAGATGTTCGACATGCCGGCGATTGGAGGAGGGGGTGGAGGAGGAGGCGGGGGAGGTGGAGGAGGTGGGGTGAAAGATGGTGGTGGTGGTATGGTTGATGCTTCCGGTTCACAGGATGAAGGCTGCATAGACTGGGCCAATGGCGGTGGAGGAATGTTTGTGGTTGTAGTTGATGAAGCTGTAGTTGGTGAAGTTGAGGTCAATGAAGATATAGTTGATGAAGTTGACGAAGCTGGTGGACAGGAATTTGTGGTGGTGGATAGAGAAGGGGGTGATGGATTATTTAAAGACACTTTCTGATTCTGAAGTGAGGACAGCTGAGTCTAATGAAACATTTTTGTTTCAAACAAAATGAATTGTGTAATTCAGTGAAAAAATAAAAAATAATCAACTGAGTTGTAAAAATAAATAAAAAAATGACTAAAATTATTTGCATTCATCCCGTGCTGATTAAAATCTGAAATAAAACAATGAATAAATATAAAGATATCGTAAGTCCTAAATTATTACGGACACTTAAATTTGCACTCAAGAAAGCTTAATCCTTCAACTTGTGACGGAGCATGTTTGGAAAGATACAAATTTTGTTTATACTAACAGAAAACAGAATGAATAGACAAAAATATCACATAAGCAACATAGTTCATTATATTCATTTTTCATACAGTGAAAAAAAGTTAGCAAGATGTTACGTGAAATTCACCTCGTTGAATTAAATCATAACTTTAAAAATTTTGAATATATTAAAATGAAAAAATACCTCAAGCGATTCTTTAACTTTCGTCAACTTCGACAATTGATCTTCCAGCAGAACTGATTAAGTAACATTGACGTAACAAATCACTTTGTTAGAAACCGTTTAAATTTTACACATAGGTAACACACCCATTAGAAGCCAAACAAGTTGAAAAACCTGCCAACCTATTTTCTCCAAAGATGAATTTTCAACATCTTCCAGTTTTTTTGAAAGCTGTAAAATATTTTTGAATGAAATATTTTGACAAAATTTCAAACAGTTACACAAAAAAGATTGACAAGTCATAATTGTAATAGCTAACCTCCGCAATTTGTTTTTCATGAAAATCACTCGAGGAAAGTTGCGTGACGTCATGCAGCATGCTCCCAACATCCAAGTTATTTGACAAGTAGGCCTCCACTTCCGATGTCAACTTTTCATTCTCCATGGCTTTCAACTTCTACAAAATGGTCAATGAAATAGTTTTTGCTGTAATAATGAGTCAATCTACCAAATAGAATGAAACGTTTTAAGATGAAAGTTCATATCCAACAATAAAAAGTATGGTAATGAATGACTACGAAAATCTTTGCAAAAGTAACAACACAGAATAAAATGAACTCGGCATATTTGTAATATCATTGCATTTGTTGATTAATATGAAACTCAGCTTAGGTTTAAAATCTGCTCAATGAATAATTCAGCTTAAGAAGAATATTATTTTGTTGAAGCAAATTTTATTATGAGATTGATGAAATAAAACTAAATAAACAGTTTGTCAACAAAAATTGAGGTTTCGCAAATACAGTACAATATTTCCACAAATTTGAATTATAATTATAATAATTTTATTCGTTTACAAAAAACACACGAACCAAGAGGTGGTTATCAAACTCGATGGAATGCAGTTCATACTGCAGGTAGACTCTGAAGTTGATGTCTTGCGTTGAATGAACGAGCAAGTTGATACATCTTACGCACGCCACCTGGTTCATTGTTGTTTGCGTTGTCTTGTCACTGATGATGTTGTTGTCATCGTTGTTTTTAGTCATTTAATCACAATATCCACCAATGCGCCATTTACGCGGCGATAAAATAAGATGCACCTCAATAAACTTGAGAGAAATCTCAATTCTAAAACTTGTGAAAGATTGGGAAGTAATTCTTAAAAAAAGTTGGACAAAATCCGGAAAAAGTAAAGAAGACTTAGTAAAAGAGCTCTTGACTGAGATTATGAAGTAACGAAAATGAAAGAAAGATCATAATCTCGTACGTGCCAATGCGAGTGTTTCTGTTGTCATCATTAACATAGTTAGTGTTGTTAAAACTGTAAGCGTTGTTTTTATGTTGTTGTTGTTAGTCTTTTTGTAAAAACCGTTGATGTTACTCATTAATGCTACTTGATGTTTTTCATTCTATGTTCTTCTAAGAGAGTGTTTGTTGTGCTTTGCGTCGCCGTATGTAAATGAGTGTTGATTATGCAAAATATTTCTAGACTGAATGGATGAATGAGTGAGTAATAAAAAAAATGAAAGAATGAATGAATAACTTCGTTTTAAAATTTTAAACACAACAAGCTTTCAATCCAATTCACAAAACAAACTTACAACAAAATCGATGTCAAAGTCATTCTGATTGCTGAAATAGTGCATGAGGTATTGAAATCTATATTTTTCATGGCAGACCTACATCAACAAATATTAAAATAAATACATAATGTTGAATGTTCGGATGAAACAACAACTCAAAGATCATCCAGTCACCAATTTGAAGTTTTCGAAAGAACTCAAAACTTTGTCAAGACCTCCTTTAACCAGGCACAATGCAGCAATTAGATTTAACACGAGGGTTCTAGTCCTGTTAACAAAATTATAATCAAAGTCATTATTAATGAAATGCCTGAACAAATGCAAAATAAAACTAAAAGCCAGTCAAGTTAGCATTTAATACGAATTGTCATCAGCGTTCTGATAACTAACCTGGAGTTGTCATAGATGAGTGAGAGCACGAGAGAGTTTATGGCTTTTTCATGATTAAACAACAAACGGAAACCATCCTAGGAATAAAAATACGTTAGATACATGTTTAAAAATACAAAAAAATAATGAAGTTAGCGTAAGATCAATAAAGTCACAAACATGTTCACCTTATGATTCATGATAGCTTTCAAACATTTGATGCATAAGTGTATATCACTGCTTACGACTTTTGTTAGGGATTTGTTTTTGTCATAAGTTGTTTGTTTGGCAAATATGGATTGTCTGTTCATCTGCATTGTAGCAATACTGCCACTGCTGTTGGAACTGACGTCATCATTGCTGTTGCTTCCCAAGTTGTTGTTGGTTGACAGGGCAGAATTATAGAGAGGCTGAGTATCAGGGTCAGCCAACATGACACCCAACACCCAGTTCAGGTAATCAATCAAAATGTTCAGTCCGTTGTTGATTCCATTCAAAAACTCTTCCACCCATCTATGCAAAAATTATTGAGTTGATTTGTAAATAAAATAATTGTTCAAACTTATTTTCTTATCTAACAATAAATTATAATACTTGAAACATTTTATCAGTTCTTTAGTGGTTCATAAAATAATTATTAATCCTTAAAAAAATTACTTTTGAATAGCAATTAATTATCAACCCTTTAAAGAGAATTTCTTGCTGAGTAATACTTTTGTACTCTATGTTCTCGTGATGGCTGTTCTCTCACAAGAACATAAACTCAATTTAAAACTAATCTAAACACTCAAGCAATATATTTATAAGTGACAAACAATCCATGCAACCGATCACTCATCATATTATGGCTGCAATAAAAAATTTCAGATTATTCAGCAATTGTTACATAGTTTGTTGAAGCAAGAATTATCAGCTTTATTAAGACTTTTCAACAGTCAACAGATCAACCACATGTATATGATCACATATCAATTGTAGTTTAGCTCCAATGGTAATAAGTTGAAAAGTTAACAAAGAACTAACTCAATAGAGTTGGTCCTGAGAGATATTTCTAAATCATTCAACGTTTGCCTGCAGGATTGTTGAGCTTTAACTGTCTGGTAAAAAGTTTAGATGTTAATAAATAATCCCAACAAATGTAAAGAAAATAGCACAAATGGAAACAAAATTTTTTAAGGAAACATATATGAAGAATTAAAAAAAGTATTAAATATATTTTTTGTTGCAATAATAAACTAATTTTAATTCTAACTAATTAGAAAGGCGTAAAATTTACTAATTACTTACAATACTTAATTTAATTGGTTTGCTATAATAAATAATTAAATATAATTGATTAAAATGGTTTACTTTAAGAATTTGTCAAACCTTATTCTTAGTATTAGATGTCTCTGTCATATAATTTTTCAATGAGTTGATATAAAACTGTGGAGGATTTTTGGCTTTTAGGAAATCCTTATAAAAGACATTTAAAAATTTTCATTGATAAACTGAAACATGGAAAGAATAACAAATTTTTATACGCACAGTTCCACAAACAAGCTGCCACTTTTTCTCATCACTGTAATCATCAAGTATGTGTCTCTTCTCATCATTTAAATCAGCTGATATCTGTGTGTATGTTGAATGTCTACATTTCTATCGATTCATCTATCAAAAAAGTACTTGTAAGTAAACAAACATCAATTAATTATAATTATTATTAGAACCTTTATAATTGATTGTAATAATAATAATTTAACAACGGTACAAACATACCATAATTTGGCTGAACCTTCTATCCAGTTCATCCTTGTTTGGAATAGGACTAATAAGAGTCATCATGTTCTGAAAGAGTTTGGCATTTATTGTTCCATTATTATTTATTTCTAAGGCATCACCAGCCACCAAAGTTATCTCACGCGTTTTACGTTTATCCTTTGATTTGGAAATCGGCATGATGATTAATTAACTCGAAACTTTAGTTAGAAAACTTACAAAAATTATTACATTTAAACTTTAAATTTTAAAGTTAAGAATAAGAAGAAACTACATTAACACCTTCAGCCATTTTTAAAGAGTTAGTAACTCCTTTACTGCTATACTATATATATATATATTCAATATTGAATGTTAGTCATTCATTACGTCGTTTCGAAGTTGTCTGTTACGCTTGGCGGACTAGGCATTTATGAATATTTAGCACTTATTGTTTGCATTGTAACTCATGAAATAAAAACATGCTAAACATGATGAGCATTCTATTTTGAAATTATTTTAAGCTTATTCTAAACTTTATTGATAGTATAATTCAAGAAATATAATTATATATGTTAAATATAATCACTTTGCTTCTTGTTTAATACTAATTTTCTTAGCAAAGCACTGATCAATTTAATTTTAATAATTGTAAGAATATTACAAACATCACGTCCGCATACCAATGAATAAATGCTTAACATTGCACTTCAATGTTTACTTCGAACTGAAGTTTAAAGCAACAAATGCAGAAGGCCCGCCAAAAATAAATAGGTAAAAAGGCGCACCATTTCGTAACAATTAAGAACTTATCACGTTGGTTACCAACTGTTATAGTCTAGAGGTATAAAACGTTAAAACTAAGACGTAAATCGTTTGAACGTTTAATTTATTCATGAAAATAAAATATCGATATTTCTGTAGAACACAACCGTACGTTTAAATGTATGGTACAACTACCTATGCCTAGTATTCTACTACTACTAGTATTGATCGATGTTGAAGTAATGCATCGCGCACACATCGTTGAGTGTGACTGTTAAGTTATATAAGTTAAGTTGCAATTTCTGTTAATTAAGAATTAAATAGTGATCTTTTAACGGAAAGCGATTGAAAATAACTTTGCAAACTTAACACAATTGGAAATAAATGCCTAGCGATATTTGACATGAGCGCGCGCGCACACACACACACACACCACACACAAACCACCAAATGTTAAAGCATTAACAATGAGATGCTGATTGAAGAGAAAAGAATTAATCATTGGGCGACACAATGGTGTAATAGTAAAGTCGATTGCAAAGGTCCTCGCCTATCACATGCAATGTATTTGATACGTTGTTTCACGTGTGTTTACATGCAATGTGTTTTTGGTTGATGCCTCTGAAAAATTTAGAAGAGAAAATTGTAATAAAGTATTGTAATAAATTAAAATTGAATGGACCACCGATAACCCAATTCAAACTCATATCATTTTGTCTCCCAACAACGTTGTCTAGATTCGCCGCTGTTGCTGTCGTTCTTCTTTAAACAAGCAACATACAGATTAAATCTTAAATACGTTTTTTACTTCTAAAATTTCTAATGATCTAATTTATCAACTTTTCTCTAGCAGATTCACAACTAGGATTTTCCAGCACTGCATTAATTGTCCAAGTTTTGAATGCATAAACAAAAATATTAACGTTTTTTTGTTGTTAACACGCAATCCATTACTCCTCCCCTCCTTATATTAATCAAAAGTAAGAACTATTAACGATGCAGAGGCACGCGTGACAACTTCATTGAAAAAATATTGCGAACACTTTTCTCTTCAACAACATTATAAATTTATGTTTAATTAATTATTTATAGGAAATCGGTTAATGAAACAATATTTTAAAAATATGCCAAACTATAAGCAAAATTTGTGACAAATGAGTAGATTACTTTAAACTAACTAGAAAAAAGTTGTACTTGCACATATTTAGAGAATAGCTATCAAAATCAAGCATCATGTATGTGGCTCCTTATTTACTTACTAATTTGGTTAATAAATTATTTCTCTATTATATAAGTTTTTTACACAATTAATATTTTGTTTTTATTACATATTTATTGCATGTTGTAAAGAAATCTGAGTCTGTCAAAGTAAGATATTTTTTTTAAAGTAATAAAATAAAAATGTTGTTATTGATTAGATCAAAAGCAGAAGTCTTCCCACACGGTAAAAAACATTTATCACACCAGTCAATAAGCAATAACGTCAACAATTTAAATACGACATATGTAAAAACTAGATCAGTTCTTTTGTACTTTTCATACAAAATATCCAAACAGGCAGCAGAAACATGTTGGCGTAGCATCTAATTCATGCGTTCTTTAAGCATCAACTTCTTTTTGTTCAGTGAAACACCTAGCATGATGTAACGCAACAACTAAATTAACGCCTTTTTGTTGAAGAGCTCGTACAAAACCTTGATTGGCTGTTAAAGTTAGAGCTTTTATATTATCTCCAGTGCCAAAAATGCAAATTGACCTTTCATTTACACGAGAACTATGAAATGATGAAAATTTTTCTGATGGCTGATCTGGTATAATCTGCAGAAAATCTAGTAAAACTTTTGCTCTGTTTTTTTCGTTATTTCCTCCAACAACGTCTACAATTTCTTTAAATATTTTAACTGCACTTTCACATGCACAAATTTTTCTTCCAATCAACTTGTGAAAAATTAAAGGCAATTGTGGATTTAATTTTTCATCATTGGCTTGAAGAGTTAAATAGTTTTGTTGAAATTTGACATGGCATCCACCGTGACATAAGTTACTACACAGGGCAATCATTGTTGTGATGTCAAGATTAGCTTTGCCAGGATATTTTTCAGAAGAATCATATACTAAATTGCTAACATAAGTCTTGCATATGCAATCAACAGAGCACAATGAATGAAATAACTTTGCATTGTCAACATCAACAGCTTGCATGGTCTCAGTTTGATCTGTTTCTAATGGCATTTGTGACTCAGTGATTGAGAAATTGCAGTCAGCAACAAATTTACCGCTTTGATCATTAGTATCATCACCACTATAATCATCACTATTTTTGTCACTATTACTATCATCATCATCACTACTACTAGAAATTTCTCCATGAGATGTTTCATTACTACCAATTGAAGAATGAAATTGAAACAAGCATGAACATAGTTTAGATGCAAGTATATTATTTGGTAAAAATTCATCACTCATGAGAATATTAATATTCATTTTTAATAACAAATTCTTCAACTTTTGTGGCACTTCATAGAAAAAAATAAAATACACTTTGGGTATATTAAAATTGAATGTATTCAAGTTAGCCAAATTCAAGTATTCTTGGGCCTGCTTCGTTAGGGGTTTGGTTCCATATTGGCATTGACCTTGTAATGTTGTTAATAAATTTATTTAAAAAAGATTTGTAAAAATTTAAAAACTTTAAAACTAAAAATGTAAAAAAAAATGAAATGTATAAATAAAATCATTAAATACCATCTGAAAGAATTTTTAAAGTTTTAGAACTTTTTGTAATAACTTTAGCCCATGAAGAGCCACCATTGAAGATAACATCAACTGTGATTCCATGCTTTAACCCACTAAAATGTTTCAAAACAGCAGAAACATTTTTCAAAAATAGCGCACAGAATAAAAGACCTAAATATTAATAAATGTTATAAGAAATAAGATTGAATATTGTATAAGTTTTGCTTTCATTTAATTTTAATATTAATTTAATTTAATTTGTTTGAAATTGAATTGTTGATTTTATAAATATTGATGCATACCTTGAATAAAAACCAAGTTGGTTGATTTAAGTTCTTGCAAACTGTAATGATTTTTCTTATTATGTTTCGTTATAATTTCGTTATTTATGAAAAAGTAAATAAAATTTTCATACTAAGACTTAAAAAATTAAATTAAGATACCTTTTCAAGAAATTTCTTTTCAGCAGCACATGATTTCATAAGTTTCGACATGCCATCAATGTTTAAATTGGAGGAACACATCTCAAAAGTTTGATTGCAGCTGGAGATTAAGGATGAATGCAACTCGTCTTCCATGTTTGTAATTGCAAATTTTAAAAAATGAACTGCGAAAATCGAAGAATCTCAATTACAAAGCGATAGACACAAAACCTGCATTATCATAAAAACAAACGCTTTCGCAATCGGCTCCTACATTTGGTTCGATAATTCAAAAATGAAATTAGGTTCCACATTGGAACCTAATTCTAGTCCAAACAAAACAACGTATCTAAATTATAAACTTGCATTCAAATATTAATTTTGGGTTATTTTATAATTATTATACACTTTATTATATATATTTATATATAGTATATTTTATTTTTTTAAAAATGTAACTCAATTCTTACCTCAAAATTGCATGGCTGTTTTTGCAGGATCTCGTTTAAATTCTTTCCCTGCAAGTCAAATTTAAAACTATGATCTAACTTCGAAACGTTTAATGGCGATCAGAGAAGTTGAAATGTTGCCGACGATGATTTTGGTGGATTTTGTCATTACTTCCATACAAGATCGACTCCAAAATAATTTTTACGATCGTTCAGTTTTAAATTAAAATGGATTTGAAAAAAAATTTCAAACTTTTAAACCCAAGTTAGACATGATGATGGTGATGATGCTGATGTGATTGTGATGTGATGTGATGTGATGTGATGTGATGTGATGGATCTTCTTTTCATAATAAATTATAAGTTTATAATATGATCTACAAAATTTATTAGGTTTATTAAATTAATTAATTTGTTTTTTAAATGTTACTAATGAATCTAACTAATTATAATATGATAGTTAATTTACTTTTCTATTAACTAATTTGTTTTATATTATATTATATTATTATTAATTATTTATTTTAAAGTTTTTATTTTAAAAGGCAGTTTGAAGAAAACAGATGGTAAAGTTTTCAAAAGGACATCTCACAAAACTACCAGCAAAATTTCATTATCTCCTCGAACCACGTATGTATCTAATTTTTATGACGTAAGAAAAAAGCATTAAAACTTTTTGATTTGTTTGTTTTTTAGGTTTACCACCTTTTATCTTTTTATAGTATATATAGATTTCTAAAAAACTGAATATAAAATAGTTTGTGCCACTTAAATTTATTATAAATAATTCATTCTTATAAATATCCACAACTAAAGATTACTTTTTAATTCATAAGTATATAATTATTTAATTTTAATGGAGTAAAAATATTGTGATCCTGATTAAAAACCAAAAATTTAAGACAAAAAGTTATTAATGTTACTTCAACTTTAAAATATTGAAAAAAAATTATATGTTATTAATGTTTTTGTATATAAACTCAGCCTTATCATTCACATAGGTTTTTCATGGTTTTTCTTAAAAGATTTTTATAATTGCCTTGAAATTTAAACAAAATCTTGAAAACTTAACTGATACACAATTTACCACAATCTGTTGTTTTTTATTAATTTATGTTTATAGATTAGTTATATATGTCCTGGTTATGACAATGTCCTGGTTATGACATTAAACTGACCCTCACTGCCTTGTGAGTGATGTTGGATCATCAAAGGCTAGGCCCACTGCTTATAACTGTGGTTGCGTAAGGAAGGGCGTCCTGCGTAAAAATTAGCCAAATAAATTACTTATTATGGAATGGCGTCGAGGGGTTTTTCGGTTTCATCATAGGTAGCCAAACGGCAACCCCCGATCTCGGGGAAAATGTCGTCTAAACGTGTGTTGTTGTTGTTGTTATAGATTAGTTATATAACTTTCATAAAATGATGCAGACACAAGAAGCGTTCCTCGTTGGAAAGTACTGCTTTAATAACTGTTTCTGACAACAATGAAAGAAAGTCTTCAAAAAACATCAGTGTCAAATCTGCCTGTTTATATGAACGACCCAGGTACTTTGTTTATTTGACTTGCCATTTGTCACTCTTTTCATTCACTTTTTTATAATTTCAATAAATCAATAAATTTAATTAATATTTTAATAAATTAATTTAGGTTCAGTCAATCAAAGATAAAAAAAATTAGCAGAGATAATGATGGCAGTCCAAGTGTTAGAGTAAAAAATTGCTTTATTTTCTGCTTGTTGTAAAAGTTATTTAAAGTGAATTTGCATTTCAAACTTGCCAGCTCAAGAAGAAGTTTCCAGAATCACTCGGGGAGGCTGTATATGAAGGATCTCTCAAATCTAAAAACACATTTGTTGATGGAAAGGTATATTTCAAGTCAAATTATTGAAAGTTCAATTTATTTTTACATCATCTTGGTTGAAATGATTTGTTTTCATGGGTACAATTATAATGGTTTGTCACGATTTTAAAAATTTGTAAGAAAATATCAGGAAAGCACTTGCAAACCAGTGTTCTTTTTTGAAGAACTATTTTACTGTTTTACAAAATAATTTTCATCTTCTCCAAATAATGGGAATAATTTTTGGTTATATGAACATCTAAACCAGCAATAATGAATGAATTATATGAATAGTACTCATTGGATCGAGCGTGGAAACCAACATATGTTGTCTTGAGAGGACATTGCTTGTGCTTACATCCGGATAAAAATTCACAGGTTAACATTGTTAATTTCCCCACAGTAGTTTCTCCATTGATAGCTATTTTAACATAGCTTGATTCACATTTTTCAATATTTATTAAAATATTTGCAGAATTTGGTCGTGTATGACCACCCTGTTTCCATTGGCTCAGCTCTGGTGGACATTGCATATGACTATGTAAAGAGATCGAACGTTTTTCGAGTTATGACTCTTGGGTTTTCTGAATTTTTGTTTGAAGCACCTTCCTCCGCTGACATGCTTGGCTGGATCCAAGCTCTTCAGAAGCAGGGTCTATCACACAATCAGGTTGAAGAGTTTTTGGGTATTATGATAAATGATTTGCATTTCGTTTCCATTGCCATTTAACATGCTCGTATGATATTCATATCCTTTAAAGGAATATTTGAGGAAGAAAATACTCAGTCACACGTCTTCGAAAAAGCATAAAACTAAACATGTGAAGCAAGACCCAGCAAGAACGTTGGTCCAGAAAAATACTTCACCAACATCTACAAACATCACCAAACAAGATCTCTTGCAACCATCTAAACTTATTGAAAGGTTTCGATCAAAATCACCAGAGGGTCGCCAGTTGAAACAGCAGGTCTCACCCCCATCCATTCACATTGGTAAGTGTTGATAATGATGATAATGGTTTGGTATTTTGTTGTTTTTTTTCGAAAGAGAGCCGCTGAATTTTGTTTTTTTTTTTTGAAAATTCTGTTAAGTCAAATTTAAATAATTTTAATTTATTTTTATTTTTTTTTTCTGTTTCTTAATTATTCAACAATTGTACAGAAATGCCATCAGATGTAAAATCAAAGTCCTGGAGAGAAAAGATGGCAGAGAGGTTTAGAAGGGCGAACAGTCACCCTGGCACTACTGGATTCCCCATATCATTTTCATCATCCAATCAACAGACATCACTGCTATCACCACCCCTACTACACCACCATTCTTCCTTCAACAGTTATAACACTGATGTCTATCAGAGCAATGTCGACGGCGATGATGAAGAGGATGATGACGACGACGCGGCAGCTCGTAAAAAGTATAAAGGCTCCTTGGGCATTCCTCTGAAATATTGTGTACACTCTTCTAAAAATAAGGCAATCATTTTTTATTATAATTTTTTATTCTTAGCTCCTGAGTCATTTAAAAAAATTTTTAGCAACAGAATGACGCACAATTATTATTATTTGTTGAAGTTAATTGAAGTTACGTTAACAGCATATTCCCTTGATTGTGGAAGTTTGCATTGAAGTCATCGAGTCACAAGGTCTTGAAAAGAAAGGTGTGCCTCTTCAATTTAAAACTGAAATCTTCGTAATTCTACGTTGTTACTAATTGTTTAATTTCTATCCAAACTATTTGCTATGTGTTTTGTTAATATATCCATTATAAAGGGATCTTTTTCATTTTTATGGATTTGTTATTTGTTAACGTTCTACCTCGGGAAACCGGGTCTCTGGACGCAAAACGAAGATCGATTGATTGTTTTGCTAGGAATGTTCTTTAATTATGATGGAAGTTTTAGTAAAAGAATTTGTACTTTATTTTATATTTTTATATTCTGTTTTGGTTGCATTGTGTGTTTTTATTTCCATCACTTTGTATTGCCAGGAACTTCGTTAGCTCCACATTTTATATTGGCTTGTATTTTCATTTCAAATAGGTATTTATAGAGTTCCTGGAAACAATGCTGCTATATCCATACTTCAAGCTGAAGTTGACAGGGTGCTCTAATTGTTTTTTTCAATTTATTATGTTGGATAAGTAATTTGCAAAGTTTGTCTGCTAGTTGCGATGATTACTCAGGAACATTTATTGAACATTGGCTAGGACCCTGAAACACTGAGCAGATCTCACGAGAAATGGAATGACATCAATGCAGTCGTCAGTCTCCTCAAGCTCTTCTTCAGAAAGTTACCCGAGCCACTCGTCACCACGAGTCTGTTTGTTTGTTTGTTTATTTCAGACATTTCTCATTAAATCTTTATCAAATTATTCTTTGCCAAATAAAATGAAATTTTTTATGTTCTTAATACATATGCTAATTATTATTTTATCTAATTATTCCAAATAAAGGTTTGTACCAATCATTTATTGACGCGAACCACACGGAAAACAAAACTAAAAGACTTCTGAAATTAAAGGTTCATAGTATCATAAACCACGAAATCTCATATTTCATTCTGCTTCTCTTAACTCACTTTTCGTTTTCAATATTTTTTTTAAAAATCATTATTATAAAGTCATAAAAAATTTTATTGAAAGTATTAAAATATTCAATCCATTGTTGATTCCATACGATATTTCTCTTCCAGAGACTAGTCCATCTGCTTCCACATCACAATTTTGAAACATTTTATTGCCTAGCCACGCATTTAAACAAGGTCTCCACATATGAAAAGTCAAACATGGTTTGTTAAGTTATACGAATTAATTTATTTTTCAATAAATATTTATATCAGGCCGATGAATAACACTTTGGTTTTTTTCATTGCTTGTTCAATTGCTTGCTTTTTCAAACAGAAAAATTTGTTATTTTATCTCTAATATAATATTACCACAATTAAGTTTATTTTTTAATGAGATTAACTTGGGAATAGTTTAATTTGATTTTATAATATTTACGTTGCGAAATATTTGGTTTTTTTTTATTTGTCCTCATACAAACTTTTAAATTGTAGATTTTTATGATTTTAACATTCGTTATAGATGGATGCCCACAATTTGGCAATAATATTTGGACCAACGTTGCTCCAGCCAACTAAGAACGAGAGCATGGTGAATATGGTGAAAGACATGAATGATCAGTGCCAGGTTTTGGAAAGCATCATCATGCATGTAAAAAAATTTTTTCTTGTAACTTCACTCACATACGTTGAACCACTAAATTGAATGTGAAAGTGATTATGATTATGTGATATTGATAATTATATTTGTCTTGGTATTGCTGAATAGAAAAATGATGACATTTCATCATTCACGAAAACAATTTCTGATTTTTATTTTAAATTGTTTTCAAAGGTTACTGACGTTAGTTGCTAAGAAGCTCCACCCTTTTTCTAACCTTCTCATGTTCATTTTTTTTTTCAAAAGATGTCGGATGAATTTTTTCACTTAAACAACAGCACAAATGGTTTTTTGGATCGTGGGATGAGGACGTGCAGGTGCCGGGCGAGGACACTTCCAACACCGTCCCAATCACTTCCATGGAGGATCAGCTTATTGAGAAGGCACAACAACACTGCAGCAGTTAGTCATTTACAGTTCACGTGTGTAATTATTTTCATCATTTTGAATACTAATTTTTTTATGATTTATTAATTAATTCAGTTTTTTTTTATTGTAAATTTTATTTATATTAAAATTTTCTAATAGTCTTGACATAGTACATGTTGCGTGCTACAATTTCCACTTATTAATAATTCAGGACTAGGCACTCCTGACTATATATTTTATGTTGTTTTCTTTTAGATTTTGAAAATTCTTCATCATTGGGGGGCATTAAGAAATCTTCAAAGTCTTCAAATGTTACAAACAATAATGGCAGTCAGTTCACTGCAACGCTATCTTCATCAGCAGCTGGAACGATTCAGCATTCACTCATAAGCAAAGTAAGGAAAGAAAACAACGACAACAAGGGACTGGCGGTTTACAGCGTGGAATCTGTTTATTGTGATTTCGACAAATCTTTCTCAAGTGACAGCTCTAAGGCAACTTTAAGATCGAGACATTACAGTGCAAAGAGTCATTTGAAGGAAGAACCTTTGAAGTCTGGATTGAAGTTGAAATGCGGCCCGACAGATAAAAGAGGCTCCACATCCCTGAGGGTTGAACACAATTCCAGAAGAAAGTCAAGAGACGAGAGTGCTACCACGTTAGACAAAACTTCTTCTACTTTTGATAACCACATCGATGACGGATCAACTGTTATATTTAACAAAGAGTCTACTGATAAAACTAGAGTTCAAAAATCACAATTTCTTGAAACAAGTAAGAGATCATCTATTGGCGGTAAAGTTTCGTTGGTGTCCAACAAATACAATATAAAAGTGAAAACTTCAGACAGAAGACCTTCTACAACCATCAAATCACTTGATTCATTGAAAAAACCAACCTTGATTGCTAAACAATTTAACCAAGACTACAAAAAATTATATGAAGGGTATTCTGGCGAAGTTGAATCTAAATACAATTTAAATCCTAGCAGCATGGGAAGTTTTGAAAAGTTGAAAAGTGTTTCTTCTTCAAAAAATACCTCTGGCAGAAAAGTTGAAAATTTTCCTTTGAAACACGGACACAAAAGATATGCTGGAGATGGAAACTGTGAAAGAAATATATGCTCCAGTGGTTTCCTGCAACCACCCCGCTTAAACTTTAAGTCCAGATATTCCCAGAAGTCTTGTCGAAAATCAAAACTAGAATGTAATAGTTCATCAAAACTGATTTCAAAATCTTTCTCAAGCAACAGTGATGATGTTAGAGAAAGAAGCGAAAATGAAAAGTTAAAAAGTGGAGTATCCAAAGAATATTCTGTTGATGCTAATTATGATTTCAAAAATAAAGATGATGCAAAAGATATGGATGATGTTTTTATCAAAGTAAAAGATCAAAACGCAAATGATTTGCTAGAAGATAGAGGACTTGATAACAGAGGTTTTGACGAAAGATCAATGAAAAAGCCATCGTTGATATTTCTGTCACCTTTTCACGCGAAACAGCAAAAAAAGAGATCGACCTCAATAGATTGCATAGTTAATGAAATCAAGTATTTCAAGATCACTCAGACACCAACGTCGTCGTCATCACCATTAAACAACAGACATACAAAACACTTAACTAGTGGCCACTATGATGACCATTATGATGGTGAGGTCTCAAAACAGGATAAAAAATTTACAAGAGCTTCATTGAAGATTCACTCATCGCTTCATTCACTCTTGAACTCTCCACAAAGGTTGAAGACATTTTTTCATCGTGACCTGAAAGCCCTTATGTCACCAACACATTCTCCAATGAACAGACGATATCTTTCCTTTCACAAAACCAAATGCGCTTCTGATAGCCATAGTAAACCTTACTATTTGGCTAATGAATCAACTGGAAAACAGATGAGTAAATCTGAATATAAAAAATTATATAGAACTTTATCAGCCGACGACAGCTGCCAGAAAGAAATGTCCACGAGTTGTCTGAAGGAACACGCCAGGAATCTTGCGTATGAATCTTCTGTGTGACCATACAAGCTTTTAAAGCTTTCAACATCATTCATTTATATTATTTTTAAATGACATTTCCGTTGAATAAATATTAATAATTGTAGAGTATACATATGTAGAAACATATTGTTTTAGATTAGTGATTGTGAGTTAAGATATGCGGTTGGCGATGTAACTGATTCGTATTACGTTGAACAGAGGAGGAAAAAAGTTACATATGTTTTATATGTGGTCAGATATATGCAGGAGAAACACAGATGATGAATGAGTATACTTAGGTTTTACATATTAACTGTGGTAACAGCCTTAGGACCCAGTGAAACCAACTCAGCAGCGTTTGGTGACACTGCACACGGAAGACTCATTAGATCCTGAATGGTGCTGCTACAAGGATATCCTGTTCATCATTTGATGCACTTGGTCCGATCCGACCATATTGGAATGAGGATTGGCTGGAGGAACCTGCTAGTGATGATCTACGTTCTCTGGGGCACCTGTTTTGGCAGTAATTTATTTGCAAACGACGTTCTTCATTATCATTCCCACCTTGATTATATTTTTATATTCAACCCCATGTGTGTTAATATAAATATGTATATATTTTTCGGAAGTTATTTTTTTGCCATAAATATTTTAATGATCCTCATATTTTATTTGAAAATTTGTTGTTGAATGATGTTTATACCCTGGATCACTATTCAAACATCTTCTTTCATTGAATAAAGCAGATAATCTCAGTCTATGGACGGCTTTTATTTATTTAAATTTGTCATTATTTCGATTCATTACTTTTTTTATCCTTGTTTTTAACTTAAATGGTATAACTTGTTGATATATGTTTGAGTGGAAACCGTTGGCAAACTGATATTTGTTATTTCAAATAAATTGTAATTACGGCACTTTGCCAACGTATGATTGTTTTGTTGGATCTATCAAATCAGTACTTGTTGTTCGTTCACGCTTCAGTCTTGGTGTTGTGCGATATATATATATATATATATATATATATATATATATATATATATATATATATAATAAAAAAATTGTTATTTTCATCAGTATTTAAAAGTGAATTTTCGCTTTGTGTTATCAATATATTTGAGATAAAATCGTGATCTTGAATATTTCATGCTAGTGAAACATGAAGTATAATTTTATTTCTCAATATATATGTTAACTATTACGTCCTACCTCGGGGAAACTGGACGCTAAACGAAGATTGATTGATATGTTTACTATCGTGAAAAAGGTTTCACATAAATATATTTATATATGTGTGTATATATATCGTCATGTTTAGCTTTTATTTTTGTTGTGGCTCCTACTGTTTCATCGAAATATTTTGTAATCTTGAACTTTTTGTTGCAGCTTGGAATGTGCAGCATACATTTCGTATTATTAAGCATGTTTGAAAATTTTTTGTGAATATGTACTGCGTTTGTGTGTGTCTGCTTTTGTTGCATCTCAGTTGGCAAATAAATCTTCGTGTATTTTAAAACGCGATTCAATTGTTTCCCATTTCTTACTCTGTTATTATTTAAATTAATTTTAGTTTCTGTTGCTTTAAACATTTGCTCTGATGTTTTTTAAATGTTCTATTGTGTTCCGCTACCATATTCTAAGTTAGTTCATCGATAGCCTAATGATAAATATACAGTATTATAAATCCCATAGATTATACGAGAGTATTACATTGTTGATATTATTATGTGTCAGTTACACACATAGCTGTTTTGTTAAGAATAAATTTATACTCGTTCATTAAATGTTTTATAACTATACTGAATGTGTAACAATCTTATTCTTAGTTCTCGAGTGTGTGTATTTGAATGTATCTGCGCGTGTGTATCATTCAAGAATGTGTGATTGTATGAGTGGAAAGGTTAATTATTTCAAATGTGTATGTCTGATCATTCCTTCAATGTTCGTCTTGATTGTTTAGTTTTTTGGTCGTGTATAAATTGTTTTTAAGATATACTACAGATTTATTATATATTGGTTTATATATATATCATATAATTTTTTTATAATTTCTTTTATTCGTTCGAAAAAATTTTATTAATTTTTATTCATGCCAAATGATTATTATTCTTGTTTCAGCAATTTCACCAAATCTATATCTTCCATGACTCCAGTCACCTAGATCGCCTACATCCATTAAATGACGAATTCGAGTCATACGATAGACCTTTAAGGTTGCACAAGCATCATATGAACCAGTTTAGCGCCAAATAACTCTGCTTATTTAAATTTGTAATTTCCCCAAAATTGCATTACAAAATCTCGACCGCATATAAGCCGCATTAGTTTCACAGCTCCTTCCCTAAAAAGAACTTTGTTTCTACTGTCTTTTGCGCCAATCTAGTACCAGTAGTGCTGCATAACATTTGGTTTTATTTTCATATTTGCTATCAATTCTTATATGTACATATACATAAATATTTGTATTTATTTATTTACCTTACATTTATTTGTTTATATATTCGTGCATTTATTTACCAGATTGCACGTTATGAATTATAAAACTTTTTGTGACATTATTTTTTGATACTCATCTATTTTATATTGTTTTTGTAATTTCATTGAGTTATCTCATGCTAACTTTGCACTTTCTGTTGCTTTCAGTTCATTTGTTGCTGGCAATGTCGTTTACTTGGACTTAATTTAATAATAATTAAATTCATTAGGTGTGTGTGATATTTTTATTGAAATAGTGCAGCGGGTCTCGTACATGCATGTGTTTGCTTTGTGCATTCGTTCCTTCCTCTGTTTATAAAAATTCGTCTTTATTTTGATTCGAAACTTTCAGCGGTGCAACAAGGAATTTTGGCTAGTTAATCTACTGTGGAGATATTAAAAAAATAGTTCGTGAGCTCGTGTAATGATACGATGCTTGATCTTAATGAGGCGAACAACAAATAACAATACAATTGGGGTTTTTGGTGACAAAAGCCTTCAAGTTATGTCTAAAATCTGACCAAGTTCAAACTAAAAAATTTAATTTTTTCGTTTTTAGGCATTATATATATTGAGTTCATTTTTTAATGGTTCCTATTTATATTTTTAACACTTCGTGGACTGGTTAGTTCGCTGTCACGTTATAACAATCATATCGCTTTTTCACCCTTTCAAATTATAGCTTTTGTTGAAAATATTTAAAAATTCAAGAAAATACTACTGTAAACAATTTAGTCAATAGCCATGTTTCATAAGCGTTTTAGTAATCTCATTAATGAGGGTTTTGTGACTGTCATTCAGTCATGCTGAGCCTTATAATATCACAATGATTAAAGCACATCCACAGAACAGATTAACTTAAATTACTGAGGTGAATTGATTTTGTATTTGAAGCAAGAACTTGTAATGTTACGTGTTCAATTTCTTTGTTACATGGCGGGCTATCGGTAGACAATTCGTTTATCATGCTTTTTATTGGATATTGCATGTGTATTATCACATTTTCTACGCGTGTCTTGTGAGCTGAACAGTTACCGTGTCTCCTTAATATTTATATAAATACATACAGAAATATATATATTTATCGCATAAATATATATAAGTATATAGTAATTTATGAAATCTACAGAATTTCTGGCGATGGATAGTTTTTTGTTTATTTCTTAATATTTCTAACCAAATTCTTGTCGTCATTATCTATTTTATTAAAATTAGAATAATTATTATTAACAATAATAAAATAAATAATGACGACAAGAATTTGGTTGAAAATATTGAGAAATGTAACAAAAAACTATCCAAAGCTAGAAATTTGGTAGATTTCATAAATTACTGCATTAATTACGGTCTTTTACCTATATATATATATATATATATATATATATATATATATATATATATATATATATATATTATATATATATATATATATATATATTGATGTTTTTTTTCGAATTATGGTTTTCTTTTAAGTAAGGATGTTGACGGTTTTTAATGTACCTACTCTCCTATACATTTAATCACAGCTTGGGTTGTAATTTAAAAAAATAACAATTGTACTTATAAATCATTTAAATTATAATTGTTAATTTAAATCATTTGACCTATGGATAATATTAATAGAATACATATCATGAACATTCCGGATTGTATGGCTAAGACATATTGTCGTATTTTGATATTGTGTTTTTTTGTCATATAAAAGTGTTGTAATTCCTGAGTTGTTTATTAAAAAAGAAATAACATTTAAATACTTTGAACCACAAACTCGTGATATTTGATTACATTTTTTATAACAACTTCACGTAAGATCGTAAAATATAACGAACATCAATGCGGATGGAATGAATGAATGTCAGTGATAAACGACAAATGATGGGTAGATGAAATAATTATGCGAAATATCCCAAATTAACATCACTTGGAATTAATAAAGTAAACAATATTTTTGTCTGTAAAGTTTATTTATTTGCAATTTTCTTTTTGATAGTGTAAAGAACATGACCATCAGATTAAATATACGTCCCACTTTCAGTTAGACGGAATATATTGGGCTCCCACGCTGTAACGATCTGATAGTTTTGGAGTTATCTTTTCTACTTACACGAGATGTCAGACTTAGGCCGATTGTACATGTCACTGATGATATAAACCATATTTCTGTCAACCTGTCAATTATTGATGATGATAATGTAATGAATATGTTACCAAAAGTACTTTTCAAATTAAATTGCAAAAAAAACTTGCCGTTCTATAACTGTGCTAAATGTTGTTGAACCTAAACTTAGATCTAAATGTTCGAGTTTAATTTTCACTCGTTAGAATCGTGAGAAAGGGGCCATCGTGATTATTTTGAGAAGCGGTCCACTTGTGACAATGCAGAACGTTTCAACTCAGGTCATCAAGTTAGGCGAAAATTGCAAGTTTTTTTTGTTGAATTTTATTTCTTTTCCAACGAAGGAAACGTTTCAAATTTAATTAAAACACAATGTACTCCAAGGAAGTTTTTAATAAGCGAAGAACAAAGAAACTATAACAACTGTGAATCAATTGAAAATAAAAAAACAAATTTGTTCATTGTATAAATTATTTGCGATGATTTCACTATATAGATTCAAATATCACGAAGATGACAACAGGAGTTGATGATAAAAGCACTAATATTGAAAGTATTGAAGAGATAGAGCAATAAAGTTTACAAAACAACGAGTTGGGAATGAAGATGAATGAAGGAACCTAACTTCTCACGAGAATGAGAAATAAATACTCTGAAATATTCAACAAACTCGCACGCACGCACACACACAAACACTCACGCACACACTTACATATTTTAAATCCTCAATTATTTAATGATTTGTATTAACAAATTCATTGAATATGGAAAAAATTGGCATTTGGGCAAAGAAAATTTTTTATTTATTATTACAATTTAATGCAATAGATTGGCAAAAACATTTTGTGAGTTGGTTGTTCTAACAATCATTAAAAAAGTGCTGTAGTTGTGACCGTTCAATGAAATCAGTTAAAGATAAAACTAGATAAAAAAAAAGAAGATAAAAAATGGACCGACGGCATGCGAGAGCTGCATCAACATGAATGCAACAAAAAAAACTGCAGAGCGTTTGAGCGCAAGAAAAATTCTTGGAAATAAAGATTAAATGCGTTTCAAGCAAATTGTTAAGCAGTGCATTTGACAGCTGCGCATTAAGCGTCTAACGACGATGTTAGTTTTGATTAAAAGCAAAAAGAGTAAAATTAAAATAAAACTTTTTTTAGTGCACACGCATATTGAGACATTTTTAACAGAAAAGGTCATTGCAGTTTTAAACGACATCATCAAAATTGGTGGATGCATGGATGCATTAAAAGCAACTTTTACAAAACATTTCATTTTATTCACATTTTATTACCGTTTTTTAAAACATGGTGATGGCATCAATTTTAAAATTAAATCAAAAAATCAATTTAAACAATTATGAACAAGTTTGATAAAGACCTGTTTATCGATTGCAGAAGTAGCCAAGTCCATGGTTCTGCCGAGCTGTAATTTGAAAACACGCCAAAAACTCCGAAGATGTTGTAAACGTGAACGAATGAGAAGCACAACGTAGACAGACCAACAAACATGGCAGCTTTCGAAATTTTCAACAACGCAGGAGCGAGTCGTAACTGCGACAAACTCACGTGAGAAAATGACGATGACGATGATAGCTTTTGGAGCTGTTTTGCTGCCTCTACTTCATCCTCTCCTAGCGGCGCAGAAAAATTGTTGTCCGAGGACAAGTTCTCGTCCCTTTCAGAATCAGCTTTTTGGTAAATAATATTTTCGTTGCAAAAATAAATCAAATTAACTAGATCACAGCATGTTAAACGTCTAATTGCACTTTCTTCTCTCAGTTGATTTGTACGATTTGTTTGGGTGAAATCCTTTTGATCGTCATCCGCTAAATAGCCATGGTCATTTAAAAATAACTTTTCTATGTTGTCATCGCATAAACTGTCAGAGAGAGTTTCTTTTAAAGTCATATTTGAATTTTGTGTTTTTGAAGAAAGGTTGAATGACGATGTAGATGCTAAACAAATTGGCAATTTAGAAATGTTGCTTGATTCAATTTCGTTGCGTGATTCATGAATGCCGTTTAAGTCCGTCACAAATTTTTCAAAGTTTCCGGTACTGGCGCTATGACCTATTTTTTCTGAAAATTTTTGAGTTTTGATAGACTTTAACGGTATCCAAACGTTATTTGAAACATATAATTTTTTCTTAGTTTTAAGATTATACTGAATGGAATCGACACTCTCATCATCATGTAGCAACTTGTCAGTCTCCTGGTAATTAAAAGATGCTGAAAGCGTTTTTATTGAATTTTTTAATTGATTTTCTTGAAATTGTGGACATGTTTCTGCATAATATAAGCTTTCAGAATACGATTCTTCATCGTCATTGTTTTCCGAGTTGTGATAAAAAACTCGATTTTCTTGTTTACATTTAAGTTTTTTATGAATTTTTTTCGGATGATGATTCTTTGTCTTTGTTATTCGAGAAACACTACATTCTGAGCTATTAGATCCATTAGTAGAAGTTTGTGTTTGTTTCTTTTTAAATTTAATGTTATGTAAAGTCTTAAAAGCTTTCTCAGAAAATTGTTTCAAAAGTGAACAGTCATGAAAAATGTTGAACGCTATAATAAGGCACCAGGTAAAAAAAATTATTTGCGTTATTGCGTGATAAAAGCGGTGCTGGTTGTCAGAGTTTGAACTATCCAGCCAGCTTAAAATAAACGTTGTTAAATAAAACAGTAATAAAATGAAAATTTTACAGAATAAAAATTTACTGAAGAGATTGCGAGAGTTCTGAGGTCTGCCCGCTGAATTGCAACTGATGGATAGCAGCTTGACGTACTTTTGTACGAAGACGTTAATAGACAGCACCAGTGGCAAATTAATATTTTTTATTAAACGAGAAACTAACAGGGGTATAACGTTTTGGGAATGGTAAGGATCGATTAGCATGTACGCAACATTCAGAAGACAAAATGCTGAGACGAGCATTGCAATGAAACTTCTAAAATAACGCTGTCTCTGTCTCGAATTTAATAATCGAGCCGAAACAACGACAGGCACAAGAAAATTTATGAGAAAAGAAATTGAAAAAAAGTAAACATGAAGATCCCACACGCAACCCCACACTTTGAATGCATGCATCCAATTTGGGCTTGGTTCTATCGGATCGTTTGAAGGTGTGGTGATAGTAGTCGCATTCCATGTGATTGATGGCAGCAGGTCATCTCTCAGAGGTGATAAAAATGTTGACCGATTTATTATTGTCGATTCGTTAGCTCTCATGATCCTGTGAAAAATGTATCAAACATTTAAACACATTAAACAGTTAAATGTATCATATTAAAAAAAAATCTTCAACTTATAATAATAGTGTCATTTAATACAGCGCTCAACGCATAGCCTCTGGAGCGCTCAGGATGAGTTGCCATTTACATCACAGTCAAATTCCTTTTCAAACAAATGATTCTTGATTCTTTAAGTGCTTTTTGAATAGTTTTAAAGACAGGCTAAAACAGATTGTTCCACAATGAAGGAAAACATAAAGAAAATCCTCTTTTAGCAAGTGCGGATTTGCTAATGGGTTGATGTATATTATTAGAGACATCAGATCGAAATTTGCGTCCAACATTTTGACAAATGCACCAGCGATTGTAAAGATGTGGCGGTTGCTGATTATGTATCAGGCGGTCTACGTTGAAACCATGACTTTGAAGATGATTCGTTGACGTATTGGCAGCTAGTGCAATTTAATTAAACAAGATAAACTTGATGCTAAATAAGATACGTCCAGAACGTATATAGCAAGTCCATTTTGTGTTCTTTGGAGAGAGGAGATAAGGCTTCGAGTTGAAGTTGATGATAGGTCAATAGATGAGTTGCGTCGGATATGACGAATCGACCTTGGAATCATGTTGCATGGTATAACCAGGGTAGAGATGTGATGGTTGAAAGGAAGTTGCGATCGAAAGAGACCCCTACAATTTTGATAGAGTCTGAAATTGGAAGAGCAGAACCGCCAATACTGACAACCGTGAGTATTGGGCATTTTCGAATTTGTTACGATTTCTCTGGGTTCAGTTGAAGATAGTTGTGGAGATGCCAGTCCTTACTCACTTTTGTGCAAGCACTCAAGTTGTCAAGCTGAAAAGTGATGTTTGATTTGGAAATGACTTATCGTTAAAAAACGCCGGAAATAACATGAAGAGAACAATTTCTTGATGAATAACACTGCTGGCGTATTTTTTATGTGAAACGAAATTATTTTGAACATTCGAACTAACGTCGGAATGAATGCACGCATTTGTACAGTGGGTGTGCACGCAAACTGTGCAGTGTATGACGTACATGTGTGCAAACAAGGTGAATGTATAAAGCGTCTCGCCGACGTTTTTATGTGCGACAAAGGATGAATGAAACAAATTCAAACAAACAAACAAGCAGACAGACCAACAAACAGACGGACAAACAGACAGACAAACAAACAAGCAGATCATCGTCATCATAACTTGTCTTCCCAGCATCGATTTAACGCTGAAGAAAATATTTGCATAATCTCCATTTAAATCATTCTCATATTTCAGTTAGCCGTCCTTCATTGACCGATGCCGATGCACACAGCACACAGTAGGAAGTAATTCTTTGCTCCGTGCTGTAACAGATAGGAATTATTATTTTTTCCAAGCTAATTTTTTTGCCTTCTTTTATTGTTGTCTAATTTTGAAGATGTGCTTAATGGCTTGGAAAGTGTATGGCGATTATAAATGTTTCTGTACAATTTCTCCAAATTCGTTGCTACATCCTTAGCTAGAAACAATGATGTGCGATTAATCGTTTGAATACGGAATATTGAAGTTTAATGAAATTTAACTAACTTAATGAAATTTTAAACCCTATTTCGTTTTTTATGACAGGCATCTATTTTTGTTTATTTTTTTAATTTTTGCGAATAATAAAACCGAGACGATATTTCAATTGCTAGTCGTTTTGTTTGTTAGTTTGCTCGTGAATAATAAAACTGAGACGATATTTCAATTGCTGATCGTTTTGAAAGACTCAGCACAAATAAATGGGGAAGTGTAACTCGAAATGTTTGTGAGCAGTTGAACTAATTAACTGTACAACTGTTTGAAATATTATAATTATAATTACAATATTTTCAAAATAAAGTAATAAGCAGTTTATGTAATGAATACAAGTCTTATTTCACATTTTAAAATGTTTTTAAACATTAAAAGTCAAACTATATACTGCATATATTTATTTTAAAAGAATGCAAAAATAATGATGAAAATTTGTTGACATCCTGTCAAAAATAGCGGTCAAACATTTGACGAATTTCATTTTCTCCCAATTTTTTCTAAATTTTCAAACTAGTAGACTCTAAATTGTTGCTATGTTAAAGAATGGTAAAAATAAAAAACAAAACAAATTCTCTGTACTTTATATCTCAGAACTTGTCACAACTGGCTCATCTGTTCACGCTCAGAAAGTATCTTACAAATATGCTTGCCAATTTTGATGGAAACTATCTTACAAATATGCATGCCAAGTTTGATGGAGAGTATCTTACAAATATGCATGCCAAGTTTGATGGAGAGTATCTTACAAATATGCCTGCCAGGTTGGATTAAGATTGATAGCGTTGTTGCGGCGATTATGAACCTACGCGAACGATTAGTAGAGAAAGCGGCTCCGAAATACGAGTGGCATTTATTTTATTAGTTATTTTATAAAGGCTCATAACTTTTGATCACGTATATAATTAACTACGATATTCGCTGCCGAAATAAAATGATTTGTCCCACACGCTAGCAAATGTTGTTAGAAAAATCGAAGCTGCAGATTAATTATTGTTCTTGAACATTCTTCATTAACATCAAAATTTTGACTATTGTATTTTTATTTGAACATAAAAGCAGAATTGTTTTTTTTTTAATTTTTAACAAAAATTTGTGAGCGAAAAAATCTTTCGTGCACACTGAACTATCTACCCATAATTTGTTTATTTAATGTTTAATGACATCCACTCAAGTTAACTATTTCAACCAAATCAATATGAAAAATATATACTATTGATAAAAAATGAGTTTGAAAATAAATAGAAAAATAAAATTACAGAGAAAGAAAGGATTTTACATTTCACAGGAATTTTTCAATTTGCGATCAAACATTTGACTAATTTCTTTTTATTTTTTATTTTTTTCACCACATCCAAAAAATATTTTTCTAGAGAAATTATTTTTCCCACGTCATCACATTTCCTCATTATTTATTCATTTTCATTTTTACTGCACCATTAGAAAAGAAAAGATACAGTTAAAATCTTGTTTGTATCTGATTTTTAGAATTGCTCGTTTCGTTGTTTACCGTAGAAATCTCTGATGAACATGCATCGCAATTTGTTCCAATGTATTTCATTCTGTCGCACTGACTGCTTTATGGGGCGTTTTAAATGTTCTTTTATTTTTTCATTTCCTATTATTTAACTTTTTTAATTAATAAAATTTGAAATATTTCAATAAAAATTAAAACGTAAACTAATATGAACATTTAATTACAATTAAAACCCACAAAAATATTTGACATTTAAATGGAACTAATGGAAAGAAAGAGAAAAAAATTCCCGCTATCCAACCTGGAGTTAGCAGTTAGCGTTGCGCTGATATACGACTAGGACCAACAGCGAAGAAATTTCTTTTCGTGTGAAGAAACGTTAAAGCATTTTTCATGTTGTTTGTTTTTAGATGTTTTTCGATTGTTTTTCACCGATAGGTTGATTGAAATTCGTAGCAACAGTAGCTTTATCGAAACTCTAGAGTATTATTTTAACATCAAAACTTCGAATTGGTAAACATAAAAGATTAAACAGTTTTTAATAAAAGTTTTGTTTTATTCTAAATGAAGATGTTGGAGGATGTTAGGCAGCATGAACGTGGGACAGACAATCTACGCAATGTACATGCAGTTGTGCTGTGGAAGCAAGGAAGGGAAAGCGTGGAAGATGTTTACATGCAACTCACGGACTTGTGTTCGTTAGATTGATCGATGATGACGAAGAAGAAGACGATGTTTGTGTTGAAGATAGTGAGGATGACGTTGAAGACTATATTACAGTTTTGACTTCATTCATGATATAATAATGATGATAATAATTACGACACATGGCAATGTTGATTACGATGAAATTATTTACGCGATTATTATTAAAACCATTATATGTTGGAAAATTAAAGAAATGAATAAAATATGCAAAATTTTCGGTCTAAATGATCGTAAATAGTCTATTAGCGAGAAGAGCGACTTCAAAGAAGGAAACGTGAAAAGATGACTTGACGTTGATGGAAAGGCAAATTGCTCTCCTAACAAAGTTTGCACACATCAACACGTTTCTCTACTGTTTGGATAACTTTTAAAGGGATGAACATGTTTGCCTCCCCGTTCACGTTGCAAGGAGCGACTGATGCTAAATGATATACTGGAGGATATACTAGATGATATACTGGATGATATACTGGATGATATCCTGAATGATATATTGAATAAGCAAACGTTCTTTTTCTACCATAAATTTTCATATTAAATATTTGAAGTTTTCATTTCACTTGAAAGGTTTATCATTCAACATTTTTAATCTTCATTTGTTTATTTCCCGCGTTCATAGTATTATTAATATTTTATAACTAAACTGACTCAATAATGAAATTAATAAAATATTTATAAACATTTGAACGTGTTAGAAATACTTCCGATTTGTATAAAAAAAAATTTGCGGAAACCAAAAACAACAATCTACGCAGTCACGTGGTTGAAACTGAATCAGTGGATGAATTCAAAAACAACATTTTTCATCAAGAATAGTGAAAAATCTATTTTTTTACATTCCATGCATTACATTCATATATATTCTTATTCATATATATATTCATATATATATATTCTTATATATGCACCTCTCATGTGTATAAATATTTATATATTCTTTCTTCTTTCTTTCTCGTGCCTTAGCCTTTCAGGACATTGGTGACCATGGACCCCCACAAAATCCGATCTTTAACACTTTGTAGTAGTAAAAATGTGGTGATATTCAACAAATGACACAAGGACTTCACAAATGTCTTTCCAGTAGTTGTTAGATTTTTCATTCTTTCCTTCTGCATGAAGTGAACAAAAAACTTTAACTGCCCCCGTCGGATTCTCTGTAGTAATGTTTTCTTTTCATAACCGGACCGTTTTAATACATCTCATTTGAAGTATAAGAGGTTCAACTAATTTTCATTATTCTTCTCAAAAAGCACATTTCAGCAGCGTTGATCTTTTTTTCCATTCCTTTAGAAATTTGTCCAGAACTTTCATCGCTGCTCTTTGTTCCCAATAGAGATTTTTAATAACTCTCGTGTCCTTTCCATCAATGTCCAAATTTTCTAATATTTCCATAAGCTCCAAAACATAGTTTAATAAACTTCTAACACTGGACGTGTTCGAAAAAATATCTAACTGCAGAAAGATCGCAGAAAATAACATTTTTAAAAATTAAAACAACCAAGAGAGTCACCATGCAAGGTTATATTCATTGACTCTGGATGCGTCGTACATTAAGCAATCGTCCAAGAAACATGATGATCAGTTGTTTCAGTTCCAGCATCCAGCACATCCTGCAGTTTGTTGTTAGGCTATACGCTATATAAACAAAAATGATGTCCTCGAGTTTGTATATATATGTATGTGCATGCTTGGCATATTTGAGCATACGTTAATGAACGTGCAGGCGAGCATGTAAGAATAGGAAGGAATCTTTATTCGCAAACTTCATCCGCACTCTCATAGTGTTTGTCAAGATTGAGTGAATGTCGATTATGGCTTGCGTTAAAAAATAACAACAGTTGATTCTCTCGTTCTTCACACACAAATTGAGTTTTAAATAACGTTATCAACATATTTCAAAGTAAAATAAAGAAAACTTCTCAGTGTCTCCCTGCTGATGTGAATAGTTGGCAATTCTCGACCGGCCGCTTCATGCAATTTGTTTCATTTCATCTGATGAATTCTCATATTTGCATGTCGTTTCGATTTACTCCTTTTTAAAAAATAGTTTTTTTGCATACATACATAAAAAAAATAAAAATTTTCGATTTACGTTCAACGTTTGCACTATTGTGTACAATGAAGCCATCCAGGTTTCTATTGTGGTTAGGGAAGATTTAAACATCCATTATTCAGCGTTGAAGAAAAACATATCTGACCAACCTGTGAAAAGGTTATTTTTTGACATTTATGACAGGCTCCGAGTGATAATCTATATTCTTACACAGGCTTGCAAAACTATTTCCATGGAAATATTTATACAGATTGTTAAGGACTTCTTTTTTAAATGTACATGATTTAACTTTACATGCTCACTCACGGATGCATACAACCTCAAGTATGTTTGCATGAAGATTGAAGTCCCTTGCTTCATGTTGTAACATAGAGCATGTTAGTAACAATGCCTATCTCTGTAGTCATCTGTGGTTTGAGAAGACTTGTAGTCGCAAAATCAGTTTATTTGCATCGTATCATAAACTCTGTAGAGTTGTTGGTATTTAAAATCAAATATGATTGAAACACTTCACTTCTCCTGTAAAAAATCTCGAGTGAATTACATGGATGTAAGTGGTTTCTAATGTCAGACCGGAGCACATGAATTATCTAATCTCTAATAGAAAACTGTATTGAACTAACATAAAACAAATTGTCGTTGATAATTCAATATTCAAGATGAATAAACAAAGGAATAAAAAAATATAAATGTACAGTTGAAATTTGCCGCCCGGGGCACTTCCCCCCCCCCCCTCTAGTTCCGGGCATGCAATAAATATAAACAAATTATATATATATATATATATATATATATATATATATATATATATATATATATACACATAATATATACACATAATGATTTCCATCGTGAAATCGTGAATAGTTAAGATGTACTTGCAATATATCAATCAATCACTGACTGACTGAGGCCTTCCTCAATTCAATCAATCCAATTTCCATCTTCAATCTTCATCCTCCAAATATAATGCAGAGGCTTTTTTGCATTTCAGTATTTTTGCGCATATTTTATTCCTTTGTATAGAACCATTTTTCAATTTAATTTGCGAAGTATCAGTTTTTAATAGATTTATTTTCTTATAAACGTGTTCAAACTTATGAAAACTATATCTTATTATAACACTCAACTCAATATGACTAAAATAGTTTGCGAAATGGTATAGTGACGCGACTAAGCTAGGCTGCGACATGCTGAGCAATGCAATGTTATGCTACTTATAACTGACAGTATCCTAAATCAAACATTTTTAATTGAAATATGGAAGTTGATCGCTGGAAAATAAAACATTCGTTCAGATCACTTTTTTAAACCTTATGATTTATTTTACATCAATAAGCAAACAAATACAAACTCAAGAAAAATAGAATTAAATTAAAACATTAACACTTGAAACAATTTACGCAGTCATGTGATTGAAACTGAATCGGTAAATGAATTCAAAATTAGATACGCCAGCTGATTGGTTGATCAGTCCTTTGATGTTTATACTCAAGTATATCCATTAATGATTTTTAAAAAATTATTTAATTTAAAAAAAAATCGTCAGCGTTTTGAAGTGATTGCACCGATGACAAGCATTAATACAGATTTTATATAAATCTTGAAAAATGTGTCCTTTCAGTAGTTACATCATTATATTAATTCAACACTTTTGGGCAAAATTTACTAACAGATTTTTTATAAAGATCATCCTATTCATTTCCTATCATGTTTTATTTTGTTATCTGTGTTTTAACCAAACAGGCTACTTATAATTGTAGCAGATCCTGCGTATGTCAGTTTGTTTTTCTAGAGAATAATAATCACACAAACGAATTTATCAAAAACTTGTTTAGCTTGAATTTCCACAAAATACACCTCTATCACCATATGATTCAAACAAATATTCATGCATATAACATTCCACACTTCCATACTCTAACGAACATAGAAACCAACGGTTTAATTAGTTCTTTGGTTTTTAATACAGGTGAAATTTAAACAACAAAGAGAAAGATTATTCAAATGGTGAATGTATTGCGTGCCACCACTTTATTGTGTTATGTAGTGGGTGTACTGATTAATTAGGTATAGACAAGAAATGTCTTTCAATTGTTTTCGGAAATTTTATGATTTCTTTATTAAATTAAAAAAGATTAGGACATAGAAGGGAATAAAAATAAAGTGGTGCATTCATTGCTGACTTGTATATTAATTACTAGACATAACAAATAACATTAATAACTTTTATATTTATAAGAAGGCAATAACAACAATTAAAAACTAAATTACAAAACCAGGTATAATCTATTTATTAAATTCTAATCATTTAGATTCTAATGTAAATGATTTTATAAATTTTTTGTTATATATTTTATATCACTTGTGAAAAGCTAGCAAGCGTTTGTTAACTAATGTTCAGTTTTTTAAGCTATTTAAAAAGTATTGTTAATTAAATTTTCTATGAAATGGAAGATAATTTTAAGTGTGAAATAGTATTTAGTATAAATTTTGGGTTGGTTAGTGTCAGAATTATGGTTAGAGGGTCCGGGTTAGGTAACGTTAGTTAACAAACGTTTGTTGACTTCAGACGAGTTATATATTGGGGAAATGCTACACTAGGATAAAATTTGCAGTAAAAGAAATCTCCATTGGCTATTGTTGAGGCAATAGATCATGGGAAGAACATTAGCTCAGAGAAGGAGTTGTATGTCATGTGTGAGATACCTTATCATTATTGTAAACTGTCTCTACATGGTTTGTTGGCTGGTTGTTTCATTTATGTTATTTATTTATGTGTAAATAGGTTTATTAATCCATATCTGGATATTGTGTGTGTATGATATGTAAAGCATTATATTTTTTTTTAGGCATTGAACTCAGACATCTTATCTTTACCCTACTACTCTAATAGTCAATTACAATTAGTCTGAAAAATTTATAGTATCAATTAATGATTAAATTAATAAAAGTCAAAGATTGTTAAAGTCAAAGTTGTGCATTTGTTGTGATTGGAGAGTATTATGTTGAATCAAAATTTTTCAAAAGAATGGTTTATTTTTATTATATGTTTAGCTTATGGTTAAATAATTATTTAAAATAAGTTTGATGATGATAATAATAACAATAATACAGATAGTTTCCATGGCAATAATTGGTGTTTTCTTGTGGATGGCTTTGGACCAGGTTGACCCAGTGAAAGGAGTTACTGGCTCTGATTTGGTTCTAATATCTGTGTCCCTCTTAGTTAGTGGAGGCATTCTCCTTCTCCTATCTACCTGTTTCGGCATTGCTGCTGCATCTGCTGAAAATTTTGCCATGATGATTGTAGTTAGTACAGTACTTTTCTAATCGTCAGAGTTTGTTCATTTGTATATTTTGTTTTCACATACTTAGATGTTTTCTTTAATGTTGTATAATTTAATTTGTTATATTAAAGTGATTGTTTAAGTCATTTAAAATTTAATTAAATTAATTTAGGGTTTGAAATATTTTAGTGATCAAATAATGCTAGGTTAATTAAATGTTTCGTTTTCCAGTACATAATAGCAATTCTTCTCGTCCTTCTGGCTTTTGTGGCAGCATCCATATGTATTGCAGTCTTCAAAGCCACAGTTAGTGTAATGTTGAGCTATGTTTATAAATTATTTATTTGGATGTGAATGTATTTGTAAAAAATATAATAAATATTTGATGAGATAGTATAAAATCATTTTGAGATTTGAAAATTTTTGTGGGAAACATTTATAATAAATTTTAATGATAATGTTTTATTCGTTTTTTGTTTAGCTAAACGAAAATGTAAGAATGGACATGGAAAACATCTTGAGATACCAATATGGTGACACTTCTGATAATCACAACATACAAATTACAAAAAGCTGGGACAAAGCTCAAAGCACAGTATGAATTAACTTACAATAATTCTCAATTTTTTTTCTATCATTTCCAAGAAAATATAGGAAAAAATGTTTACAAAATGTTTTACTGCTATGGTTCTTAAGCTTGTGGTATTTAGAAAAAAATTTTTATTTCAAGTTATTCACTTTTTTCAACAAACGAAATTTTTTCAATTGCTTCATGATAGATTGCTTCATGATTGTTGTTGTTGTTGTTGTTTGTTCATGATAGGACTATTTAATATTATATTATCCGTAAAAAAATAAAGTTTTGACATTTTTGTTTATAAACTTCATTGTAATCAGAATATTAAAATAATTTAAGATTAAAATTATTTGTTAAGTTTTCATAACTGAAATTTATTTTGTCTAACAATTGTACGTTGAACATTTTTCTTTACGTAGTGGCATTGCTGTGCAGCTGGAGACAAAACCTGGGCCCTCTACCAAGAAAGTAAATGGTTTGCCATGAATATTGACCCCAGAGGTAGCTTACCATGTTTGCTAATTTCTATTACGTTGCATCTTTTACGAAACCTTTCAAATAAATCACACAGGCAAGCCATTTGTACCGCTATCTTGCTGTGAACAAACTCCAGATGGTCAAATTAAAAACGTAAATACATGCCAGTTAACTAAGCCACCTGCCATTGGAGATCAGTACCCTGGATCACCAGCTCCAGTTTACTACAGAGTATATATTCTCTAATTTGATTTGAGCTTTTTTCTATATATTATACAAATGATATTGTAATTGAATATTTTTTAAATATTTGGCATTATGGCTGATTGATTGGTTGGTTGGTTGGTTAGTTGATTTATTGATTGATTGATTTATTGATTTATTGATTAATACGAAATATTACAAACAGGGCTGCTATGAAACATTGAAAGATTTCTTGCTGCCAGATCAAGTATCATGGTTCACAGGAATTTTCTGGGTTGGAATATGTGGAGGCGTTCTTATGGTAAGTTCTACATTTTTAAAAATTTCGACCTGGGACGATATTTTTTTATTTCATTTATTCGTCAAAACAGTTTTAAAACGTTTTCCTCCATGATGTAATTTGTGTAAAAAAATTTAATTAGTTAAAAACTTAAATGGAACGTCTGATTATATAATAAAATAATGTTGTCACTAATTTTTTGATTGTAATGAGGTTTAAAAGTTCAAAAGAATCAACTGCACACAAACAGCAACCAATGAATACGTGTAAGTGAACTTTGGAAGAGTGTAACAGACCTTAACAACCTTTTTTCTAAACGACGCATGCATCACTGACAAAGAATTTGATAGGCGAAGTTCCTCTTGTCATATTCGAACCCTGTCACTGCTTAACAGTACCAAACGACCTTAAGTACTAGGCCATCACGCCTCCCAAATGATGAAAAGTTATAAAAATAAATCTATAAATTTACAGCTGCACAGTGTTTTTTACATCACATATTCAATATTTTAAAATTTTATAATCAGAAATCTTGTGTTTTTCAGCTCTTTGTCATCATACTGGGAATAACGTTTAGCGTTCAAATCAGGCAGGAATCATCATCGTCATCAATTAATGCAAATGAATTAGAATTTCTCTCAAAATCTACCCCAAAATTTGTCATGAACAGCAGCAGCAACAGCAATAGTTTATCTCTGCAGCAAACAGCGCCACATCAATACATGTACTCCATGGCTTAAATATAGTTTCATTAATCTTTTTCAATTTTAACTTTTGTATGAATGTTTTCTGTGTATGCTAAAGCTATAATTTTAACATTAAAATAAATATAACACTAATTAGTAATGGCTGCTAACACTTTCCAGATTTTAAAGTTGACAAAGACCAAATACCAATGAAAAAAGTGGATTCATTAGAATCATTTTATAATGAGAAAAGATATTAGGGAATATAACATATAAATCAATCATGTAATTTTTTAGCCATATACTGATCGAATTGTATTAAATTTTACGACAAATCATGGATAAATATTAGATAAACAAGTGACAAATATATATACAGTAAGCTTCTGAAATTCATATAGTCTGTACATTTAGTTGTTCTCTGTGTTTTTTTCTATTTTTCAATTAACAGTCAGTTATTTCCTACGAATGTATTTAACAATTTTCTTTAATATAATTTTGCATGTTTTTAAATAGCGATGAAATTACTACTCTGTAATTAGTTCGAAATTAAATTATTTAAACCTTTCTGCCATTTCTGCTCGTCTCCATTAACATTATTAGGTTTTTATTACTGGACGAGGCATTGTTCTAGACGCTGCTTTTTTAGGCGGGAGTTGATCATTGGTTAACGGAATAGTAATATAAAATAATCACACTAAATGCGTTAAATGTGCTGTTAAATGCCTGGTGCAAAATGCTTGCAAAATGTGAAACTTCTCAAACAATTGGTTGATTAATATATATATATATATATATGTGTGTGTGTGTATATATATATATATATACAATTATTTATAAAGATCACTGCGTTTTCGGCATTATTCAACCTGTAGTTGAGTTTCTCAATTTTTCTAACGAGACTTTTATCGTCATGATGAAGTTTATTAAGGTTAAATAAAAAACTTTTAATATTTGACTTTTTTGACAAAACATTATTAATAACGTTTTTACCACAGAAAAGCTCTTTTCGGCATCAACTGCCATCATCAGTGTAGTTATTAGTATTGTTCCGTCTTTGTCTCTAACTTTATCTTTATAAAGTGATCTTTATAAATAATTGTATTTATGACAGTCTAAACCCAATATATATAAATATATATCAACTAGCTGAATATATATATATATATATATTTATAATAATATATGTTTGCCCTCAAAAGTCACCTTATAAATCAATTTTAGATATTTTACAGTGTTTGGGTCCAAAGTTTTTAATTGCACGCACCTGGTATAATTGGTTGTGTAAAGAATGCTTTAGCTTTTGTAATTTTTTTGGACATTCAAAATTTTCGTTTTGATTCAAGGCAGAGGGGTTAAGCCTTAATTAATGGTTAAAGACCTATTAAAATCTTCCTAGGTTAAGAGTGTTCAACAACAATCACAAACAACGTTTATGAATAAATGCTAAACGACGCATCACGTACGAAGCATGTGATAGATGAAAATTTTTTTGTCATATTTGAATCCAACCCTTTCACTGCAAGCTCTGCAAAACAGCACCAGGCCACGTTAATCACTAGGCCATCACGTCGTAAATAATATGCCGTGCTTATGATATAATATATTATGATAAATAAAGCGCAATGAACATTTGCGCGGTTGCATTCGAGGACCTGTATTGGTATTTTTAACCTTTAACAGCCTAACGTTCCATTTTTGGAACATGTTTTTATATCTAAATATAATTTTCTTTCTTATGAAATATGCAGTAATTTATGGACTGTTTTTAAGATCAATGAATAAATTTTCCTATTCAATTAATCTTTTGTGTTTGCAAACATTTTATCGCTCACTTATCTGTTTCAAAAGTTTAGTGATTTCAGTGAAATTGAGTAGTGTGATCAGTATAGAGACTAGTTTATGTAGAAGTTAGAAGATTTACTGGACTATTATTTACACATGAGTAATAATGCTTTATGTTGGCATGTTCCATTATTGGAACATGCCAACATAAAGCATGTCAGTATAGAGTCTAGTTTATGTAGAAGTTAGAAGATTTACTGGACTATTATTTACACATGAGTAATAATGCTTTATGTTGGCATGTTCCATTATTGGAACGTTAGGCTTATTAGGTTAATGTAACTAATTTTTTATATGACTAATTTTGTAATGCAGTCTATTATTTATTGCGGTCGGTCAGATCGTCCAAAGGAAGTTGGTCTTGGGGAACATGTTGTTCTAAGTTTCATGTCTCATCTGAAGAACAAAGATTCACGTCATGTTTTTTTGACAACTTTTTACATCGCCTCACCTTCTACTAAAATTGCGAGAATTGGGAGTCAAAGCAACAGGAACCATGCGTGAAGGACGACACGGCGATGCACCGCTATCTGCCAAAAATAACTTTCCGAAAAACGACAGAGGCAAGTTTGAATTTACTGGTGATGGCAGTGTCGTAGTGGTACGCTGGAGTGATAATAGTGTTGTCACTTGTGCAAGCAATTATGACAGTGTTGAGCCAGTCAAGAAAGTGCAGCGACATGTGAAAGGTTCACGTGAAAAAGCCAGTTTCTCAACCGCTTATGATTGCCAATTACACAGCTGGTATGGGAGGTGAAGATATGCTTGATCGGCTCTTGTCTGCCTACCGACCACGAATAAAAGGGAAAAAGTGGTGGTGGAACCTATTTCTAAATGCAGTCAATATTGCGGTTGTTGCTTCATGGCTTATGCATTGTAAGCTGTGCGCTGCTGGAGATAGTTTGTCACATCTGCAATTTCTGCGAAAAGTAGTTCACGGTCTGTTACGTGGTGTTCAGATCAGAGACAACGCCTCGGAGGTCACACAGCCTCAATTCCAGACTATGTGCGTTTTGACGGTTCAAATCATTACTTGGAGACTGTGAAACAAGGTCGTTGCACCTACTGCAAAAGCAACACAACAAGGCAGTATGGAAAGTGCAACAAACGTTTACATGAACGCTGTTTTGTTGCCTACCATCAGAAGTGATGCGAACTGTATGCTTGGTGGATACATGAACTTTGTGATTTTACTTATGCACTTTAGTCATTGGTGTTGTGTACATTAGATAAATAATGAAATATAACTATTTTCAGCTGATTATTTATTAGTTATATCACAAACAATCAAAAACTCGTAAGGTATTTTCAAATAATTTGAAACCATATAATACAAATGTATATAGCATTTTATGACCAGAATAGCCTAACGTTCCATTCTTGGAACACATATATATCTCATCACCTTTAAAAGATAATTTCATAAAATTTTGTAAATTCATTCACAATAACATTCTGAATAAGTGTTCCAAATTTCATTAAGTTACTTAGTCGGGAAGGTATAGCGGGCTTGTAAAGGTTAAGCTTAAACTTACTAACAATCGTTGCTGAGTAGACTATCGCGCGTTAGTGTCACAAGCTTAATGGACGTAATAAATAGACTTCGTGAAATATTTATTTAAAAAATCGTGTACCATAAATAAAATAAGTTTTCCTAATTTATGTTTGCTTAGATTTTTGTTAAAAAATTAAAATTTTTTATGAATGTTTTAATTTTACGGTTTGTCTTTGACTGATAACAAATTAATTAACATTTTAACAATTTTCAATTCCAACTTCAAACTTGTTATGTAATTTAATTTATTTTAATAAAATTAGCTTAACTTAATGTTTAATAATAATAATTTTTTAGAATTGTTTCCTATATTCAAAAATTAAAAAATGGCAAGTTTCCCAAACCATGAACATAGGCCATTGAAGCGACCACGACTAGGAACAATTGGTCCTGAAGTTTATCCTCAAGATAAAAAGCAAAAAGAAGTTTGCTTTACTTACACCTTTTTAAAATTTTAATAATTAAAATTAAATGAATTAATAAATTCAGAATAAATGTTAATTTCAATTATAATAAAATGAACTAATAAAAATTTAGATAAAATTAAAAAACTGGCTGTCTACATTCTACAATGTTAACTTAATATAGTTTTTTTTCAATTTAAGCTAAATTATTAAAAAATTAAGCCACTTGACTTGATTTAGGTCTTTTGAATATGTATGATATAATAGCTAGAGTTGATTGTTGTTAATCAACATTAGAGTAAAAGATTAGGTTTGGGTGATAAGTGTAATGACAGTACATGAAAGTTTTGGGCCTCTGGAACTGTTTTTTTCATAATTTGTTATTTTCTGTGTAAAATAAATTGAGTTTTATTGGATGAGAGTGGCTGAGCTATAACAATTTTCAATATTTTCAAACTTAGTTTAATCTACTGCTAAATAGTTATAATAAGAAAATAGCTGATTTATGTAATGAATACAACTAACATTCAAATATGATGATAATATGGATGATGAAGATGCGTATCTTGTATGATGATGGTGATAATATATTATTCCTAAAAATATAACATTGACCTACTGAATTGTTTGCCCTTAAACTTGTTAATTGAGACCATTGACTACCTCGTAGTCTGACTCCAGATCTGATGATAATAGTAAATAACTTATCATGATGATAAATATGATGAATAAATTATTCTGATATGTTTGTTTTGTCAGGATGAATTGAATCAAAATAGTGTCAAACATGGGTTCAGCAATCAGTCATTATGTAAAGATGAAGTGAGAGATTTTGACATTTTTTATACTTTTATAATTTTTAGTTTTGTGATCAATTTGCCTAATTCTATTATTGAGTTTTAACAAATTCTGTAACTTTGGTGTATAATTGTAATTTCAGTTTGGCTCCATTCGGGAAATAGCCACTGGTGCAACAGCTTCAGCTCTGCCATCCAAGGTTTGTAACATTTATGTTGTAACCACTTAGGTCATTTAGTATTTCATAAAAATTTTATTGAAAAAATTTTGTGAAGTTTTCATTATTAGGTGGATTGTTTAAATTTATTCTGTTTTATTAAACTTAGATTCAATGTAGGAATTATTTATTTGCAGGTGTCTTCTGCATTCAATACATTGTTTGCCAAGAAGCAAGAACTCAACACATTCCCTGATCAAGCCAAGAAGAAACCTCTGCTGAACATCAAAGACAACTTCTACCATGTTTGTCATATTCTTTGTCAAATAATAATAACATTGAATAATATAGTTTGACATTGGGATGATTCCTGTAATATTTTTTGTCGTTTTTTTGTGCTTTACAGACTGGCTCTGGTAAAGGAAAACAGTTTGAACCTTGGTTAAAAGAAGAGCTTGCTAGCAATAAACCATTGTACCACATTTCCAAAAGAGTATGTTAATTTACCTCAACATTGTAACATCGGTTATTTTTTTTCAAGTGTGAATTTAAATCATCTTAAATTTATTTTGCATGCACTTTATCTAGATACCTCTCCATCTTAAGAAAGAAGACATCTTCCCAAAGTTGTGTGATGAAAATATCCCATTGTTTAGAGGAGTTTGGTACATTAAGATGACAAATGCTTACAACACTGTACAGTTTGAGACGGGGAAGACCAAGAAGAGGCAGACATTTGACCCGTTTTCAGGTTTTGTTGAGGAAAGTTGTTCAAGTAAATGTTGTACAGTAATGTATTTACATTTTTGACGATTGTTCTTGCAGAAACTACAATCAATAAATGGCCTCTATTTGTTGCATCCATTTAATCATTATTGTAATTATTCATTCGCATGACATTACGTGTTTGTAATAACAATTGATGAAACGTGGAAGGACATCAAAATATTTTGACATTTTTTGGCTTTAAAAATGTTATTTGCTGTTATTTTTGTTGTTATTATCGTTTAATAGCACGGGCATAGCCTCTTGCCATCACAAAACAAAGTTCAAAAAACGAAACAAACTAACATAAATAGCAAGTAACAACGACGAGTTTCAATGTCTGGTTGAAAATTAAAGAATTACAATTAAACAAAACACATTTGCCATTTAATTCAAAGTTAATTTATCCACAGAAGAATGATTATTAATTAATTAAAATATTAAAAAAATTTTTACATATGTAAGTGTTTAAATTTGCAACAAGTATGATAAATTAAATGTTAGCTTGCCGTTTATTCTTTATATCATCAAAATATTATCAATTTTTGATTTAAAAGCAATTGTTATTATTATTTTTTTTGTTATTTTTTTTTGTTTTCAAGTGTAAGAGAACTTTAACTAATATGAATACATAAGAAAGTTATAGTTGAAAAAATGTGCCATCGCATAAAACAAGCTACAACCTAACAGTAAGTACCCTGATGAAGTGTAACACACCTCACTATAAGTAAAAGTAACTATACATTCCTATTCTTGACAGAATGGACGCAAGCTTTGATAAAATATTTGAGAGACAACTTGCTGCAGAAAATGGAAAACTACTACAACTCATCTTCTTCCTCTTCTTCGTCATCTTCATCCTCGCTTCTCACCGGTACCAGCTTCTTAACGGCAGGCGGTGCGTCACGATACTCCATGAACCAGGGATCAGATTTGTCTCTGGACGGACTGACGAGGTACTGGAATTACTGCATGAGACTGGCCCAGTACATGTACTACGAAGGTTTGCTGGACAGGCACGAGTTTCTCTTATTTCTAGTTGAACAGTTGGAATCATTTGGGGGGGGTACCAGTGGAGGCAGCTATTCAAAAACCGGTAATGAAGACATGCTTCTCAAATTAATCGTTGCCCAAGTCTTAAAGGTTATATTGTTGATTATTTTTTTATTTATAATTTATATCTATTATATAATTTTGTCATTGCGTCACAAAATTGGTTTTTGGCTTTTTTCTATACTTTTACTTCAAGCATAGTATTTTATTATTTCAATGAAGCTAGCAATTGAAGTTTTGCGTCAGTGGTTTCAGTTATTTATTTCTTACTGATTTAGCTTATTAAAATGTTTTTTTATTAATTTATAATTAGCTAGTTAATTAATAAACATATGTCCTGGTTATGACATTAAACTGACTCTCACTGCCTTGTGAGTGATGTTGGATCATCAAAGGCTAGGTTCACCGCTTATAACTGGTTGCGTAAGGAAGGGCGTCCTGCGTAAAAATTAGCCAAATAAATTACTTATGATGGAATGGCGTCGAGGGGTATTTCGGTTTCATCATAGGTAGCCAAACGGCAACCCCCGATCTCGGGGAAAATGTCGTCTAAACGTGTGTTGTTGTTGTTGTTTAGTTAATTAATAAACATAAAAATAGTTTATATTTAACTTGTATTCTGATTCGTTTATTTATTTATTTTTTCCAATGGAGCAGTATACACAAGAATTTGTTCAGACACAATTGCTGTCACGTAAATTGGGTCATTTTTGTTGCAAGAAGATATCAACGATGTGTTCTGAGACCCGCAACACCCCAACATCTCCTCTTCCTCTTGTTGAGTAAGTTGCAGCTTACACAGCTTGTTGTTACATTTAGACAAAAATAAGGAATTGGCTACTTTGTTGGGATAGTTTGAAGTGAGAATATGCTGCAATTGCCATGTGTACATAAATTGTGCATTGAATCATTGTTGAAAGAATTTCAATATTATTTATAATTTTTTTTTGTTTAGTTGCACGAGTTCAAGCAGCCAGCAAACTCAGATACCCAGCAGTACTTCAACATCCTCCAGCAACCTCACCTCGTTTGCCGACTGTTGTAACTGTCCACAACATCGGGGCTTGGTGATGAACCTGTCTGCCATCATTCACGCCATCATGCTCTCGTGTCCCGGGGCATTGGTGTGGCACAATTTGGGTGAGGGCAAAATGTCCCACAGTCTCAGTGGCTCTCCTCTCGACTTTCTCCCATGCCCTCCCTCCACTCTTCCCATGCCCGCTGCTAAGGAAAATATTAATGTATTACTTCATATTTCTTTCACAAGTTTACATACTTTAATCATTCATCTAATTTATGTTAATGATATATTTTTTATTGGTTATTTTTTATTATTTATTTATTTTTATTTATTATTTATTTTATTTTTAATGTTATCCAAAAAAACAAACTGATTTTAGTTGTATTTATATACACACGTTTTATTTGTTTATCTTCGACAGATAAGATTGATTCTGAGAAGCATAGAAGATGAAATTGTGCACAGGAGTGAGATGTCCAGTTCTAAGTGGTCAGTTGATAAACAGAAACTCTCCAATGCCGGTTGGCTTCTTTTTAGAATTCTTCGTAATCAATTAATTTTATCTAACTTGTTCCAGCTTTATTGAGAGCTTTAATAAGATCCTATTGATTAGTACCTGTTATCCAATTGAAATTAATTCATACCATTTGGGTTCATTATTTCACGAAATAAATTCATTTTATTCTATTTTGCTCATTACCAGTTTAAAATAACATTTAGTTTCACAGTAGTTTGATATATAATCGTTGTGGATTATCATTTCATCTGATATATGGTGCAAATGTTAATCACTGTTTCAAATTTCTCCACCGAGTTTTGTTTTGTGAGAATTTTTATAAACCTCCATAAAACCCTAACCTCCATAAAAATATTTAATCATACTGTTTATGTCTTTTAAAATATAGGCATAGCTGTTAACCAGGTGTTAGCATGTTTAGAAATCTTGGACAAGCACAATTTTGATAGGGTGGAATCTGCTAGCAGCTTTGATACTCTCTACAACAAAATATTTTCTGCAGCATCGAGTAAAGATGGAAATAATGTGAGAAATGGTTTACTTTTTTAAATGAATAAACACTTTTGTTTTATGGTATAGTTTCGCTTACAAATTTTCAATTTTTAATTGTTTTATTTGGAGAAGTGTCTTTAATTTATTTTTTCGAATTTTCATCCATTCATTCTTTTATATTCCTACTCTTCACATATTCAAACTACTCCAAAATGTGGATATGTTACAAAATAAGTTTCATGAAGAATGACAGTAGCAGATCTGTGGTTGCTCCATTGTGTTATCCACTCTGCACTGTCCATTTTAATAATTTGACTTTGTAGAGTTCTGCAGCACTCATGAGCTGTTACTTGTTGACTGGCATGTTTAATGATCTGCTTATTAAGAGCTGATGATCGACAAATTTAAACAAACAAACAAACGAACGAATGAATAAATAAATAGATGAACAATAAAAATGCAATTAAAATAAATAAACCATTTTTATTGTGCGTTACATGTACGTACGCTCTGTTACATCGCAGTCTGGTCCTTCTATCAACAAGCTCGTCATAAACTTCCTGTGTGAGTGGGCAGTGACGACGAAACGGACAGGCCTGCATAGGATCACTGTTGTCGCCAAGTTGCTTGAGAAGTATCAAAATAATTTATCCAATGAAGTAATCGCTTTTTTAGTTGTTTATTTCAATTTTCATTGTTAGCATTATTATATGGAATTTAATATTATTTTCTATTTACTAAGCATATATTGGCAACATTCTTCGCCTTTGCTTTCTCAAACAAATAAATTTGTAAAGTTGTTACTCATATCTAATAGCTAATGCAATTGTAACAGAATTAACTAAATCAACTTTCAAAGTGGTTTTAAATAAAATGTCCCAGATCTCAAATTTAGAAAGTTGTAATTATTTGTTTTTTTGGAACACTGAGCCATAGCTAATTACATCAATATGCAATTTTCAGAAAAGTTCAGAGAATGAAACGTCGGATGATAAGGACACAGACACGCTGCCACCATCATCCTCATCATCACATCCTCCTTTCCAGAATATTCTTTTTGACTTCCTTGATAACAAAGCTCCATATTTAAGTCAGTTACATGCTAATTTACACAGTTCTTTATAACGTGATAAAATATTTGTATTTTTTACGACTAAATTTAATCATTTAAAAGTTAACAGTGTAATCTAAAAAATAACCCATGAATTAACGATTTTTTTAGTTTAAAATTTTGTAGATAATTTAAATGTACATGAATTTATTCATATGCATATATTAATAATAAACATTTAATTTTCCCTTTGTTTAATCTTGAAATCCTATTTTAATATGTTAATGTATCAATACATGCATATCAGCTGAGGCGTCTTCAAATGAAATGAAAGGCTCCTTTGCAAATCTAGTCATGTTGTTCAGTGAGCTCATTCGGCAAGAATTATTTTCACACGATACGTACGTCTGCTGCCTGATAGCTCGAGGTGAACTCTCAAATGCCACATCCATCTTGCAGTCCATCCAATATTTGCACGTTCCTGATGATGGTAACAGCAGCAGCAGTAGTAGCAGTAATGTTGCTGGCAACAACAGTTCTGGAGGTGTTGGAAGTGTTGCCCTCAAGGGAGAAAGCTCTGTCAAAGTTGAGGTTAAATTTTGGCTAATATTTTAATTTTGTAAATATTAAGCTAATTTGATTATGTCAGTTAAGTTTATGTATTGACCATAGCTAATCAAGCATTCATTTTGATATATTAAATTGTGCATGTTCATGATTTTGTGTGTGCACTATAGTTACACTCTGTACGGTTTGTCAATTTTTCATTTCTACTCAATGATTTGTCCTAAAACAGAAAGTTGATTCGATAAAGATGGAAGTTGATCAAGAGCTGCTGAACTTCAACGTGAAGGAAGAGGTCAAGAGCAGTCCAGATCAGCAGCCAAGTTTGTTCTCTTTCTTCAATCTTTACAGCTATTATGGCTCTTTAAAGTCATTATATTTTATTAGTGATATTCAGTGCTTCATTCTTGACAGTACTGGTTGCCTTGTTAAGTTATTAATGGATTAAAAATGTCAAAATCTGCCATGAGTTTTATTTATTTGATCTTTTATTTTTTGCATGTCATAGCATGGTTGAGACGTTTATTTGTTGCGTGAATGATTGGAATTAAACTTGATGGTGGAACATCACGTAGGTTCAGTGAGATCACTGGCGGACCAACAGCAGCAGCAACATCACAACCTTCAGCAACCTCTCAGCAACATTCCTCATGGCATGGCTCGAACTCCTGGCGGTCCGATGACTCCGATCAACGTTCGCACTCCTGCACCTCCCACTCCTGGCGGATGTGGCATTCCCACGCCCAATGCATTGACACCCAGCCAATCAGGTTGTGCACTTTTTCGATGTTTCTCATCTTGATAATAGTAATGATATTGTTGATTTCGCGTCGTTCTTATTTTGCACAGCAAAGAATTATGTTTTTTTCTGTTCAGAACTTCATAGATTTACATTGTTTCACTTTATCAGGAAACCAAACTCCTTACCATTCCATGGTTCACACCCCTGGAAGCATGGCCCACACGCCAGGGGGAAGTGTCGTCGGAAGCGGAGGGGGTCACACGCCAGTAGGATCTCAACAGACGCCGCAGCATGCAGGTGGCAGTGGAGGGATGATGAGTATGATGAGTGGTGGAGGAGTGGTGATGGGGCACCAACAACAGATGATGGTGGATACAAGAGGAGGCATGGGTAACATGGGTTCCATGATGGCCTACAACAATCAGATGCTCTCTCCACAACATCATACTCAACAACTTCACCATCTACAACAACAGCAGCAGCAACAATATCTCCAACAGCAACAACAAATGCACCAGCAAATGCAACAACACCACCAAATGCAGCAGCAGATGCAACCGATGATTGCTCAACAACAACTCCATCATAATCAACTGCATCACTCCCAACAACAAATGATGCAACAGCAGCAACAACAGCATATACATCACCATCAACAGTCTTATTGCCCTGCACCGTCACCCATAAATGTTTTACATCATCATCAATATCCTCAGACCAACAAACCACAGATGATGACAATGCAACAACAACAAGCAAATTTGTTGGCCCAGCAACAACAAATCCAACAGCAACATACCCCACAACATCACCAATCACAACAACAATCAAATGTGCTTCAGCATTCAAATTCTCAACAAAACTTCCAACAGCAGCAATCGCAACAGCAACAGCAGTCTGTTTCCGCAAACACTGTTACAGCAGCAAAACCATTTGGAAGGGAGATTCGACACATATTGTACGTCTTACACTTTCCAGTTACCAGCAGTGAGCCATGCAGCCACGAAAACAACCAGCGCGCTGTCGTTCTCTGTGGCTTCGGCCGGGCGAGGGAAGAAATGAAGCACACCATCAAACGAATCACGAAGGACATCTCTAAACTTTTTGGTAAGAAAAATTGCCTCGATGTCGTCACTGGAGAAGTAAACAACAAAGTCAAAAAGAAGAAAGAAAAGGTAGTCCTTTTTTCAATTATATGTTACCTGCACTTTTTTGAAATGTTTGTAATGGCGTGCGTGATAACTCGGTTAAACTAGCAACAAAACAATACTTCATTGCTATTCAAAATACTTTTTTCAAGAGTGGTTGTTTTTTTAGGCGAATATGAAGTGAAACGTTACTCTGTTGATATAACGACGAATACTGCTGTAGTCTATATTTTTTAATGATGCACCAACCAGCAGGATGTAACGACAGACCCGGCCATCTGTTTGGACAATTTGTTCAACAAATTCCAGAGACTTTCCTACCACAGTCAACATCTGGTCACGAATTGTATTGTGAAGTCATTAACAGACGCCATGCAGTCTTTTGCTACTGGGAACACTCAGCTTCTGCCGTCTGTTGAGAATATTTCCTTTTTGTTTGATTTGATAGAAAGCTGTGACAACATCTTCCTCCTATTGAATCTTGTCAATAAGGTAACTTTTTAAAATTTCTGTTCAGTTTTTAATGTTATCGATATGAACTGTACACATATTTAAACATTTGTTTCATTTTTCCATTTTTCCATAGCTTCTTACTGATATTCCGGAGATTGAAGTTCAGCTGGTATCGAAGGGATCTGTTCTTGCCGGATCATACAGCACCAACCTGTGCATGTGCATCGTGGGTGTTCTGAGGGTGCATCATGCAACCCTGCTTCTCTTCCATGATCACACTGCAACTGTCTTCGATTGGTTAGCACCCATTTCATTCGTCTTTTGTCACTACATACTTTCAGAAAACTTCTGAGTCATTACAATTCTCATTGGTTTTTTAGTTGGGGCTAAAATATGCTGTCACTTATTTTACTCTTGCTTAATAATTATGTATAACATTCTTTTATTATGACAGTTTGTGTCGAGTCGTAAAGCACGTTGACAAGCCATCAGAATGCACATCGGCTGAAAGATGCATACTTGCCTACCTGTACGATCTCTACACTTCTTGCTGCATTGTAAAGGTCTGTCTTTATGTTTTCCAGTTCACTTGAAGTTTTGCACAAAGCCTTTCTTTTCCATAATTCATACGTGTAAATAAAATTCAAATTACACTGAGTTCTGATTTATTAAAATCATTATTGTAAATTTTTATTAAAGAATAATTTTTTATTCTTTGCTGTCAAGATATTGAGAATTGCAATAAATTATTTACCTAATATTAATTTTAACTCTATTGTTTGTTATTTTTTATTGTTGAAATGTTTGTTGCCTGAAACGTTTCCAGACCAAGTTCTCAGACATGTTTGCCGGTCCATGTGCCAAAGTGAAGATTACCTTGTTTTCTGACATTGTGCCGTCCACTTCAAATCTCGTCTGGGAGGACAAGCCCTACTCCAAAGAGCTTGCAGAAAATCCCAAGTTTGATTTGTTTGTTTGTTTAAGAAATAAATTAATCACTAACGCACATATTTTAAAATATTGTTTTTGGTTTTGTGTTACGTTCAATGATTCAAATAGGCAGCAATTAATTTTTTTATTCATATTTACTCAAAATTACTTGAAACTTCGATTTACTTTTATATCTATATATTTTTATATTTATGATATTTCATAACAAAATTATAAATATGTGTTTCTTATTTCTCAATTCAAAATTCTTTGGAGAATTCAATAATTTTAACATATTCAAAAATTTAATATACTTTCATTTACATTCATTTATATCCGCCAGGTTAAAAGTTGACAGTACATTTATAAAGTTGTTAAGTGATGAACCAAACGATAGGTATGGGTTTGTCTGCAACATGATGGCAACTATTTTCAACAGTCAAAATGTTGATAGGTACTTCGCGTTTTTTCACTGGATTTAATAAATATTCAAGTTCAATTGAGTTGATTACTTAGGTCGAATCAATGAATTCATAATTTTGTTACTCAACTTTTCAGAGTTAATGATTTGTCAATCTTGTGTGCTGAACTAACAGCTCAATGCAACGTGCTAAGTTCTGATTGGCTAGGCGTACTGAAGGCATTGTGCTGGTCATCCAATCACAACTGTGGCTTCCTTGATATTCTCACTCAATGTGATGTAGGTTACATTTCAAATGTTATACTCTTTAAATGTTTTATTAACTCACATTATTTTTAAATTATATTTGGCATTTAAAATCGAATTGGATAACCAGGTTTCCGATATTAGTGTACATGATTCGTTGGCAGTTTTTGTGGCCATCCTGATTGCCCATCACTGTTTCTCTCTTGAGGAGCTGATTGGACAGGTGGCATTACAGTCTCTATTGGCTGCCTGCCCTACAGGTTTGTGTTTCATGGCTGAATCAACGTGACGCAATAGATGATTCATTTATATGTCTTATTCCCAATTAATTGATAAATGTTTGTAGATGAGAATTTTTTGTTTATATATATATATATATATGTATATATATATTTCATCTCATTACGTAAAAGTTTATGCATAGAATGGTGTAGTGTAAGTTAAATGCATAAGTTTGCTTTTGCCTGTAGTTGGATCGGGAGGTGATCCGGAATGTGAGCCAGGAGCTCGACTGACGTGTCATCTGCTCATGCGCATCTTCCAAATGATGAGCGGGACGCATGGGAGCAGTGGTGCAAGCAGGTGTGGCACGCCCAACATGTACATCAAGTTGTCCAGGGATAGAAGGCTGATTGAAGCATCTACGAGGAGAATCACTGTTGGAGCTGTTGTGGCTGTCTTGAAGGCCATCCTCATGCTAGGTTTTATTTCCATTATAATTTAACCTCCTTATGATCATTTACCAACTGGCTAGTAATATTTTTAGCCATGTTTTAATTTCTACGCAGCACTTTTTTGGAATTTGTAAATCAAAAAAGATGCTAATTATTGATCATTTGCAGGAAATTATCCTGTTGAATCGAGTAGCATCACGAAGCCATCATCGGTCCTCAAGAAATCAACCAGTTTCCTTGAAAGCATTCTTGAAGGCAGTCCTGAGATGCCCAAGAACCTTCCTAAGTCTGCTGATGATTTTTCGTTTGATATATCAACATGAATTTTATTTAAGACCAAATGATTTCTGAGGTATAATTTAAATTTGTTGGTATATAATAATACTAGTTATTCATGATTACATAGATCAAAAGAGAATGCAGGCATGAGTGGATTTGCAAAGCACTGCCTGAAGGAAATGTGCAGCCAGGCCTGGGTCAGAGAGAAGTTCCTCCGGGAACCTGAGCTTCTTCTTACTTCTGATCTTCTGCTTGATAGGATGCTTTCACAGAAGCAGGTTAATTATTTTTTGCTTTTTAATTTGTCCTTGAAGTGCGGATTTTTTTTTAGCTTCATCAATATTAATTAAAATTAAAATCTTTGTAAGTCACATTTTGGGATTATAGGTCAGATAACATAACACATGTTCATTTTTTATATTGAAACCAGTTTTGGAAACGTTAACCTCATTTCAGGCTTGCCAACTTGTTCAAATGATTTGTTGTTCTGAGAATCTGAATGCCTCTCAAGGCAGCGGTAGTAACAACAGTTTGAACAGTTCGTTGGTCAGTGTGAAAAATGAAGACCACGATGACGACAACGACGATGAAGATGAAGAAGCGAACTTGATGAGTAAAAACATCAGTCGAATATTGAGAAACATGGATGAGTGGATGATGAGGGTCTCGCTGCTGGAACTTCAACTCATGGTCAAGCAGGCCTCTCCATCTGTAAGTATCTGTAAGGCTGTTGCAGTCGTCGACATGTATCAACGCGTCATCATTTCATATGACGGCTGGCTGTTGCGGTCGTTGTTAATTGACTTTTAGGACGGTTACGAACCTTACGTATTTCATATCAGTGTAAGAGTGGCGCTTGCGCTTGTTGTCAGCAGTAAGTGATGGTTACAGAATGATAATATCGAGGAGTATATCAAAATATTCATTTTTTTGAGTATTTAATTTAGCTGGAGCAATGTTGTATATATAAACATTATTTTATGTTTTTTTACGTTTTATGTATGAATTTTGAAATAATTTTTAATCAGGAGCTGCCGACATTGTTGGAGAGCATTGCCAAGGGAACGATTGACGTCTTCCAGCAACAATCCAAAGTCGTCAAGCAACAAAGGTTGTGATTATTTTCTTCAATCATCATCAGCTTTTGTCATTTTAATCTAAGAAAAAAAATCTGAAAATATTTATTCATTATAGTTCATTTTTGCATCTTTCCTTATAGTTTATTTTTGCATCGCGTTTCATTTATTTCGCAGAAGGCATTTGACTATTTTGTTTATTTTATCCATCTTTTAACGTTGTATCGAAAAATTGACTAACAATTTTCATATGGATTTGTTGAAAGAGAAAAATTTCTTTTCCATTTAAATGCGATGTGAACAGTTTGTGCCAGCTGTCACCTGCGGGGACTTCATCTCAAGATGATTCTGCAGTCTTGAGTGCATCAAAGGGCAGTAAGCAAGCGGATAGCGTGTGGTTCATAACACCTCTCATCACGAAGCTCTCTGGTGCAATACAAGGCAAAATATTGAAGACTGCGGGCAGTGTTCTGGAAACTGGAAACAATTTCTGGACTGCCAAAAATTCCAAAGATAAAGAAAAATATTTAAAAAAAAGGTGAGATATTCATTTTAAAAAAATTATTTCTATTCGTTTTTGACTTGAATGTTGTTGCGTTGCTGTAAAAATAAGTGAATTTTTTGAGGATTCACATTCAAATTTTCTCACAAATCCAGTTATTTTTTTCTTATTTCGCGTGATTATCACAAACTATTTTGTTAACATCTTGCTATATTTTTTAACATCAATTCATGCAGTTCATCGCTGTTAGGCAATCAACCTTTTTTGGGGTTGGTGCTTTCCTGCTTGAAAGGTCAAGACGAACAGAGGGAGTTCTTACTCAAGTCTCTTCATGATCAGTTTGAAAAATTCATTGCAAGTGCCAAAGAGGTCAGACAATCATTTACTGATTCAAATTATAACTTATGAGTCAGATAGTTTTCAACATACTTGCTGATGAGCGTTTAGACGAACATCACCTTGCTCATTCGTGGTTGACAAAGCCAATCTATTTGTAGATAATCTAGAAAATCTTGGGCCATGCATTTCACTTCAAACGAACGAACAATTAATTGGTTGATTGGCCAGTTGAGTCATTAATGATGTAAAATATTAGTTTTAGATGGGAACTGTTAAAAAATGCTGATAATCTTTATATGCTTATGTTATCCATCTAAATTCTGGTTTCATATTAATTATAGTTATTTAATCAGTGTGTTGATTACATTATTATCCTTGTAAAGTTTTAAAAAATTATTGTTCTCTTCATTTAATTTATGCAATGTGTTGAAAAATATTTGAGCAGCAACAAGAAAGAGCTGTTCCAGCAGATGAGACGTTGCAGAACATGTTGCAGGAAGCCTTGCAACTAAGGCTCAGTCTGGTTTGTTTTTGCAAAATTTCTCTTTTTCCTTTGGTGCATTCTTTTTTTTTATTTTCTGATCATAAAACAAATTAGAAAACTTAGATTTAAAAAAAAATAAATTAGATTAAAAATCATTTTATCACATCTCATTGATACTCTCATTTATTATTGATTTGTTTTTTTTTAATGTATGGTTATTTTAATTTTTAATGTTGCATAAGTTATAAAAATTTTTAAAAAAGGTATGATTGCATCAAGTTTACAAGTTTTAAAAATTATTATTTATTATACACCTTTCGTTAGGTTTAATTAATTTCAAAGCAATTTTTCCCTTTAATTTTTCCAATATTTTATCCAGTTAAAATATCCACTTTATATTTTAGCTTGGCAGTTTTATATAATTGTTTAGTGTTGATTGATGTGTCGTCGTCTGATGTGCATCGTCCTGTCAACCAACCAATCGCAGGTCGGTAACATGTTTGATACAATCCAGCGAAACAACAATCTCATCCAGGATTGGTCTCTCCTGCTGGTTCAACTCATCTGCTGCAGTGTCGTCGATATGCAGAATAACAGGTCGCGAATTTTATTTGGTCTCTTTTTATGAAATTTTATTTTCATTGTTGTGCAATTTTTATTTATTTTTCATCATTTGTATGGTTGTGTGTATATTTGTATCATTATACATTCATCATTTTATGTATATCATTTTATATGAATCATTATATATAGATATATATCTCATTATATATGTATCATTGTATATGATGTATCTTTATATGCATGATGGTCTTAGTGTGCGTGTGTTTGATCTTATAATAGTAACGTGTTTGCTGTTGCCAAACAATCGTCCACACAGCGACCTGTTGTCTACCTTGTTGGACATGTTGGCTGTCCTCATACACGGCACGCAGGCATTTGAAGGACAGGACAAAGGTGATGAAAACAAGAAACTCTATCAAAACCTCATTAGAAAACTGAAGGCTAGTTCAAAACTTGAAATTTAAAATCTTTCTCGCCGTCAAACATTTAAAAATATTTGCTTAATCATTGCCTAAGATGCGTTACTTGAAAAAATTATACTGAAATTTATGGTAAAGATGGGCTATGAAGTTTTTTTTATCGTAATAATAATTAAATTATCGCTAAATTATTTGCTAACAATGTTGCAGAAAGAGTTAGGTGAAAAGAAATCGATGAGTATCGATCTCTTGAAGCAGCTACTTCCGTTGTCTAAAGTCTACAACGAAGTTATTGTCAGCGAATTTCAACAGGGCAGTGATCCAAAGAACAATAAAACAACTGAAGGAGAAAAATCTCAAGTAAGCTCACTAGTGACTGAATCTGTTTTGTCATTTTCTTCCAGTCATCCACTCAATGCTTCTCAAAATAAATTTATTATCCAAACATTCTGGTTTCTTGTTTCTTTTTTTTTGTTTTATGGGCTCAGGACAGTGCAATTATGTTAGTTGCTTCTGATGGGGTTGCTAGTTAAACAAAGACAATAATTAACATTTAAGGAAAATGTTACAAAATTTCCAAAAGTCGATTAATTTTTAGAAATGTGCTAAAATTTGAAGTTATAATTCAAAACCGCAAATATACATGACGTCATCGACCGAAAATACTTTTGAATGTTCAACGAAACTCTTTGAAATTAAGTGGTAAAATGAAATTTTAAAAGTCATTCAAATTTTTTGCATTTGACTTGGAAAATAAATATTGCAATAATTTGAATAAAGGAGATAGTACATTAATACATGACAATCTGCAGTGTCTACAGGTGACTCGAAAGGAACGAGTGAGTCCGTGGGATATCCTGGAAGGCCAACGCACGAGTACACTGCTGAGTCTTTCATGGTTCGGAGCTATCAAACGAGAGAAGAAGTTGCTCAAGTACGAGGAACAACACAGGTCTGCTGCTGCTTCTAGCTGATGTCGTTTCAAATTTTTTGTTCATGAAAGTTTTGCCTAATTGTTTTGCTATGCAAAACAGTAATTTAATCATATTAAATAATTATCAATTAAAAATGTTTTATATTAACTTTATTATGTCACTCGCCAACTGTCGCAACTGAAATGTGTTTGAAAGACTGCTGCTGCACCACACTCACACAATCAAGAAGCCCGACACCTACTTCCTCGAGCCTCCTGTTCTGCCACCTGACGAAGAAGTTCATCAGGAGAAACCTCTGGTCCGTCTTATACATTTCTTTCTTCGTTATTTTTTAATCATGATTCTTTTTTAAGTTTTTTTTTCTCTGCTATTTTATACAAGTTTTTAATTGAATTTTTCAATTTTGGAATAGTTGTTAAAATTAAAAAGTTTGAACACACTCTCACCTTTACAAACATCACTTCCTTAGTCTTCACCACAACAGCCAGAGATCAAACCAATGGAGCAGATGGTGGAAGTGAAACAGGAAGTGACGAAATCATCAAAGAAGAACAGTCGCAGCAGGGTAAACAAGAAGCAGCCAGTCAGCAGGCCACCTATCCCACAACAACCAAGCATGCCGCATTACGTCAATCAAGTTTGTTTTTACCGATATGTTTTTATTTTCAAGTGATGGTTTGACGTGCCAATGACCTCTGACCTCGATGACATGATAATATTGATTGGACGTGTTGTTGACACCAAGCAGGGAGCACCTCAGCCACCTTCCATGTCCTTCAACCGGCCGGAGATGTACACGCCATCCATGCCTGTTCAGAACTGGTACAACAACCAGCAGTACCCCAACCAAATGGTGCAAGGTGCTGTCTTGCTGTTTGTTCATTTAGATCACAGTAGTTGTTTTCAATTTGTTGTAATGATTTATTAAAATTTACTGTATCAATTCAGTTGTTTAGCAGAGGTTGAACCTATTTTTTTTTCACAACGAAGTTCAAAATTAATTGAAAATATACAGACGGACCATTCAAAATAAATCCGACAGATCTATTTACACCAAACCTCCTCACTTTGGTTCTTCCATTCTCCTTCTAATTCTGCTATGGTTTCCAGTTTTTTATCTCATTATTTTTTAATGCCAAAACTTTTAAAATCCTTCCAACAAAAACTCCAACCAATCTATACAACCTCATATCACTAAGGATCTTTTGGTGGATTCTCAGCAAATTTCCTAGACATTCTTAAAACCAAAAGCCACCTCACGGTGCATATGGCTATATGTAAATGTTTATAATGGTATTACTATTTATAGGAATTTTAGGTTTGCTTCAGGGCTTTCTGGTTGTATACAACATTTATCCCTAAATTTTTGATGGGAAAGCAATGATATTCAATTCAGGTGGGCCTCCAGCTGGTCGGTCGTATCCTCCCTCTGTAGCTCCAACACCACCCAATCTTCCAAATCCTCGTCAGATGTTGAACAATGTCCTGAAAACGCGACATCCAATGCAACAACAACAACAGCCTCAACCACAGCAACAGTTCATGAACACTTCTCAACAACAACAGCAGCAACAACAACAGCAACAACAGCAACAAATGGTCTGGAGCAGACAAAGAGCTCCTTTAGCTCGTGGAACGCGAATGTCTATGTATCCAACGCAACAACAATCTCAGACACAGCCTGTGCAGCAAGCGCAACAACAAGCTGCTGCTGCACAATTGTCAGGCCAACATTTTCCTGGACAGGGTTTGCAAATTAAACATTTTTTTAATTTTTGAATACGTGAGATCAGTTTGGCGAGTTCATCGCTTGTTACAACTGCAAACAGTTTCACTATCAAGTCGGTTTAAACATTTGTCACGTTCAATAATTAATTTAAATTAATTTTTCTAATTGGTCAACGCGAAGTATTTTTAATATTTTTTAATGGATTTAATCAAGGCTATCCAGGTTATCCCACTCAGAACTTGCCGTCGCAAATGGAGCAAGCAGCAGCAGTACCCATGAACACAGCATATCCTCCCCAACAACAACCACAACCTCAACAGCCTCAAGCGCCATCAAACATGGGCTACGTGGCTGCCAATCAACAAGTCCCCCCTCAAGGACAGTACCCAACAGCCGCTGCCAGGTCAATCAGTCTTCAAAATTTCTCCTTGCATCAAATTAAATTAAAAATCATTTCAGTCAAAGATAGAATTGTATATGATGATAAATAGATTAATTAATTGTATGAATGACTGAATTAAGCAGGTACGCGAACATGCCGTTGGCAGGAGGGTCAGGTCTGCCTGGCTACAATCAGATGATCAGACAAGCAAACAATCCTCAAGCCACCGGTTTCGTTGCTGCATCGGCGAGCATGCAGACACCACATCAGCAACAACAGGTACGTCTTAACTTTATACATTTCTTATTTCTTGAACAATCTATTATGTTCTAACTAATGATTTGTTGTGAACATAATTGATCCAGTGGTGGTGCAAGTACAAGTGCACTGAATTTAGGTTTCAAGTACGAACGCTAGTAGTTAGTAGGTCTCCAGTACAAGTACAAATACTTTGATTTAAAGTGCGAGTACAAGTAACAAAGATTTTATACAACGAAAGTAACAAAATTAAGTATTAACAAATATAAGTGGATCATGAGGGAATTCGCTTTCAGTCACCCACAAAACGTCGACGTCACGCAGGAAAATCTTACACCGTTTGACTTGAAGAGATTCTAAATTATCAATTTGATTTGAATTTCTAAAAATCTTAATTTTTTTTTGTATTGTGCTTTGACGACTCCAAATACCGTTACGTTACGTCAGGTTATAACCAGTACCTGGGACCCAAGGTCAAGTGCGAACACTTAAAATCATGCACTTAAAATTGACACTCCAGTACAAGCGCCACATCACTGTTTTGATCTTTCTCTTCACATATTTCAATTCAAATTAATTTTGTGTTAGTTTGTGGTAAAAATCACTTTAACCATATACACTATTATTATAACATTTCATAAGATTCTAATAAACATATTATTTCACTTTCAGAAATACTTAAGACAGCAAATGTTTCTTCAACAACAACAGCAGCAGCAACTAGCATCACAGCAACGACAACAAAATATGCCATTCAATAATTTCCAATGATTTGAATTATCAAGTTACAACTTTGCTATATCAGGAGATTTTGAAATTTATGTATTTATTTTACGCATGACTCATTTAATTTATTTATCACCTTGTTTACAATTTTAACAAATTAAACCATGTAATTAAAGACGACTTTGTATATCTTACTATGTTGTGTGATTTGATTTTTGTCGGCATGAAATCGCATGGACATCTCTTAGTCGTATTAAAAGTTTTATATAGGATTTTGTGTCAGCAATGTTACTCGGTCCACGTTAACGATGGTTATTCTCGTTGGTGAGACTGCGGACGTGTGATAAATAGATTGAAGACTCAGAGATTTTCAGAGATGAGTGTGTCGTATTCTGCTTTGGTGGTTGTTGGGGTGACTTTTGTGGTGGTCATACCGCACTAGCGTAATTTCTAGCGTTATTACTCCATCTATCAGTTTTACAATAATAATTCAATTTGACATGATGGTTTCATGCATGACTTGTTTCTCTGTACGGACCAGTTCTGACACTACTGGTGAAGGTTTTAATTTTTTCACTGTGAAGCTTTCCCCATCTCAGATCTTGTGCCAGCTGTGCTCTGAATAAAAGTTCAAGTCTGTTTCGTCTGTTTGTATTTATTTTTTATAAACAGAAACAAGTTGCATTTTTTGCTGAAAATGTTCACAACGTCAAGAGGTCTTGATTTCAAAGAAACTCGCCCGCTATGTACTGGCGGTTCGTGGTGAGTGATTTTTGAAATGAATGCAGATAGGATGCTGGGATGGGAGCCCTTTGACTTTTATCGTACGAAATTTTTGTTCTGTAATACGGTTTGGTTTATTCTGGGAACAGCTAGAGATTTGTCATTTTTAATCGTTAAGAATGCAATTTTGACTTTACACTGCATATTGAAGTCTTTATGGAATAAAAACTTTAAGCGAAAATTGTAAGCAAGTCGTCATACATACTTATATATCTTTGCTCATTAACGTAAATGTTGATTCACAGAGTTGTTTAGCAAATATTATGAATGCTTGTGACTCGAACCATTTTGTCCCGGCCAAATTACAATTTATTAATTAGGCATGCGATCTTGCACTCATACCTCACCAACGTAAAATGGTCAAAAACACAAAAGTAAACAGCAAAGTTAATTGATTATCGTCTGCGCGCCTTAGGGGGTCATCATTCTTACTTGCGTTTTTCTATTGGCTGGTGTTAAGTGTCGATGAGCCAATAACACTGCTGTTTTCAAAAAGTGGGAGGTGTTTAAAATTTGAATGGCATATTTCGCTCGAGTCTAGCGAGTCTGCTTCGGGCATCAAATAAAAAAAACGTTTAAAATTTAATCATTTTAATTGCTCTGCTGTTAAAACGCAAGTCGCAAAAGAGATATTAACAAAAATGGTTTCACGAAGAAAAGTTTTTAAAGCTTTGTAATTAAATTAAATTTTTGTTTTTTCGAGTTAAATTAATACTCGAAATTATAATAATAATAAATTTATTAAATTAATATTTTTTTGCTTGAATTTTTCATCAGCTATGCAAAATCAACCTATGCCTTTTGTAAGAGATGCAAGGAACAAGAGAGATTGCGAGGACCTCGGTAGTACGTCGAAACATTCAACTGATTCGCAGTCATCACTTTCAAATTCGCTGACGTTCGACGCTCAACAGAACAATCATGTAGCATCGTCAATGACTCAGTCAACATCGTGTCTCACAAATCTTTTCAATCTATATAATAACAGGAAAGATTTGTTAAAAACTTCAATTGCTAATAACGTTATTGGCATTCCAGATTATTCGACATGTTTGCATAGTTCATTTTTCAATTTCAACGACACGGCATCTCGGTACCACAGTAAAAGAATGTTCTCCTGTCCACATTGCCGCTACTTAACTGATAGGAAAAATAATTTGAAACGACACGTTATTACAATGCATCGAAAGTGCGATCGCCAGTTAGAATGCTGTGGATTATTTTTCAGCAACAAAGCGGCTTTGAGGGAACACGTCATGGTTTTCCACAATTCTGGATATTCTTGCAAACACTGTGACAGGAATTTCTGTCGAAAAGCTCTTTTAAAGAGACACCTGGCAGTTCATAGTGGTAAGAAAGATTTCGCTTGTCATCTTTGTGATTATGCCTCAAGCCATAAAAGTAATTTGGATAGGCACAAAAAAGTGCACGTGAGGCAAGAAAGCCCTGCGATTTGTGTTCTCAATGATGATGAATACTTGAAAAGTAACATCCCTCTGATAAACAGATTAGAGGAAAATAAAATACACGACAGAGGAGATACAAACAAGATGAAGGTTGATAAGAATGATGATGAACAGAACGTCACAAGCAGTAACTCGACATTTCACAACTGTCGTCTTGTTGACCGTGATATAACTTCAGCAGATAAAAACATTTTGGATTATTGCGTGGGTATGAAGTGCGATGGTAAGAGTTGCGAGTCTACGTCAAGGTTACCCTCTCCTGCCTCATCATCTCCATCATCGCATATTTCATCATCTTCATCATCAACTTCATCATCATCTCCAACGTTGATTAATGATGACAGGGGTCGTATGTACAGTTCGAGTTCAGATTTCAAGTTTTTGCACTCAAACACTACAGCGGAATCAAAAACAACAGCCCACAATCACAAGGAAGAAGAGACGACCGTTGATGAATGCTGCAGTCCCCGCAACCACGGTTGGTCTCTGATTCCTCTTCCAGCATCAACTTTTAATTACTTCAATCCTGAGGTCAATTTTCACAATCATTCCATTTCTGTTAACAAGTTTCCGTCATACAGCCATCATCCATGGCTGACATCTTACAGGTTTTACAATTTGAAAAATTTGCCAAATTATTTCAACAACGTAAAATCAAATAGTGAAAATTCTGAGCGTCATTTTTTACCAAGCGATGGTAAATCAGTTGAAACTTTCAGTCGGTTTGAAAATTTTCATTTAAAAAATATACAAAATGGTTACCCGTGTCCACCAAATCATTCAAACGTCATTGATTCTGATAAATTGGTTTTCAATCATTCAAAGACAGTTGAAAATTCTTTGGAAACAGAGCGGAATTATCAATGTTGCTCAACTAAACACTTGCCAAACATTCCACAAACGGTTGGAAGAACGTTGTCTCAGACCTGTAGAGGAGCCAGCAACCTTTCAAACAGTCCAGAATATTCAGCACAACATACAAACTACAAAACGTCAACCACACAAAACCCCAACAACCCATGTTCAGCCTTTACTGCAAATGATTTATATAAAAAGTCTTCAACAAATTCACACCCAGATAAAACTACGAAAAAAATATTTAGAGTCGTTGACGTTATATCGCCAAATTGGAAAGGTTCTGCGGCAAACAATGAACACAAACAGTAATTACCATTTTAAAAAAGTTGTTTGAAATTATTTTAGTTATGTATTTTCAATTTGGAATATTCCTTTATTAAAAACTATTACTTACTGAAAATAATTTGCCATAATAACTAAACTTGCCTCGCAACTATTCAATGCGTGGTCATATTTGCAGAGCCATGGAAGTCAAGTAAGTTGTTGCAAAATATAATCGATTCTTCATGTTAATGAATCAACTTCAACTACATTGTTCGTGAAATTAGTATATCTTTCGTTTCAATAAAAAAATTTAACAAAAAATTAACTATGGGTGTTTCTCTTATATGCTAACAAGAAAATATAAACTGAGCCTATATACAGAAAATATAGCATTCTACTTACTCTGTGGCCGGGTTTTGTTATGTGATAAGTTGCATAATTGTTAGGTCAAATAAATTTTGCTAAAAAAGTTGAATGGCAATGTTTTTGATATTGATTGATGTTATTTTAATAAAAAAAATTAAAAATTGTACTAGTCTTCAAAAAATGAAACCAGTCTTGACTAAAAAATACTTAATAAAAAATAGGTGCTTCAAGGTATTTATATAGGTTTTTAAAGGCTGGAAGGAGACCATAATTAATGCAATATTTAATAAAATCTACCGAATTTTTAGCTTTTGAAAGTTTACGATTGAGCTTTTCAATATTTCTAACAGTAATTTTACAATTATTATCCAATTTATTGACTCAGGTTTTTAATTAAACGTTCTCTTCGTTCTGCAAGTTGTTAGATTTCAGTATTTGCTATAATCCTTGTATTATTGTCTGATCTAGATGAAAGATGTAAACCCATTTTACGGTATCAACGCTATGTCATTCGTAATCAAATTCATCTGCCACTTGATGCATTCGTTGTTGCTTGAGGAACGTTTGACGTCAATCCGATGTTTCTTTCATGTAAGTAGGTGGAGAAATATGACAAGGCATGTCCACGTAGTCTAAAATTCCACTGCTTGTATCGGCTTCCTTTTAATATATTGTATAACTTCTTCATATCACAAATCAACAACATAAATATTTTTGTAGCTAATTATAGACGCAGGTCAATGCAAGAACCCATCTCTTGTAATCTAAATCTCTCTCTCTCTCCTCTCTTGTTATATTTGCAATCAGTCAAAGTATCTATATATCTCGTGTGAATGTTCTAAGTTGATTCGTCTCGTTTCAGATGAAAGCATCACAATGTGCAACATTGTTAACAATGAATAATAAATAATTTAAAAGATATAACTAACAAGCTGCTTGCAGTAAAATGTCAAAACCCACAATGGATGTGGATTGTGAGCATTTTGTTCTTTCAATGTTCAATCCGTAAAATAAACTTGAAGTTGGTTTTAATATAATTCATTGCCCATTGGTTTACATGGTACAAAATTTATTGCTCAACAATTCTCAATGCTAATTCCAATTAGTAGCCAAATGACACACAATAGTATTCAACTGGGCGCATGGCTATATATTTCACTGTCCTGCATAACAACGAAGATTACAAAATTTTAAAATGAAAATGAGTAGTTGGTTAACATTCTCACGCATGAAATATGGGGAGAACAGCACAAACAAGTTGCATACGTTTGCAACGAACCTGCAAATATGTGCGCTGTACGGTGTACAGAACATGCATGAAAAGATTCAATTAAGTGATCTCGATCATTCGTACGTTGGGAGCTCCAGCTACACCACAATCAACTTCAATCACTTTCCTACTGAACGGCGTCATCATGTTGTCATTGGTCTGCTGCTGTTACTGTCATTATTTTTGCTACCATTATGACAAGTTTTGTTAATTTTTCATTTTTACCAAGTTGCTGTCACTTTAGTGATACTATTAGACCATCAGTCACACAAACACAAACGTTATAATGACCAACATCACCTCACGCACATGTGCTAAGTTATTTGCTCTCACACACACACGCACACGCACACACACAAACAAACACGCACGCATACCCAGACATACAGACACACATTTGCCCACACAGAATATGTACAACATTGCGAACATCAACATCACTATAATTAAACCATCTGCATGCATTCCATTCTTTTTTTAAACTATGTTGCTCCATAGTGCCAAACATATATAATATATATGCACATTTTTCTATTTTTCAAGGAAACTGGCTGTGGTGTTGGTACAATCGCTTCAATATTGTAAATAAAAAGAGGAAACAGTAAATTAAATAATCGTCAAATTTTTACACTTACAAATTATAAATTCAAAGAAGCAAGCATAATTGCATGTTGCATGAGCAGACAGACCCATCTAATGCTTAGATATCGATATGTACGGAAAGACACTGAACAAACAATTGCAGCACTGCCTTTAAACAAAGAGAACCACAATAACGCAAGAGTCTTCTTGTAATTAACGTCCCCATCTTGACAACATCTTCACTGTAGTTTTCTGTAGGTTAGAAATTAAAAATTGTTCGTCCACTGTTTAATTGAATACTATTGCTGGAAAGCCGTTGAAAAGCCGTGTTAAACTGAAACATTTAGCCTGCGCACACTGCATACGTACAACATAACACATACATGATAGTAATATAGGTGCACGTAGAGATGGTTAATGTTTTATGCTATGAAATCAATTAATATTAAATGGAAAATGAAGAACGTTTTTACGATTCCAAACACACACCTGCACATACACACACACATGCACATAAACACGCATATATAAGTTTATTTTTATATACTTAAGTATGAAAATTGTATAGTAGATGGAGGAAGTAGATCTAATGTAATTAAATAACATATAAAGATGTATGTTTCAGTTCTCAGTACTGCTCTTGTTGCAATGAACGATTATTGAAACTGAAGCAGAGAGTCCGAAGAATAGAATCAGATTAATAAACTGATGGGTAGGTGCTGATTGCATGTCACTTTGTTGTTACATTAAAGCAACTAATTGTTCATTTGTTATGTCGTCCCATGAAAACAAACTTCAATTGATGAATGAAAAATTACTTCTACTTTTTTGTTTGTTTTCCTAATTGCATTCAAGTTAACAGCGAGCCCTCTTTGATTTATTGTCCTTCGCAGGCAGCAAACAACAAACATTGAACGGTAATTAAGTTTGAAATGCGTACGACGTGTTCATGGTAACACTATGGAGTTGTGAATGGTTAGGGCCAGATGCAGATGGTATAACCGAGTTGCACTGCTTGCACTGCACGCAAGTGATGTTGCTGAATGGCAAACAGTGTGGATACCATCAACAAGATGCGGTTGTTTATATACTTATAAAGGAAACGTCTTTCTTACAAGTAAAACTAATTTTTATTTTATCAAATCAATTACACTTTTTTCCCTTTTTTGACGTTTTTTAAACCCAACCACTCAATTTTTTATTAACTTGACCCATGAGAAGCTGAAACTAACTGACAGAGAGCAACAAAACGACAAGGAAACTAATACACAACTTATCCCAAATATCTTACAAGTATGCCAAGACACTAGCAGAGGGTCATGGTTGTATTAGGGAACACGTGAGGACAAGGAAAATAAATTATGAACGTGCTACCAAATTTTTTTTAGATATTTATTTTTTCTAAAATTAAAAAAATGTATCAATTAATAAGCTAATTTAGTTTTTAATATTATCCTCGATTTGATTATACCTCTGTTATTAACTGTTCATATTTCGTAACTGTGTTCACCTCCTTTTCCAAAAACGTGAGGTAGAAAAGTTCCCTATTAAAATTGAAGCAACGAAAAATCGAAAACAAAATAATGATTGGGATAATATAATGAAAGAGAGGTGAGAAGAAGACGAAGTGACAAACAAATGAACGAATTGATGATAGCCAGCCAGCCGACGCAGCACGTGCTTACAAGAGTACACAACATGTACATAAACTTCCTACAATCCATACAAACTATGCAAACGCATGCGAAGAGACAATAATTTTCGTTCTCAACTGAACCCATATACAACACAGACCTTATACAATACGCACAGCGTTTATTATTATACATACATACAACTTGGCAGTGTAGTGAACGTAATTATGATGCGCGCGCAATTTATTTTGGCAATTATGTCGTTCGTTCGGTTCTGTTCGTTGTGCTTGTCCGTGTTATTTATCGTTTAATAACTTTATCATGCCGAGTTTGCATTTATTGTTTATGAGTGACAACTTTCGTTTAAGAGCTGAGAAATGCAGACGGTGTCGTTCATTTTCGTGCTGTTCACTTCATTCAACTTTTTATGGTTATGCAGGTTTCTCACTTCACCAACCTACTTTGCCAACGATTCGATATCGTTAATGTGTTGCAATCTGTTCAGTATCACGTTTATTAGAATTGTATTTGCTTACTTTGTAGGATATAAAATTATATTCAACTTGTTTTATAATTATTTCTTACAAACATTTTGTAGAAACAGTTTGTTTTGTAACAGATATTTCAACAAATGAAGAAATTCTATAAATGAAGCAAATGAGTGCTTTCGAAAAATAGTCGCCTGTGAGTGATACAAACTTTTTGAAACAAAAATGAATAAATGAATGAATAAACGAATGAATGAATAAATACAAACCTAAAAGCAACACGCATGCAAACAAAGGCACAAACATTTGTATCACGTTGGTTTAGTTAGCCGGACAACTTAATTGCTTCGAATGTTAGCGTATTGATGTTAGCGTATCGATTTCACGGTCCATACCGAGATGTCACTTTGATTCCCGCGTCTTTCCTGCTTATTTGATATTTTTTAACTATTTTTCTTAAATGTTTGTTTTTTGTTAGGAAAGTGAAAATTTTCCACAAAATTATGGCCTCTACTCCATCATAAAAGTCGTGTTCCAGCTTTTTTTCAGAAGAAATTGAAAGTTAATTAGTGATTGGGGCGTGACACGGCATCCTATGTGGAAGGCGAGGAAGATGATTTATGTACGGCTTGGTCTGCTGGCATTGACAATTATCACACGAGTCACTTGAAAGCTGCTAGTTGCACTGACAAAAGTTATAGTTTCAAGTTAACGCCAGACAGATTCAATTAAATTATGCTGGTAATAACTCAGATTTGAAAATAAAATTCATAAAGTTTTCACTATTTGATTTAACGTAATTCAAAGTGAATGCTTACCTACTTATGCTTTATACATCAGTGCAAACTCACAGCGTTTTAAAAGACATGTTTCAAAATTTCATTAATAAGTTTATCCTAATGCTTGAACAAAAGTAATTAGATGAATGAAAAAAACCTTTCGCATAATTTCAGCGCGATAAAAACGTAAGTGGTTTTTTGAAAATTGAATGATCGCTTGGGGACATAATGCTCATTAGCTTATGAAGGCATACGTCACAGCAACAATGAATACATCTACCAACACGCACTCAACTCGCAAGCATGAACAAACATGACCACTGCTTCTTTTGCAACTTAATTAACTTAATTAGAGATGAAATTTTACGTACATAGGCCTACTCGTCTCTTTTCTGTTTTGTTCTTCTAACAAATCATCTACTTAATAAAATTTTTTAGTTCAATAGCTTATACACACAGACACACACCACGCACACATACAAACGTCACAGACACACGCACGCACGCACACACATGTATATATATATATATATATATATGCGTCTAGATGTATTAAAAAACACACAATACATTAACTATTTGTAATGTGTTTTACAAGCAGTTATATCCTTAGAACCAGACAAGCCTTATAATTTAATTGGAGCATTTTTTATACTTCGATTTTTGAGCCTGTAAAAAATTTAGTTTGGTTAATTTTTATTATTAATCTTACTCCAATATAAAATCATTTTAAATTTTCGTGGATAAAATTAAAATTTTAAGTTTATTAAAAAAACTTTGAAACAATTTAAAAAACAGTTTTCCCAACTCTATATTGATGAATAAGATAAGTTATTATTTGATGGGAGACGGCAAGAAATGATGAACACAAGGAAGTCTCGGCCCGGAGCTTCCATATCGCATCGCAACGAGTGTTTTTCGTGAAAATCATCAATTAGTGGTCCGACTGTCGGGCCTGTGCATTATATTTCCTCTCGTCGACGAAATGCACTCCAGGGGATGGCAGGGTTATGAGTGATGCTGTTTTCACCACGCTAGTCATTAATTACATATCATCCACATTTTCAACAGACACAACAAAAATCAATTTAACGGTGAAAATGCCAAAAACATTTTTCACCTAAAGTTCATAAAATTTCAAAAAACCCATTTAAATTCATGTAAGAAGTATTAAATAGTTTTATCTTAAGAAAGTTAGAAATTATTTACACCTAAGCGCATGAACGAACAGGCATGCGCGTGCCATCCATCATGCACGCTTCCACGAATTATGACACTTTAGCCTCGAGACCTTCTCTTTCTAACTGATGTTTCATGCAAGACAATAAGAGAAAGTATATAAACCAATTGTACGCCAATAGAGAAACTACATTCACGCACTTACTCCTAACGAAAAATTTCCCTACATCATGTGCGTGCACCAAACGCAGAATCCTTCTCGTATAAATAATGCGTCGCCTTTCAACTTACTGCAAATTGGTTTGTATTTGACAGCAGTATTATTTGTATAATATACAATTGTCTCTAGAATATCTATAGTTGTTTATACAGTATAATATCTCTAGTTTTTAAAACAATACAATATCTCTAGTTGTTGATAATCATTTTGTTCGACCAGTTTTTGAATTTAAGATGTTATTGTTGCATCCAAAGGAACAAAATAGATCGAGTTATTACGAAGCTTGGAAAATTTTGTGGGAGAATACAAAAAATGGAATCTGGTTGTACAACAAAAGTTCACTGAACGATGTCTACATCGACGGACGAAACCATCAAAGCAAATTGGATAGCGAGTCACAAACGACTTACAACAACAAACCTAATGTTGACGGGTTCTGCGTTGGTTTCAATGGAAGGAAATACAAAGACGAAACAAAGTCAAAACATCCTGAAAATGATTTCGCGGGCTCAAAATGCAAGAACACAATTTCGAACGTCAAACTCTTTAACAATGACCAATCATTTATTTTGACGGAGGGTAAAAAATGCTTTCAATGCCCTCAATGCAAATATGCCACCGATCGAAAAAACAACCTGAAACGCCATCTCGGAACCATGCACAAAGATTGTGGAAAAGTTCTGCAGTGTTGTAACTCTAATTTTACGAGCAAAGCAGCACTTCGTGATCACATATTCGCCGTTCATAAAACTGGTTATCGTTGCCAGCATTGCAGCAGGAGTTTTTGTCGTAAAGCACTTCTTAAAAGACACGAATCAGGACATGATACAGATGACAAGGATAAAGAGGCTAGTAGGAACGTCAAAGTTGAAACTTCAAAATTTCTTCCAACTTTCAAACAATTAAAAGCAGTTGAAATAAAATATCCATCAGCAAACATGCATTCGTCATTGCCGCACAAAGAAAATTGCATAACTCAAAGCCAGGATGAAAGTTTTCGGGTAAAAAAAGTTGTAAATGATTTTTATAAGCAAAGTTATAACACTTTTTTACACAACCAGTTTTACGTACATCAGTTAAAGAACGGAGCGTTGATCAGATCGTACAACCAGGCATTTTATCCTTCACCAAACATTTTCACACAAACTGCAGGCGCTTCTCTTTCTGTCGGCAATTCATGGGATTATTTCAATATAAATTTTCTTAAGAACAATTTATACCAAACAAATCAATATTGTGACATGTTACACCAAGCTCAAGATTTCCACAGATACATATCCAGCACTCGAAAACCCAACTTTGCAAACATTCGAAAAAAAATGTTTTTAAATGATCGTCTTTCGCAAACATACACAACCAATGAAAATAAAACTCAAACTTCTTATTTACCGGCACATGAGCAAGAAAAGTCAGCCAGTGAAGAAAAGGAGGAAACAGGAAAAATGCCTGGAAGATCACTTTTCGGTGACAACAAGAGAATTTGTACGAATGTTTATCGTTGTTACGTGTGTAAGAGTGAGTTCAACAACCAAATAGTGTTCAACAATCACAGCCATGACAAAAAAAATATTTCTTGAACAAGAACCAACAATAACAATTATTATTTTGAAAACATTTTTGACCGAGATTATTTTAGTTAATATTTTTAATTTAAAGCTTGATAACACTTGTTTAATCAATGTAACCTGTAATTATGAGCTCCGTCTGTTGATCCTGAGATGTATGGATAGGCGCTACGCTGGCTTCCAAACGGCTCACTTTTGTCAATGAAGTCGTCTAATTTTGATAAGATTTTTGGCAAAACATCTATATTCGATGATTATTGTTGATGATCAATTGTTGAAGTAAAAAATTTTATTAGATACAAATGTTGTTTTGAATGTTATTATGACTAGAAATAATAACCTAAAGTTATTGCATTTATTAAAATTTGACGACATCTTTGAACTGCTTTTTATATATGGTTCTGATTGTAACTGAACATTCTCCTCACTTTTGAAGAATTTTGTCCTTTACTAGACGATTTAAAAAATTGTTTGTCATGCATTTTAAATTGTAAAATTGAAAAAATATTTGTTATTGTTTTTGCATGTTATAAGCATTGGTTATGCAAGCTTAAATAACGGTTTTAAACTTATCTAGAAAACAAATGAAATGTCTTGCAAACATTGTTTGTTTGTTTGAGCTATGTTCCATCGTTATAATAAACATAAATTTTGAAGTTAATATTAAGTTAAGTCACAGACAGCTGATTCGTTGGAAACCAAATTCGCTAAATATCGATGGCATATGAAAAACAGTCTATGTTATTGCATTCTTTGCTGGCGATAATTATTGTTCAAGATAAAAGTAAATTAACTTTTCTCTTTTTTATTACCCTCAGGTTTTTAAAATTTTGTTTATTAGATTAATTAACTATGCGTTGATTTTATAAATTAATATTTTTTAAAATTCTGATAATTTAAAATAATCTCTGTTAACGTTTGACTGACACCAATTGTTTTATTTATGTTAATTAGGGAATGAGGATATGAGTTTGAATGGTGTTCAGCGTTCCTCACTGAGGTACAAATTGGTTTGCCATAAATGTAATTACAGATTTGCGACAGAGGAAGATCTGGAGTTTCATACATGTCCAGACCCCGAATTTAAAATTACTGGCTTCAGTTGCAGCAACTGCAAGTTTGTCTTTAATTTTGAGGAACCTCTCAAACGTCATTTGAAACTTTGTTACCAGTATCCTTCTGGAATTAGCCCACATGTATGCAAACTATGTGGTGAAATTTTTAGCACATCAAAGTTACTAAATGATCACGAAGAGCAAGCACATAATAAAAAAACCCAATTTGAATGTAAATATTGTAAGGCACCGTTTTCGTCTAGTCGAAATCTTATTATTCATGAAAGAGTCCATGAAAAAGAACCAGTATCTTGCGGAATCTGTAAAGCACAGTTTACTTATTTTGCACCACTCAAAGTTCACATTTGGCAAGAACACCAGAAAGAAATGTCAGCTGATTTGATCAGAATTATGTCCAAATGTAAAATGTGTTATGCCTATCATGACAAAGAGTCTGTACACATATGCAAACGTAATGTCATTCCTGCCAACTCTATTGAAAGTATTCATGGTAAGCCACCTTATTACTGCAAACACTGTGAAAATTCGTTTTTTAAATATTCTAATTATGAGGCTCACATGTATTCACATCAAGTTGGACAACAGAATTTGAAACGCCATCCACCAGGTGGTTTAGAGATATCTGACCTTGTGTCTGAAAAAAAGCTTGCATGTTCTTCCGTTATACTCACCAGTTCAGAACGTCCATTTAGATGTGACATTTGTGGCAGCAGATTCAAATACGATTTCAGCTTAGCTGCTCATGTTTCATCTCATAAAACAGCTGAGAAGCGAGCGATAGATGAATTTGCTGAAATTGTTGAGTTGCATGAAAATGGAGATGGAGGTCATATGATTGAGGCCATCGATGTTCAAGATCTTTGCAGAAAGACAGAATCCAAATCAGCTGGAGTTATTGGAGGTGATGAAGAATCAAAAAATCCAAACAATGGTCTTTTAAATTTGTTGTTTGAACATTTAGCTGAAGAGGATCTCTCATCTCTTGGTTTATTCAACAATGCAACGTCATCATCTGCATCAGCAGTTGAAAATAAAAATGAAAACAACACACACTATCATGAAATTTATGATATATCTAAAGATTTTCATAATCAAACAACTGACAAACTGAACGATGTTGTTTAACTGTTGTGTGATTGTTATATACATAATGTCCAGTTAGTTTTGTTCAATATAATCAGATACACACACACACACACACACACACACACACACACACACACACACACACACATATATATATATATTCCATTGTAAAACGCTATCATTATTTTATTATCATCTGTGTCATTATTATTCTTATTAACTTATTTCTGAATAATTTGAAAGATATGTTTAAAAGAGATTGTACTTTTATGTATCATTATTCAAATTATAAATTAGGATTGCAAATATTGATGACGAGTTCAACTTCACGTGATTCAAAAATTTTTTATTCCAATCTTTAAAATGACTCAAAGTAGCAAATGTCTAAATTATTTTTGTTGCGTCTGCCATTTTGTTATGTTTATTATAGTTTGATGTAATTCACATGTATATTTGAGGCAAGCAGACATATTATTTTTTTTGCTGTATTACTTTCATTGTACACAAATCATTTTTCTCATCTTGAGGTGTTGAGGTTTACAATGATATGATTCTATATGGCTACTGGTTCTATATGTAAACATAATAAAAATTTATATAAAATATTATTAAATGTAAATTTATTCAAGATGAACGTTTAACAAAAAAAGAAAATATAATCAAAACGCGTCAACATAAAACTTCATACAATGAATTACAACGATGTTTTACTTAACGTTTAAAAAATTATGAAAATGTAGATTGTGTTACATAAAAATGACAATATAATTATTTTGCCACGATGTGTATGCTGCTCAAAAATATCACCAATTGTTATTAACAAAAGACAGGATGAAAATTGTATCAAGATTTAATTTTAACTGGCCATGAAAAGTGCACAGGTCAATTTTAGTGTAAGTCAGTTTTGTTGGCAAATTATTATTTAACAAAATTATGTTGAAAAAAGCAAGTAATCGTTGTCTTTAACATTTAACTCTGTGGCCACAAATAGTTAATGTCATTTCCATTTTTAACGAAAGTGGCAGAGGGTACTCCGTCCTGAACGATGTTTACTTGCTTGCGTTTGTTGCCTAGCATTGTCGACAGACTTTTGCCGACATTAACTTGTAACTTCTGTTTTTGCCTATAACATAAAATAAACAAAATATTTATAATCATCGTTTCTCAATGAGAACCATATTTCTCTTTCTCCATATATATATATATATATATATATATATATATATATATATATATATATATATATATATATATATATAATTGATGAAAATCACAGCATGTTCGGCCTTAGTTAACTTCCCAATTAACTTTTCGATTTTTCTAACGGTTGATCGTAAATCATTTTCAATAAAAAAAGCTTTTTTCTGTATTCTTATGCCATCTTCAGTGTTCGAATTGATACGTTGTGTACGTGCCCAGATGCTCAAATGTATATATATATATATATATATATATATATATATATATACTGTGTCACTATAATCTATAATATACTTTGTTGATACCTTGTTTGTTCAAAGTTAATACAACAAACAAGGAATCAACAAAGCAGAGTAGCGACACAGTATATGTATATTTTACTTTCCTACATTTGTTCAATTAATTTAAATAAACTTTTTGCGCTACTATAACAAGTTTATAAATAGTGTTAAACAAATTTTTTTTGATAATGTTTAAACAAATCTGGAAATCATAATTGAAAACAAGTAAATAATGTAGTAAGCAATATTAAATAGTTTGACACACAAAACTTACAGATGTAAAAGTCGATTTATGGCTCCAACAGCTTCAACTACCAAATCAAATTTAAATAACGACTGCAGACTAACAACTAAGTCATTTCCTCTGTTTAAGTGAATCACCAAAAGTTGATCTGAGCCTGGTCCTACACTCACACCTGTCATCTTTAATTAAAAAATTGCAGAAAATTAGACCCGTACATGCAACGATATTATGTTTGTTATAATATCCCTAACCTCTGATATAGGAATTCCTTTTGCTAAACATTTGAATGGTTTTTTGCCATCAAGTTTGTATATGAATCTGTCAGTGATCACGATCGCTCTATCTGAAGTTTTCACAAACCTATTGGTCTAAATGTGAAATTATACTATTAAATTGTTAGCAAAATATAGACTAAGAAGAGCATTAGAAAAAAACTAAGTTAAAAACAAAGAAGCTTTCCGTTTTAGAAAAAATCGGAGTTTAGCAATAACAAGAAAAACTATTGAGAAAATGGAGACGGCGAAAGAGAGAAGGGTAAAACTTCAAAAAACTCGCATAAGAGACTTGTGATTTTTGATAGTATCAGGCACTAGATGAGTTAGTACATATACCTTAAATAAATTGAGTGGCGATTACGAAATAAGCTAACTAGGATTTATGAGTAGTGCCAGTTAGTGGAAATCATATATGCATAAACGGAAAAAAAGTTGAAAATGCAGATGATTTTGCCTACTAGGGCTGTTAAATAGCAGCAGATAATGCCTACAAAAATACGGTGAAAAATAGGAATACCAAGCTGTTGCCAACCATTAGCGAATTTTGGATATCTACACTACTCTATGTACATTTGTGAATCAGGGACATTAAAAGCAAAAAGGCTTGACATCGGAAAGCTTGATGTCTTTGAAATGAAATATCAAAAAATATACGAGTGGTGGAAAGATTAAATAGAATTACAACAATAGTGGATAAAACAAAAGAAAGATAACTGATTATTCCAACATATCGGTAGAAAGATTGATAACATTATTGACGCAGAGAAAGATGGATGAAAAAAGTATGAAAAAAAAATAAAGAAGAAGGTGGCCGGATGATATGAAAAAATTGACTGCTTTAAATTTTCCACAAGCTGTCTACTGCTGTTTTAAAAATGATAATTAAATTAAACGTAACTATCATTGACCTCGACGGTCCTTAAAACTACTGGGAAATAATGAAGATGAAAAGTTGATTTAAAAAATTATGTTTACAACGCTTTTAATTATTTGATTTTTTTATGCAGAAAAGTTTAGATTTGTTATTTTTATATAAACAGTCACCTTTTTGATGAAACTAGAAAACCAAATTTTTCTGAATTGATCCTGGGTTTTCAGAAGATCTAAAGTTCTTTCTGCATCTGCACTATTTCTGTTTTCTTTTGGCTGCATTTGATAAGAAATTTCTTGCTTAGTTTGAAAATTTTTATTTAAATCAGACTTAATCCGATACAATAATTTTTTGGTCAACATTTAACCCAAATCATTCTCTATTGGCCAGGAAATTAAATTTTATAAATGATTCAAGATACTAACATTAACTAAATAGTTTCTCTCCCATTTCCTTCCAGGGGTAGAGTCTTTTTTTCTTCCCTTAAGCACATCAGCAGAAAAAACTTTTAATTCTAGCGTAGGCAAGTCTTCTGTCGAAACTTGTTTCAATTTCATATAACAATTCCACCTGTTTTAAAATTATCAAATGAAAGTTTTGAAAACTACAACAGTTGATGAAATTGATTAAAATATAATGCAAGTAGATAATATGGAAAACCTTCATATAGAAAAACACTACCTAGAATGGATTTTCTTGAGAATAGGTTCAACGGGAACCATGATTCTTGGAGGAGTTGGCCACTTTGAATCTCGGGAATTTTTGCTTGTCACTTTGCTGATCATTTATTGTCATTCATTATTAATAATAATTCATCTTATTCATATTTTATTTTTGATGATCAGACATTCAACAGATCTTGTTAAATGGAAAATGTTTTTTATGCAATGACTTATCAACAATCGCTCCAATTTATGTCTTCAGATAAATGGGCTTGAATTAGATACGTTACTGATAGAATTCTTTCATTAACCTTTTGTTTTTTTAACCTAACAGTGATTCAATGAGCACCAAAGAAGGGTCATCTGAGAAGGGCAGTCCCCCAAGGAATCATAATTGTTTGATGTATTATTGTTTAATTTGTATATGTAATATTTTCACATTGATAATTCAGTTTTCATGACCCATCATATATCGTCCCCGCACCAGATCGTGAAAAAGGAAATATTGAGAAAATATTGAAAGATTCTCAGCAAAATAGACCAATCAACGTTAGAATGTTTAAAAAATCATCCCTTCCCATCGCAAAATTCTGGATCCGCCACTGTTTTGTCACCTATTTCATATCCGAAATAATGAAATTTTTCTCCTTTTCTAACCTGAAACGACGTCGCTGTAGCACTTTTTTAAAAAGTGAATTTCAAAACAAATACTACTTATTATTTCAGACTAATGTTTTTTGTTAAACTAGTAGCTGTTTAATGATAATATTACATTGATTCAACAAACTGTTCATTTTTGTTTTTTCAGAAACTATTATATTAATTTATTAATCACAATAAAAACGCTTTTGTAATTCAAGTAAAACTTGCAGAGAAAATGTTACTTGGAAAATGCAAACAAATGTTATGGTTTGCAAAGAAAATTCTGAATCAAAAATAAAAGTAAAAACATGATTTATAAACTGACCCTAAATTGGCTCTAACGCTTTTTATGTAAGAACGTATAACATGATTTCTCCAAACCTTTCAATTGAAAAATTATTGTCGTGATTAAGTTATTTACTATATCAGATCAGATACAGCATTATTAAAAATTAAAAATCTTTAAAGAAAAGTTGGAATATGAGAATATATTTTTCAAATATTGCAAAATGACAATCCAACCAACTCTACAATATTAAAAGTTTTTAAAAACTGTTAAGTAACCCTCTGCATAATTTTTGCAATTTTTGGTATATTATCTTCTCTTTTCTGTTCTAAAGCAAACATAGTCTTCGGACTTCTGATGAAAATTTTAGTTTTTCCGTATTTGACATCTGATTCAAAGTTGTTCTCTCTGATGATAAGCCTGGTACCATCCTGGTCTGATCCTTTTCGAAACGTTGGCCAGGTAGAGGCAGATATTATTTTATACCTGATGTGGTGGTGATGTGTTCAATTGAGTATTCAAACAATGCGTAAAAAATTTTCTAAGAACAAAATGTAATAGAAGAGTTTCTACCACTCTAGTTAAGTGTTTTTGTTAATACTCTAAAAAGTTTGGTGGAAATTAAATATTTTTTTTTGGAATTTTACATATTTTATTTTTCACAACACTCTTCCCACCTATGCTCTCAATGTTATATACGAAAATAAAGAGAGATGTAAATTAACAGGAAAAACCTTTTAAGAAATCTGTCATAAGGCATTCTGATAGCAAAGCCAGCTCTCCTAACTCGAACATTTTCCAAGAGACCTAAATATTTAACTTGGTGTTCACATCTTTCTCTATCAAACTTTACTGGCGATTTGTCTTCGTTTGGTTTAATGCAACGAACGTAAAAAGGTTCCTTTGAGCAGATAAAAACAAATTTATAAAAATTTTGTTAAAGGTGAATAAATAAAATTAATAAGATTTTACAGCATTTTTTCAGACAAATATTTAATTAAATCAGCTAATGTAAGCAGTACAAAAATTAATAAGAAACATCAGAAAATAATAAAATTATTATTTATAAATTATGCACGCGGTAGATAAAATTTCGAAGTAATTGAGAAATTTTTGTCAAAATTAAAAACCAGCGTGCGTTAAATCAGTAGAAATCAATAAAGTAATTAAATTTAATCGTATCGTCGACTAACTTTAGAAGCCAGATTTTTTACGAGTTCAATCATGGAATTTTTGAAACTGGTCCCTGCCGTTGTAGGCCTCTTTGTGACGGCGTCGACACTTTTTGCTCCTTCTGGCCACATTGATTTGATTATCTGGTTCGAACTATCGTAAAGCAAAATAGAAAAATCATAACTATAATAAAGTTATTTTTAGTACGTTTTTAGGTCGTCATCGAATTACGCAAAATTGAAATTTTTAAATTAGGATATACAATTTTAAACATGACATATGGCATTTAAATAGATAACGAGGAAAACTTTTGAAACCACCTGTTATGTAGCAATCGTTTGAAATCTTGAAACAAGAGGTCTTTATTTTTATCGATGAAACCATTAACGCAGTATGTTACGTTACCAGCATAATGCACCACACGGAATTCCTTTCCAAACTCTAGAGTCTTATCATTCGATTTGTTCTGACAAAAAAATGAAAAAAAAATGAAAAAAAAAGTTCCAAGAGAAAGTCAAATATAAATTTTTTTACATAATCATACTTATTTGTTATCGCATTTACACATAAAAATGTGAAAGATTGGTTTCAAATTAGATTAACTAATACAGAAAGTTACGAACAAATTTTACACTCTATTACAAGTGTCACAACGTTTTTATTGCTAATCAAAACAAGACATTGCTGAAATATTTTCAAAGCAAAAGAAAAATAATAGGTAACGTAAACCTTTCTAGTTTCAAAATGGTTGTGGTTCTTCAGTTTGTCACTGAGAGCATCGAGGAACATCTGATCAGTAACCTTACCAACTGTTATGCAGGCCTCATCGAGTACAGCGAAGATGCCTTTGTGAGGCGCCTCCACCAGATCACAGATTATCTTGTTGTTAAAGTAATCTATCTGCATATTGAGAGATGAACAATTTTCATGAATGGCATATAACATGAAGTATATAATATGTGGTATATCTAGAAAAATATTTCAAGACTTATCGCACAATCATATGGCATACACACACACACACATCCGCATGTGGTCGGCGAGTTAGCACTATTATTTTACAATGGCCTGGTTCGAAAGCCTGTCTGTCCAAAACTCAAAGATGCGCCATGTGAGAATTATGCTGTGTTTGCGAGTTTGAAGCAAATTTAATGAATCAATTCTTATGTTATATAATCTTGAAATTATTTTTAGTGGAAATGCAACGCTGATAACTTCCTAACTGACATGTTGCCATTCGATGCCTTCCCTGGTGTATTCTTCCTGCTCCTGCTTCAACACCAGCTCTATGAAAAGTTGCTGAAGCTTTTCATTGCAGTAATTTATGCAGAACTGCTCAAAACTATTGGGCAAGAAAACATTTTTTATGAAACTATACAGTAGTTTGTAAAAAAAACAGCTGTTCAATAAAACAATATTAACAACAAAAAATTTATCTGAATGATACTATGCAGAAAAATAACAAACAATAGCTGTAATGATGTTAAATTTATTCCAGCAAATTCGAACGGCGAAAAGTTACAGACCATTTGTAAAGAACTGAGAAGGTTTTACGATGGGCATATGCTCAATGCTAAAAAGAACAACTTTAATGTTAATTTGGATGGGACAAAGAAATTGGAACACGTGGTTAAAAGTAAGACTAAGCGAGTATAAAGACAGAAAAATAGTTGAATAATAAAATGTAAAACGTTAGAAATTGAAGGCTCGAGAAAGAAACAGAAGACACGGTCTAAATCAAAAAAGAAGAAAAACTTCAGTTAAACAGAAAGTAGAAGGTTAAGCAAAGTCAGACGTAACATGAGCTGGACAAAATAGAAAAAATCAAGTAGAAAAAATATTCACAAACTGTTATCAACTATCTAAATTTGCACTGGTTATATCAAAGCATTGATTTGGCTTTCATACCTCTGCAGGACGAAAGCTTCTTTACAGTGATACAATCAGCGATTAAAAATCGTAAATTTTAAAACAACAAAACAGGTGCATGAACCTGTTATTATCAAAAAGCTCAAAGCCATAGATGTCAAGAACACCGATGATTGTGTTTTTGCTACTGCCAGTCGTCTTTAGATGAATTGCATTGTTTACATTTGCCACGATCCACGTGAATAAACGGTCGTAGATTGCCTGAGTATGAAAATGGCAATATTTAAACAATATAATAACATTATTGTCAGTAACAGAGCTTTTAAATAAATAATGGAATATAATATTGGAAATGACCTTCGCAAATGCGTCTCTTCCATAAGCAGCCTGTTCAACCGTGTGACCCTTTTCAACTCTCTCTCCTTTCGCAGCAACTACTCTGAATCCATGGAGCATTAATTTTACTACAAATAATTGACATGTTTATTAAATTCTTTACATTCAGCATAAAATTGCACCGTATGTGTTAGAAAAGAAAAAAAGGTGTATTCTAAACGCATTTTAGAAATAAATATGAACTTAGTAATGATCATAACGATCAAATTTTTTATACATTCTACAGTTATGAACATGTTTTTAATTCTTGCGTCACAATAACCAAATAACGCAGTGCAAACAATTTTCAAACTATGTTTGTGTGTGCATGACACCTGAGTAGCTTACATCAGCATAACAATGAGCGAGAACATGTCAACACATTTGGCTCACATTTACTTCAAACATAATGAGATGCTTTCAATGTAAATATCTTAAATCAATAACCTCATTACAACAAATTAAATCAATAACTCCTCCAAAATAAATACCTGGAGCAGAGCGCTTTCTCAGCTTCTGTAGAATCAACGTTTAACAGTGATGCTATGTTTTTCAAAATTTTTTTGTCCTTTATTTTCGCATCATCATTTTCTGCCAGAAATTCTAAGTTTCCCTGTTGAACATGAACAAACAAAATAAAAATAAATAAAACATCAGTAAAAAATGTCGCTGAATCGATTTTTATACGAATCTTATTCTTAAGGACTCATTACTTAACATCAAACCATAAAAATTTTACGTAACTGAGTATGAAATAACTAGTCATATCAAATTTGTTTAACAATTTTTTTAATTTAAAATCAGTTGAAAATCACATTTATAGTTAAAAAAGTTAATGTTCATTCTTATACATATTCTTTAACTGTAAATTTCACAATACAACCAACAAAAGAATGTGTAGAATGACATCCGACGTACCAAGTGTAAAATGGCAGAGACAATTTTCCACATGGTATCAATAGCTTGTCCAAACCCAATAATTTCAACAGCGTCATTAACGAGTTTGTAATCTGTTTTGTCAGAAGCCAGGCCGCCCTTCACGTTATTATTATTAACATTATTATTATAGTTATTGTTATTACAAAATGTTTTATCAAAAATGATTGAACAGTTATCATTCATCATCATTCAGAACAATGGTGACCAAGAACTTACGGAATTTGCTTTGGACGATTTGTCATCATTTATCAGCCATGTAGTTCTTTGGGAGTGTATCTTAGAAAATTTATAATCAATATTGATTTTTATACAATTTCTAAATTTTCACGCAATGCAACAAATTGAACAAACAAACTATTCAATCGTCTTACTTCAGTATCTCCTCTTTGATTCAAGTAGGCGTAAGATTTGAGATCTCTTGACAATCCATATTCTGAGAGCCGCCTGTCTTCTCCACCTAGCAATAACTGTTTACAAAAAGAAATCTAATTACATAAAAAAATTCTATTACTTTAAAATTCAGATAAAATAAAAGAATCTAGCTATACCACAGATGTTTTATGAAAAATGTATTAAATAAATTTCAATGGCGTTTGACCTGATAGAATGAATGAAAGTTTCGCTCTCCTGGCTGTTGGTGTACAACTCTTGACTGAAAAATTGTTACACAAAATTACATTTTATGTTATAAATTGGCTATATAAAATTTTGACACAATTCTTCTGAAAATGTTTGAAAGTTTAATTTTGCTGCAGACCATATGTGATTTTTTTTTCGTTTTTGGTAACAACAATTAGTTATAATGAATTGTGCCTACATAATTTAACTCAAACGTTTCTTGGTTATGCATGACAATACATATCAAAGTTTATAAAGTCTACATGCTTTGCTTATCATTGTACTCTTTCCTTTGCACAGATTAAACTAGTCAAGTAATCAAGTATTTTTTAAAAAATCAGAAATTTTTTAAGAGATTATAAAATGAAGAAAGTGAATTTCAAATAACCAACCTTTTCTAAAAGATAATTTTCAATGTGTCCTCCTATTGGATCACCTTTAAAATCAAAGTTGATGTCCATGTATTTGCCAAATCTGCTTGAATTATCATTTCTGTTTGTTTTGGCATTACCAAAAGACTCCAAAATACAGTTTGACTGTAGCAGGATATTTTTCACTCTGAAAAAATTTTTTACAAATTTTTTGAAAGTTGATAAAAATCTCCTAAATGAAAACCAAATATTTGCCAACCTTTCAACTTCTTTTTGTCCTGATACGTTGGTTACAGAGGCTAAATATTTCATAATAATTTTAGAAGCTTCTGTTTTTCCAGCACCACTTTCACCTGGTAAGCAGAGGTCAACATCAGGTCACTATTTACTGTAGAATGTTTTGTGGCATTGTACTAATAAATAAATTTATTTCACCTGAGATAACAATGCATGTGTCTTTGAATTTCCTCTTCATTGTTTTATGTGCTGCATCAGCAATTGCAAAAAGATGGGGAGGTCGTTCAAAAATTTCTCTGCCTTTGTAGGAATCAATGTACTGCTTGTTGAATATATCAAGGGTTTTGTAGGGGTTTACAGATACTATCACCTCTCCTATGTATGTGTAAATTTTGTTGGCTTCAAATCTAATTTGAGGAAAGAATTAAGTTTTAACTGAAAAATAATGCTAGTAATATCAAAACAAACCTTATTTGCAAGTTTTTCATGAAAGAATTAAGATCAATAGAATCCATAAGAACAAAATCTCCAACACCACACTGCCTGCCCTCCTCGAGAACACCAGCCATCTGTGTTGTTTTCTTTATTAATTAAAGGGAAATTTTAAAATTATAAATGATTAATTAAAATTAGCTAATCAGTGTGACAATTTTTACAAATTCTACTTATTTTTAAATTTTATAGTTCATCTTAGGATGTAAGCATATGAATGAATATTACTATTTATAGATAGATACATATTATAAATGTTAATAATATAATACAATTATAATACACATATATTAAAATTATTCAGCATGTTTTGACAAATGACAAGTGTGACAAAACACAAAATACTAAATAGGCTAGGCCAATTCAACTGCTTATTTATAAAAATGCGTCATACACTCTACATACCTTATTAAACTACTAAACTAAAGTTACTAAAGCAGAATAATAGAGAAAGATTGACTCAGGTTCCATACATAAAAGCAAATAAATACCTTCATTGCTATCTCTCTCTTTGGACCCATAAGAGCACTGCAATAATTAATAATATAAATTATTATTCCAATTTTTGCTTTTACTCTTTCTTTTTCGATGAACAATTTCTTCAGTTCAAACTCTTTGAAAATATTTATTGAATGCACTGAACAAAATAGCCATAGATAGATAGAGAACAACACAAGATTATTTTATTCAATTTCGTTTCAAAAAATCAAACGAAAACTTTAGTTTAGTAACATTTTTAACGCTTTGTCAAATTACATCTCGTTTGTTTATATCAGAAAAATGTCTATTTTGATATATCATCCACACGAACTAATACAGGTAAAAATGGTAATGAATAGGTGTGATGGTGTCGTTTTATTTTGGCGGCTAAAACAACACCAAATTCAATGTATAATAGGATTTGAGAACATAGATGAAAATTTCTTGATGGCATACAAAAAGTTATTGACGTTAATTGTATAAAATGCTTCGTTAGTTTTATCTTGGAATTAGTGATTATTGTAACTCGTTCTACTATGGGTCTTCCTGATTCAACGATTCAACACTCTATCCTTCGAGTGAAGCTTTTAACTCTGCTGCTAGTCTAATTGCTCATGCCCCTATCTTTTCTAATATATCTCCGTATCTTGTTCTCTTACACTGACTTCATATAAAATATAGAATCGTTTATAAATTTTATACATCAATATACAAGTCTCAATCTAAATTATTTTCTGAGTACTTACCATATATAGACACAAATACGAACGTCTTCTCATTCTCACTTCTTACCTCCTGTCAAACATTGTTACGTCTTACGCCAAATCTCCGTTTGCTTTTTCTGCCCCCTTTAGTTTTTAATGATCTTTTTGGTTATTTTTGTTAGCATTAGCACCAATTTTATTTTATTATCCGATCTTTAATTAAAATGAAAATACATATATGTATTTTCATATTTAGTAATGTATTTTGATATATCCACACAGGTGCATATACAAAACGAAACATGATACAATATTATACATGACAACATATTTTTTATCGGATCTATCAGTTCGAACATCAACTTCGTCGCATCAATCATCAACGATAATAATCGTTTGAATTAAAGAACGTTAGCATTAGCATACAATCGACTGAAGCAGTTTGCATGAAAGATGACATTAATTTAAAGTCAATAAGAATGGCATACAAATACTGGTCTAGTTAAACAAATTATTTTGGTTTTACTTGGAGAACATTTTCAATTTTATTCACATGATCAAAATTTTGGTCTATTTTGTTTAAAATTATAAAAGATTTTATTAAGGAACAGTTCATATTTTGTAAAATCTTATTACTATGAATTTTTTCAATTGAACATAGCCTAAATGCCAACGTGCGAATTGTGGAAACGGAGTTGCGTGGCAGGAAAGTTTGTGAATATTGGAGACACGCATGCTATATTGCACCAATCAATCATTCGTCTATTCTGTTTGACTAGCCACAAATATTGCTCGATGGTGTCACATTCACACATTCTTCCTTTGTATTCAATTTGATTTTACTTTTGCTTGTTTATATTTTGAAGACAGAAAAAAAACAATTGTGAAATAATTTTACATATATTGTTGAAAGGATGAAAATTATACTGAGCAAATTAACAAATCGAAAAAGAACGAATGTGTTTGTACGCAACTGCATTGCCTAACGTACGTACGTACTAATGTATTACAGATACGCGCACATGTATGATCGTACTGCGTAGTGTACATGCTTATAAGGAAACATGCGTGCCATGAAGACTTATAAGCAGGTGAAGAAACAAAGTCCCCTATATAAAAACTTTTGTTGACAACAAATTACAAGCAACCAAACATAAATAAATTTTGATAATAGATAATATGAAGTTTGCAAAGTTTAGTTTGAACGTTTGTTTTTTGTTACAAATTTTGGGCATTTCAGTCATTAATGGTGAAGCGAAAAGATCGCTGAAACGTTTTGGCACAACGAAGTCTCTGAAACAATTCCAAAATATGAAGTCTCTTAAAGGTTAGCATGTCAATTTTTTATAACATATGAAAGAAGTGTTTGTTTGTGTTAAAATTTTGAATGTTCACAGTTTGGAATTCATCCCATTAACTTGTCATTTTTTGGTCCAAACTTATTTTTCTGTCACAAAATTTAAAAGCAATCCACATAGTTATTAAATACCGGAGGCGTAGGCAAGGGGTAGAGGAAACTTCGTCGATAGAAGTGGAATATTACCTATCTACTGATTATCTTGTTGTTTCTATTTAGTTCTTTGACTTTTTTTTACCTCAGGCGTAATTTATAGGAAATATGTCACTTTGCCATTCACCCCGCCATTTTCTACCTATAATATGGTTTGTTTTTTATCTTTGTTCTTATGTCGCCATGTGGTATTGGAGACAACGTCTTTTTCATTTTTTAAAACTTCAATCCTTTTTGGTCATAAATGGAGATAACAGCTATTTAGTAATTTTTCATGTAGAGGAGTTTTACAAATGAATAACATCAAAAAATCATTTCCGTTCTATTTGATTTAGTAATAAGTGGAAAAAACAGCTATTTAGTAACTTACAAATGCAAAGATCAAATGAATAAAATCATAAAATCCTCATCTTCATACATCAACCTCTCAATATTACATGCATATTTGAAATATTTTTTACCGAAATTAACATTAAACGAGCATTCTGCAAAAAATATTTTTCTTCATCTTGTCATATCGACCATGTTATCCTAGTCAACATCCTCATCATCATCATCATCATCATCATCATCAACAACAACAACATCATCATCATCAACAACAACATCGTCATCATTGCCACCACCAATCTCACTCACCACCACTGATTAGCACCACCACCATCATCATCTTCAACACCAACGTTAACATGAACATCCTCACCAGCAACACCTCCACCAACAACAACACCTCAGTCACCAAAACGATGATCATTGTACCCCGATGGGCCGTTCGTCAGAGATTCGGATAATTAAACTGCTTTTTCTTTACAACGCTCATTAATGCATACATACACACCCACACACGCACACACACCACACACACTCACACACAGAGACACACACACATACATACATTCACACACATTTATATATGTATATATGTTGGTAATAGACCATAATTTTTACAATATTCTATAAATTCTACCAAAACATATTAACGCCAAACATTCGGTAGAATTTATAGAATATTGTAAAAAAAATATGTGTATATATATATAAGCCATATGTATGTGTGTTTTTCTGTGTATGTATTGTTTGTGTGTTGTATGTGTGTAAAATATTATATGTTATTTGATTATTATGAATCAACCAAACAATCCGTCTTTAAAAAAATCAACCATTCGCAATAAATTACTTCGCGTAAAATTTTTCCATAAAAAATTATTCGTCGCCTTTTGCCAACATTATAAATGCCCAGGCCAAGTTGATTGTTTGTATAATGTTCTCATAATCTTGATGACATGCATTGTTCGCCAATCGCATGGTGGGCGTATGAGATTGTTTGTGGTGTTGGTGCCATCTCGCACCCTTTCCCTCACCTCTCTCACCTCGTTTATATTTTGCGTTTTGTTGGGTATTCTTGCTGCGTGTCGAGTCACATTAGACCTCTTATATCCTTGCTAACATATTTTCAAAATAATTTCTATTTCAACAAAGTGCGAGTGCATAAATGTCATTTTTTCGAAGCTCCGATTTCATACAATTTATTTTTTTTTGGAAGAATTTTTTTTGAATTACCAATTGTAATTTTAGTTATTTATAGCATTTTTCATTTTTTAAAGTTTGTCGATCGAAATTTGCCGTTCAAAATTCATTATTTGTGTTTTTTTCTATCGCTATGTATAGCTACATTTACATTAAGTTAAAACAAAATGCCCACACAAACATCGTGTAGAGGATGTTTATTTGAAATAAGCGTCAAAGCGTAATGAAGTCGTCAGTGTTTTAAACATAAACGGAGAAACTTTCATTAAGAATTTCATTTTGAAAATTTGTCTACCGAGGCCTATTGAGGCCGTTAGTCAAAATGGAGACCAATTATTCAAACATCATCGCCTCGCTATTATAACTATAAAATGGCCGTTTATTTTTGCCCGGTTTTTTTTCTGTTTCCATCTCTTTTGCTGTTGCTTAGGAAGTCTTTTCTCGAACGTGGTTTGTGAAGATTCAGTTTCAGATTTAAATTTGTTTTATGGGACGGATGTAATTAGGTTGCAGCCTCTCATGGGATCACGTAAAAACGCAACTACGTGTTGATATTGATGAAAATGTCGTTCTGACGAATAGGTGATTGATGATGTTGCTGACAGAAAAAAATATGAAACATGATAAAACAAGTGAATAGAAGGACGGAATGATGAATGGTGCAAGGTTAGGACCCGCCGAACAACTTCTAATAGAATCTACATGTTTCATGAAATATTACTTTTCATATTATACTGTGTAAATGTTAACAATTTGACAGCATTCTCTACATGCATATTATTTAATTGATATTTTAGTATCACGTACAATTAGGTCATTCACTGATTTTAATTATCTACTGAGTTTAACGGACACAAAAAATTAGTTTATAAATTTCATACCAATGGTATAGCGAATTTCTACACATTCTTATCTAAAAATTGTCTACTATTATGAAAAATAACATGCCGTTAAATAAAAGAACGATATGTTGCAGATTCAAATTTATGTTTCTTTGGTTCATGTGTACGTTGGAGAAAGTGGAATTTCCTATTTCCTATAATTTCGTAAGTCTGATACAAATAAAAAATAAACGCTGTTTTTTCACAAACACTGAACGCCTTTGTGTATAAAACAACGGAATCTTCGAATTTGTACATTTTTGAACAATTCTCGGTACTTTAATTGTTATTTTTTTTTAAATCATGATTCATAAAAATTATTAAACAACTTTCTGAAATATTTACAATTTACTAAGTTGCGCAAAATTTTCTAAAACTTTGAAAAAAAGCCTTCTAAAACGTTCTTGAACTGTTAAAAATGTCATACCGGTATTAAAGTTAATTAAACCAAAATTATTTCACGCTTTTTTTTCTTAATAGGAAACTATGGAAAGGTGTTTAGCGGGTTTGCAATTGAAGAAAATCAGTATCGTCGTCATCGTCATCATCATTTAAGATCCTCATAAACCATCATTTTAGATCATCATAATCGTCATTCTGTTCTTCTGCAATGACAGCAGTTTTAAAACTAAAACTCGTTGTCAGAATGGTCTGTTTTATTTTTATCTG